TTTTAGGCCGCCTTCGTTAATAATTTTAAGGTTATTACCTTACTTCCCTCCTATTAAGGTAAATATAGTAACGATAATAGTAATAGTAGGAAAAAGTACAATTTTTTTTTATAGGCTTCCGCTACCTCCTCCTCCTCCTCTACTATAATATACTTATTATCTTCTACTATAATTACTAATATATATTATTAAAGTAAATTATACTACTTTGCTCCTTATATAAATTACTATTATTAAATAGTAATACAACTACCGATAGTAATAATATATACGAACGGTCGTATAGTTACGTAGCTCAGAGGACAGCCTTGCGGTCAACTCTAATACTAACGCTGTAAATTACTAATAATTTATCCACTTTCTAGTGATTATACCTACTTTCTATAAGGTTACGGTTACACAAAGTACCTTCAAAGGTACTTTGCGTAACCTTATAGCTAGTAAATAGCTAGATAGGGCGGTAGATATATAAATAGGGGCATCTATACCTATTCTAGCGCGCGATAGCTAGTAGCCATACCTTATAAAGACTAGCTCGCCCTCGCTTAAACACCTTTAACTAATCGTTATACTAGTATAATACAGCTTTTTTATAAGGTTACGCATCTACTCTATACAAAACGTAACCTTTTAGGGGATCTAGTTGTATGGATTTTACCCGCTTAAAGAGGGAAAGCGCGATCCACTTCAAGGTCTTGACTTTGCACAACTTATAAGGTCACGTCTATAAGGTTACGGTTACGCGAGCCGATCAGGCCCTTACATCTCCAACGTCTTCCCGACCCCCTCATCGTCATTTGGCTGCTGGGTTAAAACGACAAATTGAAGCTATCCCACTGATACCACGTGGAAATCCATACCGTAATTCTTGCGGGGATTTCATCTCTCAACAACAAGAAGCTTAACTCAGTCTTTCAACAGGGTCTCGGGCTTGTCCCGAGGCACAGACAGCCAGGTCGTTTTTTCCATGGCCTTCAGGAGCAACGAATGCGAGCGTTTTTCGAGGCTTCCCATCGCCAAATTCTGGGAAAATACCTCTTGGGTGCTATCTAAGCGCCATCAATTCTCTCCGAAACGAACTGCCTCAACCCAATCACGGCCAGCGAGTCGAGATATTGGTTGAATGCATTGCCAACCTTCTGTAACAGTGACAGTGACTATGTCTGGGCCCTGTAGACACGGCAACAAGAATGATAGAGATGTCTCTCAGCTGGATGTGTGTCAAGCTTCTCATATGATGGCCTGTGATTGCCAATATCACGACCCTCAAAATGACGCACGAACACTGGACCACGCCAGCTAGAGTTGTTCGTCTTGTCGATTGCGAGGCGAGCGGAGACAGAAGGATAACGGCTTGGACCCAAAAATAAGATGCCCTGTCATTCCACCATCTCGGATTCGGATTGAGTGTGGTAAGTAACTTTCTCCCTATCACTGGACTAGCACCCGGGATGAATGTGACGTAGGGCAAGGACCACCAGTTAACGCTATCAATTATAAGGCATCGCAATCGACTTCTCTCTTGAAACCGCTTGTGTATCTTATCCAATCTTCTCCCATCGGCTTGATTTGTTAGACTTATTCCCACTTTGTGGCTCAACCAGGTCTCTTCTACGGCCTCAAACAGCCCCGGCGCTTATACAGTTGTTCGTGAGGCTCTCTTATTGTATAGCTGTGTTTGCAGAGTCTGTGATTGCCAACAACGGCGCCGTAACGGCGCAGCAAGCGTGGAATGCCAACAGAATTTTGGGGCACCGCAATGTTACCAAAGAAAAGATATGGTTCGGCACCTCCCGGGCATCGATCGGCATTTCAGCCAGGCCTTCAACGGGCCAGATCTAAGTAAGGTAGGCAAGGGGCAAAGACCGACGCTGTACTCCTACATGCTCAACCTGTTTTGCACTGGGACCCTGAAGAATCCAATCGCGTAGCACGGAACTTCGGAATATTCAAATGACGAGCTGAAAATCCGAGGATACATACGCCCAGGGCTGTTCCAACACGATAATTTGTGGAGGACAGCTTGGAAACCGTTGACCAGCTTAACTCAAATCCGCCAAGAAGGCACACAGACCAGGGCCAGACACAGAATGTCTTAAAACGCCGTGTGTCCAACAATCTCATGTGCATCAGGAGAACACATTCATCCATCGCTCCGCGAGGCAAGAGGTTGAATTCGGCATAACATTAGACCAAGGTAGCTGTCTCACCGCCCGGATTTTGGTCACTGGATGACACTCGTTCCGTTCTACTTCCGGTTTGTGATGCGTGGGGTCATTTCCCCATAAGACAAAGTAGTAGCCATCGACGAGTATTTCTCCTACCTCTACCCGCATGACTGTAACACAAGGAAACACCAAGACTTCCGCACTAGTACTTCTCTACCCGTCAACGACACCTGAGAAGAACCAAGACACCCTAATCCCTCTACTGCATCCCATTAGAGATGCAAGGAGAACCAGAAAGACACATGGGATTTACAACACACTTTGAACTTCACTCAGCCATCCCCCACCGCGAAGCCCATGTTCTCACGGTTCTTTGGCTGTATGCTACGTTGTCGCCTATCAAGGTGGTAGTGTAGAGTTACCGACAAGACAATAACTTTTGTGTCTCGGGCTGGTTACACACAAAACCCGTTGTTTCACTAACACACTCTATCAATGGGTGTCAAGCAAAGACGCTCGACTTGTTATGCCGAAAGAGATACAATAGGTTGGCTTCAACTGGTGTCCTGTAAAAATCTTCTGATGTTTGAACACGACGAAGTTTATGTGGTAGACATGGTCGCCGACTTGCATTCATCCATTTCAATTGAAAATCTGTGACGGAGTTAACCCTCAGTTTCAACCGAACTGCTTCATCATGGTTGCACGCATTGGCATCTACCTATATAAGCCCTATATCTTCTAACCGCTATAGAATATGGCTATTTCCACCATATCCTACAATTATCTGCCCGTACGTGTTAACTTGGTCTTTCTGAACCGTTATGCATAATCCCAATATTTACACAGGTCCGCCTCTTATCGACCACCCATCCATTGCCCATATTGTACATCTAGCAAAGTGACCTCATCACACCATACACATCTCGCATGGTAATCACAGCATCCCCTTCTCAACCTCATCCTTCCTCTCCTCCCACAGCGTCTTCCCCGTGCACGAGCAGACCGTCTTATCGTTGTCCCACACGCCCGCACTCCTCGCAATCACGCCCACCACCGTGTTCTCGTCGTTCTCCAACGTACTTCCCGCGCTCTCATCCACCGACACCGGCGCGACAGCAAACGCGTGCCCAATCACCTCCCAAATCTGGAACGGGTGGCTGAGGAACACGCTCCCGTGTCCGTCCTTGTTGATCTCCACCGTTCCCAATACGCCGCGCGGGGCGTTAGGGTCTCCAGAGATCTGCGCCTTGGTGTCGGCCGTCAGCGTAGCAGTGCCGGACCACACCGGGCCGGCCGACTCGACACCCCGCGCAAGATCGCCGAACTCGCGGATCGTGGCGCGGTAAGTACCCGGCGCGATGCCGCGCAGCGTGAGGTCGACGAGCGTGGTCGAGTTGTTCACCTGCACCATGCGCGCCAGGCCGCGGACCATGCGGTCCGAGGCTCCCGGGGCGGGCGTAATCTTGTCTAGGGTGGGCTTGTGGTAAGTCTCGAGGATGCTGACGGCCGCGCCTTGAGAGTCGCCGGAACCGCGCAGGATGGCGTCACGGCCCGTGGACTGGATGGCGTTGACAATGGCGGAAGGCGCGGCCGTGCCTCCTATCGTGAGCAGCTGGTCCTTCAGGTTGGCCTCCACTTTGTTGATTCCGGGGAGCTTGTAGAGTGCACCGGAGACGTCGTTCACGCAGCTTTCGCAGTGCATGGGCACGGCGAAGAGAGTCTGTGAAACGGGTTAGTATGATGTGTCTCTGGAAGTTGATTAAGGTGAGTCAGATATGTGAGACAGGCTTGGACCCTTTATTTAAGAAAAGGAAAGGTCTGGACCGAGACTCATATGTAGACATATATGAAAACGAGGGTGTAGAAGGGTATAAACAAACCTTAAAGGGGGTTGTGATGGAAGCCATGTTGCCGGCTATCTTCGGGATTGATGATTTGGGAGCAGCCGGGGATGACTGTGACTGAAAATAGTTCCTATGTTGTTGGCGTTGTTGCCAAAGGTATGCGCCTCCAAAACCTGCTAAAGCTAGACTAGGAATACTTATGATTTGTCTGGCAGTGTACGGTGGCATCGGTTTCAGGCACTAAGAGGTAGCAAAGGCAATACTGAGGACAGTATAGAAGTGGTGGTGTGAGAACCAACACCAACGAGAGACGATGGATTTGTATAGAAGGCGATGGAGGAGAGCCCCACGTTCGGCGAAGGAGGGGACGATTAGGTACAATTAATAACGTTTTGGCTCCAGTCTACGGATGCTTAAGAGACAGGGTAAATGCGACTCTTGTGCTGAGATTCCTCATTGTTTCTCGACAAGAGAGTGCATGAAGTCACCTCACTGGAGTACGAAATGTCGTTTTCCCATCTTCACTGTAAGACGGCAGGAAGGAAGATGTCGGCCTGCCAAAATGTTGATTTCAAAGCGACGGCATCTCCCCGGGACCACTTTTTGCGGGCGACCAACTGGGGCTCCGCTGTGTCCGGTTCCTCGATCGGCCCAAGCCAGGGCAATCCTGCTCCCCGAAAGTGCAGTGTGTGATATGTACCGGGAAAGGTAGTGCAGGCTTTGGTACATGGAACCGCATCAGTAAAAGAGAGTTCCAAGTGCGCCGAGTTGGTGTTTGTTAGTGCTTTTCTCAATTACACACTAAGACTAGCGGACCACCGTAGCCACCCCGCCAACCGCCAGCGGGCCGTCGTGCCCCAATAGTACGTGGAAATTTTCCGGCAAGAAAAGTGATCGCAGCTTTTGGGCTTGGCAGGCTCTGCTGCTGCCCTTCTGCAGGAGCTCCATTCTGCTTCCCGTGATACCGGACCACATTTGATACCCGTTCGCCGCGACAAGCCCCGGACTTTCTTGCGCCTGCCGAACCCGCCGTCTCGAACACTCCGGAGCCCGCCCGATCCCGTGTCATTCAATTGGCCCGGACGATAACACATAGAGGTTCACTTACCACCAGTCGATGAGGGACTCGTTCCCACTGGTTTTCATACCTGCCTTCTCCACCTTAAACCTCTTGTGAACACCATATACGACCTACATCACCACCGCGCAACACCGTCAACATGTCGCAAACAGTCGGAGCTGTAAGTTTCTTCCTGTTCGGACACAACTGCCCCATACTGTTGTTGTGTTTCTTACACCCTTGACACTTGCTCGCCCTCCCGCCACCATCACCACCACCACTACCCGTAACTAACCACCGCCATCTTGCGACGAACGTGTAGACCCGACTAGCCTACTCCCGTGTCTGGCACCACATCTCCGCCGTTACCCCTCACCCCACCCTCTCGACCATCAAGGCTCCTCCCGAGGCCATCACTCCCCCTTCTCTCGGCCGCCTCGCCTCGCGCATCGCCACCATCCTGATGGGCAAGCACAAGCCGATCTGGGATCCCTCCACCGACTGCGGCGACTACGTGGTGGTGACCAACTGCGCGGGTTTGTACACGACGGGCCACAAGAAGTGGCGCAAGACGTACTACCGCCACAACACCCGGCCCGGTTCGCTACAGGCCATCACCATGGATGCGCTGATGGAGAAGCACGGCGGCGCCGAGGTGCTGCGCAAGGCCGTCAGCGGCATGCTTCCCAAGAACAGGCTGCGCGACAAGAGACTGGCGAGACTCAAGGCGTTTGAGGGTGATGCGCACCCGTACAAGGAGAACTTGGTGCGGTTTGGCGGTAAGGTGGTGGGCGCTCCAGGTTGGGAGGAGGCTGTCAAGGCTATCCGGGAGGCGGACATGGAGAGGTTATGAGCGACCCATGAGAGGAGGGGGCTTTGAGGTGTGAAGGTCTATTCAAAGGCACTGGAGCTGGCTATCTACTCATGGGGGAGTGTCAGAGAAACGGGAGAGAAAGAGATGTAGGGACGAATCTACATCGAGCCGTTACGAACCATCTAGCCGACGAGGACTGAGGACTCTGTCAACTGTGAGGAAGATTGTGTGGACAACTACCTCGTTGGGGCGAGAAATCTCTCTCGTGTGTTATTGTTTAGGTTACAGCCCACTCGGCCGTGTAATTCACGGGCAATGCCGCCAGTGTCAGTCTGTATATTACATGGGAAGCCGGTTCGTGAGCCCAGCGCGCAACGGACAGTGTACGAACTTGGGTTAGAAAAAGGGGGCCTCTCATTGTACAAATATATCACTCAACAAGATACCATGATTACGACTCATGAGAGCCGTTTGGACCCCTTGATCGTTTAATGATCTGAAGGGCGACGAACAGATCCTCATGTCCATCAAGCTGAAGGCCCGCGAAGCTCAAAAGTCAGCCTCACCAATATCACGGCATATTTTTTTCACGTGGTATTCCAAGAATGCAGCTGGCAGTGCTTTTCGGGTGCTTGCTTGTTCATAAGAGGAAGTTTATTTGGTTACCCCTGAAAATTAGCCCCGGTCAAGATGTCCATAGCCTCCGTCTTATGATGATCCGTTGCATCAAGGTATCATCATCTTTCCACCTTCAAAATGTACGCCTGCCCGCCAACCAACCCCTCGCAACGTGAGGGGGAATGCAAAAAAATGGTGATATCATAGAAGAAAGTCAAAGAAACATGTGTGACGTTTTAAAAACAAAGTTCAACAGTCCTACGAGCGAGAGACCTCGCATTTGATGAGACCGTTGGGACCAGACTGGGGAGCGTACACCTCGGCGTCCTTGCCGGTGTTCTGGAGACCCTTGTGCCAACTGAGATCTGTTTTTTGGGTGTTAGTGTCAATTTATCTGGACCTGTTTTTTGGTGGATTTGCAAAAGTGGTACTCACCAACTTCAAAGTAGTGCTTGTTGGGTAGCGAATAGTTGGTCTTCTCCGTCTCGGGCACCACATCCAAGATCTGCTCGCACATCTTGTACATGGTGTTCTGTACCGACGCCGACTCGTCTTCCGCAAACGTCTTGAGCGTGATGTTACGGGCAGCCTCCCACGCAGCGTCGAAGCGCTCAACACCGTCCTGAACAGCCGCCAGGTTGGCAAACTTCTTCCAAGTCCATCCGGCGTCCACGTCGGTGGAGAGAATGCGGTCCCACGTCTCCTTGAGGGTCGTGAACTCGTCACGGACGAAGCCGTGAAAGGCGGATCCAGTGCTCTTGAGCACCTGGAGGCCGACGATGCCGCTCTTGATGGTGATGCCGTCCCGAGTGACAGTGGCCTCGACGTTGCGGGTCTCCTGGCCGTCGCGCAGGAAGCTGTGGGGGTGGGGCTGGCCGTCAATGACCATGCGCGTCCAGCGGTGGACGGTCACGTCGATGTGGGCGGCGTTGATGTGGGCATACTTGTCGAGAAAGTGCTGGCCTAGGATACTGGCGTACAGCTCGGGAGGGTTGACAGGGTGCTCCTTGGCCTTGATGTAGATGGTGTTCTTGATGGAGTCGGTAGCGACAATAACGCTGTTATCGGCCTGGGTATACGAGGTGTCGATCTCGCCCTCGAGAAGGCAGCAGACGGTCATCTCGGTGACCGACTGCTGGCCAGTCTTCTCATCCTTGTGGACCTTGTAGACGCGGACATTGTCCTTGCCATAGCGGGCAGCAGAAAGGCGGGCCATCGTGTCGTTGATCGTGGTTTTTTTATGGCTTATGTTGAAGCTTGTAGACTGGAGAGGGGACCACGGCTCGGAGTTGATAAGAACGGTGCGGGGATGATGAGATCCGGGAATGAAAACAAAGATGGACGCTTTGGATATGCAATGACGACGAGCGTTGAGAGGAATTTGGGGCAAGCAAGTCTGGCAAGCAAAGCTAGATTAAGCTTATGCGGCGTTGTGGATATCGTCTGTAGCTGAAGAGTAGCTGGATGTAGAGAGATGGGACAGAGAACAAGAAGGAGAAGGAATCTTCACTTGAGACTGGGTTGAGGACAGGAGCTTTGAAGAATTATATACCAACTTGGAAGCTTCATCTGTCTGCAAGTGTCATCGCAGACAGGCGACTTCCCCCTTCCCACCACCTCCTACCTCATCGCCCCCCTTGACCGAGCGTTCCATGTGGTAACGCAGCTTGGGAACGGTGAATAACGTCCGATAACGAAATGGTTACAAGGACATATCGGAATGCGCCTTGGAGCGCAGCAGAGCACCAGGACAGTGGCGCGCGGGTGCGCGGCCTTCCGCCCCGTGCCCCATGTCCGGGAAGACAAAGACGTTCCCGCGGCGGTTCCTGGTGGCCCATCCACATCCAGATGTGTTGGTTTGACGGTAAGGAACGGTTAGCTTGCCCTCCTGTCTGTGGGGAAATCAAGTAACGTCGAGCTCCTCAGATGGGGTGGACCCTCCGGAGTCCGCCGAATGCCACGGGATTTGCATCCCAGAAGGCCCGCTGACGGCCCCTACGAGCTTACGGCCGCAGGAGCACTTCTGTTCCTGTTTGGACCCTTCTCTGCGCCGCCCAGGGAAGTTTGGCGTTGTCATCAGGTGCTGGATTTTCGAAGGCAGAATTGCTCTGGCTTTTATACTTCGGTTTCTTTTGCGGTCCTCTTGCCGTATCACCAACGGCCACAGCTCTTGTCGGTTCATACCATGAGATTACGTCCTTTTGCTCGCAACTGGATCTCAAGGTACACCCATGTGGAGATTGTTCAAATGTCGTTCAACAATGTTTGCATCAACCCGTTAACGAGAGAGGGTTGCACGGCGTTGAAAGTCTGCGGGGTCGGACCGCCGCAACGCCACAGACGGAGACTCGATTGACATCGTACGACGGCATGGCCCGAGCGCTATGTTTCCCGTCGCTGTCAACAGCATCATCATCATACTATAGGTACTATCTATCGGCATATTGATAGTTCTTATCAGAGCCTTATCACTTACACTATGTGTAAGATCTGCTCCTTTGGTTGCGATATTTTGTCAGTTCTCTGCTAGAATTCTGGGATTCTAGTCAATAGTTCACAGTCGTTTGGTAGGAGAGGCTGGTTAACAAAGCCATCGATATCCAGACCATTCAAGAAAGAGAGCGGGTATATGGAGTTTGGGTTTCACTAAAGGCTTACCATGTACTCTGTCTCAGGTAACCAGAACCAATGGCTGATTTATCCTCCAACCTTGGAAGGTTGGAATATCAAGTCACGGTTTGAGGTCTTGGTCATATCAAATTTGGATCAGCTGCCAAGGATCGACTGTAACTTTACTATACAGTCCATCATTTCCCTTGGTTGAAATCTTCACCTTCCCAATGTATTGACCAGAGCTCTTACTCCCTGAAACTTTCCAAGCTTGATGACCCGTTTGCAGACGTCAGATTTCTGTTTGTTCATAGAGTGGATGGACGCAGCTTGAGCATTTCTATCTCCTCTGTGATCTTTCAAGAGAAGGTATCCTCATCCGAAGAGGCAAGCGCCCACATAACCCTGAGACCATATGATGGAAGAACAGCAATGCTATGGACTTTCAGACACCAAAGCCAGAACGTAGCACGAGGTATGGGCAGGGATGTGGAAAATCCTAGCAAGACATAGCCAGCAGGTATACTTACATATGAGAGTCCGTCCAGTATATTGTAATGGACTGAGAAAAAGCACAAAGAGGACTGGAAGAAGCCATGGCGTAAAATACCCCTTTTGGGTTAACAGGGCCTGTCAGGGTTATAGGCGTGGAAACTGGGCTTGAGTGGGGGCTCAATTGTTAAGTGGGATCCATCTCCAGGTCCACAGCAGTGCACCGACCAGTGTGTATGCCCTGACCGAACATCCAGGACATCGATCCATCCTATTGCAATGACGGCGGTACCCCCGTTGTGATTGTGCGAGAGTGCAGTGCAGTGTACAGTCAAGATACAGCCGCATTACAGTATCATATTCCGAAAGGTACCACTTTGGCTACCTGCGTGCGACTACAGCCATCATACCCAACCCCTCAAGGGCGACGAACGGCTTTACTAAACGACGCCAGCACATCCCGACGACGGGAGGCGCATGCGACCCCGCTCATCTACCGCGTTCCTCTAGTACCTTTGACGTTCAGTTGACAACCTGGGAATAGCAACACCTGCAATTGTCCGCCAGCATGACAGACGCGGAGTAGCAAACTGATAGCCTAACATAACCCGCGGAGACCGAGACAAGAAGACCTCATCTGACTACGAGAGCGACAAGACGAAACACCAGCCTCTCCGGCCGGCGCCCAGGTGGTAACCAAACCACAACTCCTGTTCCCCTCGAGAACGCCGCCGGGAATCGATGCGCAACAGGACACACAGGGCTCCCCCTCGACTGGCGAATCCGAGTCTGAAAATCCAAATCGAATGCCTGTGACGATAGCGAGCCCGGAAGCGGAAGCGTCCTGCGTGGAGGACAAATGGCTGGGCCATCCACCATGTTGAACGCATCAGCAAACCCCCAGAACGCCAGATCCTACTCGTCGCAACAGCCCGGAACCTCGCAGACTTCCCGAGTGAGCTTCGATCGCGATGGCGTGCAACCCCCGGGTCCCGCCCAGCCCCAGAATGGCGGTCGGAACCTCGCCGCGTCCGCCGTGAGCTTTGCCCCGCGCGGTACCGCTCTCAACCCGTCGCCCATGCCAGGTAGCTTCAGTTCGGACCTGCGAAGCCAGCTGAACCTCACCCGTACTGGGTCTCGCCCCGAAATGTATGCCCTCGAGAAGCTGGACGAAAATGCGGACGAGACGCATGACCAACCCCTGTCGCAGTTACGGGAGGAGTTGAACCGCGAGATGAAGATCAAGGAGGGGAGCGAGAATATGTTGGAGGCTCTGAATACCAAAAAGCCAAAGCAGGCGAAAGAACAGCGAGCGAGGATCGAGGCCGAGCTGAACTCTTCCACTCAAAAGATCAAGGAATTGCGTCGCAAGATCACGGCTGCCCAAACCACCAAAGCAACACCGACGACTCCCGTCAGGTCCAGAACCACTGCCTTTCTTCAGGATTCGAATGGTATGCGCTCCCCGCCGAGTGCTTCAAGGAGCGGCGCCGGTTCTGATTTTGACGAGCCGACCGAGTCTCCCACGTACGCCCTTACCGAGCTCCTACAGGCCCTCGAGGTCGATGGCATGACACCGGACTACTATGTTTCGAGGGCAAACAGTTTGGTGGATCTCTTCAAGCGTCATCCAACTCTCAAATACGACTTGGTGTGGTCCATTTTTGGCCTTCGCATGCAGGTCATGCTGATGAGCGAAAGTCGCGAAGTCGTTGCTGCAGGCTACAGGATGATACGATACGCCATTTCTGATATAGCGTCTCTCAGGAGAATTCGTGCCCTGAATACGGATTACCTGGTTACATGGTGCGTTCACTTCTGTCAGTGTCCATCTCAGTCCAAGACTAACCAAATTCCCCCAGGTCCTTGATCAAAGACCGTAAATCGGACGTCGAGCGTGAGCAGGCTCTCAAGTTTGTTCGCGCCTTTCTCGATGTCAAAGACGGCGTCAAGGAGATCTCGAGAGCAGTCGTCCGAACCATCGCTGCGATAGCTGAGGAGCCTGATGAGCGGCTACGGCCAATCTGCATAGAGACTCTGGCCGAGATTCTTATCCGCGATCCTGCCCTGCTCATATCTGCTGGAGGACTGGCGCCACTGCGCGACGCCTTAGCTGACGGATCATACAAGGCCTCGGAGAGTTTGACAAGTGCTTTCCTTTACCTCCTGGATGCGCCACAACGACGCAAATACCTTTGCGCCGGTAACGAGTTGGAAATCCTATTCACCGCGTTCACCGACGACCTCTCAACCAACGAACGCATTCTCAAGCAGAACTCTAGGGCTGTGGCATCGGCACTTAAGACATGGTCTGGGCTGATGACTTTGTCCATGTACAACTTTCGTGCCATCAAGTCCATGATTCACAGCATGGTCGTGAACACAGGACCAATACGAGAGACCATCCTCGATCTCCTCTACTCGTTGTTCCGTATCAAGTCCCCGGCGTGGGCTACCTCTTTTCTGGCCGGTAGGCGACTCACCACTTACGGTAGAGTTACGAATCTCAGGTCTACGTCCACCAAAGGATCACATGGCGACTTTGATGATGATGGTGGCGAACAGGATTTTGCTGAGCACTATACCGCACTATTGCTGGCCATCTTCGTCAAGTCTGGCGTGGTACAGGGCCTCCTAAGGCTGACCCAAGAACTTGACAATCCGCCTGTCAAGCGGAAGGCAACCCTGCTTATAGGAGAGGTTCTCAAACTCGCAAGCCGTCTTCTCCCACCGTCTGTGAGTAGCAGTCTGCAGATGCTGCCAGAACTGTTCAGCGCTGCCGCCAATCTTAAAGACGAGAAACATTTTATTGCCTCTGGAGTAGTATATCAAATAAGCAGCGTCAGCAAGACGCTCTACAGATCATCGCCAACAACATTCACCCCTTCGGTGGTACCATCGAGCAACTCTTTGGATCTGGGGATACTGGATGACCATCCCAAAAGCAACTCCGCCATCACATTTGATGATGCGACATTCCGACAGCTACTCGTTGATTCACACGTCCTAAGCAGCTCCAACTATGCCAAATGGAATTGGGACATAATATTGAGGGTAATCGAAGGGCCCCTGACAAGTGGAAAGCGGCTCGAAGAGGCCATAAAAGCATCCAAATTCATAAAGCGTATTATGAGCTTCTACCGCCCGTTCAAATACCGGTTCTCGGAGGTCAAGAGCACAAGAAACACGCAAAAGTACGTCAGAGTGGGATGCTCTCTCATGCATACTCTGTTACAAAGCCCCGAGGGCTGCAAATATCTCTCGGATAACAAACTTCTCAGGCAGATTGCTGAATGTCTGGCACAATGCGACCCAACAAGCGGGTTAACAGCACAATATCCAATGTTTGCTCGGGATCGTCTCACAGATACTCTGTGCGGAGGTTACTTTCCCATGCTCGGTATCCTTACCGGGGACCAGAAGGGCATTCAGATGCTCGATAGGTGGCGTATCTTCAACATGATGTATCGCATTGTTGACCTGAAACAACGCCCCGACATCATCAAGCTGATGCTTGCAAACTTCGACTACTCTTTACATGGCCACCCACGAGTACTCCTTTCCAAGGCCCTAACGGCTGGGACGAAGGACATCCGGATCGACGCCACAAATGCCTTGCGCAAGTATGCCACGCGGCCAAGGATATCAACGCAGGGCCAGGAACCAAGTGACTCCAAATGGGCCATTCAGCTCCTGGTAACTCAGCTGTATGACCCAGACATTGAAGTCTGTGCCACGGCTGTGAAAATTCTTGAGAAGGCCTGTAACACCAAGAACAATCTCGAGTACATCGTCGAGTGTCGACCAGCGTTAGATCATCTAGGAGAGATAGGGGCTCCCCTTCTGTTGCGCTTTCTTTCGACCTCGATCGGCTACCACTATCTTGACGGCCTAGACTACATCAGCAACGAAATGGATGACTGGTTTCTTGGCCGCAACGATTCATACGTCAGCGTCATCGAGGCAAGCCTTGCCCGTTCCTTCCTAGAACACCAAGACGACCATACCAACCGCATCAGTGTCTTCGATGACGAGCAAGAAATCGAGGCGGACAGTCATGTTCCTCCACATTTCTACCGCGAGCTCACCCGAACACAAGAAGGCTGCAAGCTTCTGAGGGAAAAGGGACACTTTGACGAATTCGCGGCAACAATCCGCGAGTACGGTATGCAGTCAGATGATCCAGAGATGATCGTCAAGGTCAAGGGCTGTCTGTGGGCGGTGGGCAATGTTGGTTCCATGGAGCTCGGCGCGCCATTCCTGGAGTCCTGCGACGTCGTAGAACAGATTGTTCATATTGCCCAGAACCACGAGGTGATGAGTCTTCGTGGCACGGCATTTTTTGTCCTCGGTCTCATCTCGCGTTCCGTCCACGGCCTAGAAATCCTCCTCGAGAACGGATGGGACGCCAACACCAACGTTCTCGGTAACTCACTAGGCTTCTGTATCCCCTCCGACCTCTCCAAACTCTTTTCTCTTAAACCGTGGCAATACATCCCCGTAACGGCCATCCAGCTGCCCGACAGTCAAAAGACCGAGACCACCAAGCTTCCCGCCATCCCCTCTCGCCCGCGCTCACAGAGCTTAATCAACGCTATCAAGGAAGAAGAGGAGGAGAAGCAAAAGGCGGCGGCGGCAGCGACGCAAATGAGCTCCAAACCCGACAACAGCACCGCCACCCAGTCAGCAGGCAACCCACCGCCGGCCGAAGATTTGGCTCCCAGGAATGAACTCGATCCGGACCCGACGAACCAGCGCATCCTCGAGCTCATCATCGACCTGGCCAACATGGTCCTCTATCGCCGCTCGCGCGCCGAGCTCCTGCAGATCAAAGCCACCAAGAAGGCTGCCGGCTTCAACCAGCCGCAGCTCTTCAGGAAGGTCATGAGCCTGCTCGAGTGCCACCACTACCGCCTGCAAGACCGGAGCATGATTGTCGGGTTATTCGATAAGTCTGTGATGCGAGTAGTAATCTTCGAGGAAGGTCAGACAACAAGCGGGGAGAGTGAGATGGAAATGGACATGGAAGAGGACGAGGACGGTGACGAAGACGAGGATTATGGTGATGCGACCATGTCGGCTGCAGGGACGAATTCCGTGAGGGAGGAGGTCGAAGAAGACGAAGTCCAAGTCCGAGATGGGCGGCGACAAGAGAGTTCCGATGACATTAGGATGGGGATGAGTGAAGACGAGGAGGAGGAGGATGATGAAGAGGATAAGTCGTCCTCTCCCGCCCTCAAAGAGCGAGATCTCCACCGTCGCGGTGGTCAGCACGGTCATCTCCACCATGGCGGGCTGGAAGAAGCAAGAAGGAGGTATGCCATGAACCCGCCACCACGTGGTGTCGTCGGTGTACAACAGGTCGGCGGAATCAGCGGTGGCGGCGGCGCTGTTGTTGGAAGCTTTGGGAGCTCGATAGGTGGCTCAGGCTCGGTCTCAGGCTCGGTGGACGAGCAACAGAGGACAGAACGACAAAGGAGTATAAGTGACCCGGCGGACTTGGAGAGGCATTCCATGATCAGAGGGCCGTTTAGGTAGCGTGGCGGCTGTAAGGCGGTGATCGCGGTGGGTGGATGCTTTTTTGTTCCAGAGTTGGTGTCGTTTTTTTTTTTTTTTTTTTTTCAGGATATATAACCCTTCGGCGGTCGCGCGAGCATTGGAAGGAGGTCGGTCGGTCGGTCGGTCGGTCGGGCTGGACTGGGCAGGCAGGCAGTCAGGCGTAGAGGATATGTAATATTCTCAATGTCTTCTCGATCCCGTTGGTGTTCATCTTGGCTGTCTATATACAAAGCTAGCTAGATGGACGATATACAGAAGAAATGGGGGCATGTGAGCGGATGAGGTGTCAGCGGTCGGTTGGTCGGTCGCTTGGTTGGTTGGTGTTTGTAGAGCGGATGGAGCATATATGGATGGGGTTCCTACACTACATAGCGAAGCTGTGATCTCTTTTTTCAAGGTGACGCGTTTTCTAATCTGGATTTTGTCTTCTCTCTTGCATCATGACTTCATCTGAGTGCGACATTAGTGGCGTTCTTGTTTTTTTCTCGTTGCGATGGGCTGGTCGGTGAGTTGATTCTCTTCTGCTATGTATGCGTATGTGGGCGAGGCAATATGGCTTTTTGCAGGATGGACATCTAGGATGAGGTTGGTATGACAAACTCGGCGTCATCCCTTTTAAGTCTTCCATGTTCAGACAGAGAATAGAACAAGCTTCTTCGGGCGTGGTGGGCGTGTGGGCGGCCCTCTTATGGTAGTTGTTGCATGTTTTCTGACTTGTTCAGCGGTCCGGTGACTTTCTGGGCTGGGTTTACAGCATGAGGCAGGTGAGATTGGTGAAGGGCAGGCAGTCTCACGGGCCTCGCACCTTGAGCTCCCTAAGTCTGATATCCCCTCAGTCACACAAGTCGAAATCCGGATCACCTCTATAACTCTTCAAGAAATGATGGAAAGGGTAAGCATCGCGTTTCTCTGGTATGAGCTCGCACTGTTTACTGTCTCTCGACATCCCACACGGTACTGATTAAAGAAATGGGACCCTGAGATTTGTCAAAACGAAGTGATTTTCTCTCTTTCTAATCGCACACTGCCGAGCTAGATGACCTAAGCTGACTAAGGTATCAATGGGAGGAGGATTATAGCGGTAGTGTTGGTTGGTGGTTGATAGTTAGAGTACAGAGGAGAAAGTAGGAAGAAGTAAAAGGGATTTGCCCTTCTTTTGCCAAAGCCAAAGCTTTTTGCAAGATCAGAAGAGGTAAAGCGGTTCCAGAACTGATCCGGTTTCCCAAGTCTTCTTCCCAAACACAAGGTTGCGGATGCTGGCGTGCGTGCGTGCGTGTATGTTGTGTCAGATTACACTGTACATTGCTGTTGTATGTTGTTTCCCTTCTCCTTTCCACATTGATTGGTGTGCTCTCCCTCTCCTCTGCTATCCTCTCTCCTCTCTACCTTTCCCAAGTCCTCCTTTGAACATCCTCGCCTCTTAGATATCGCCATAGCTCGGTTTGATTCGGCGCTTTGGTTGTTTCCCTCCTCTTCCTGCTCCCCGTTTCGGTCCATGTCCGCGTCTCCTTGCCTTTTCTTAGCAAAGCAGGGTCATGACATGAGCTAGGAAGAGTTGTTGCAAAGTACCGATCCCCCAAAAAAGCCAGATGATGATAATTGAGTATAAGACAGACCGCAAACTGCGTGACAACAACCTCGTTCAAACGTGCCTTCACCACTTGATAATCCCCATTCACCCAACCATCACCCCCTGTTTTACCCCTTTCCCACAACACCCCAAGCCGGTAGCTGTTCTCCTCGTAGAGAGCTAAAAAGGACAAAAAGCCCATTTGGGCCGTGATATGACGTATAACAGGTCATATAGCAGCAGACAGGATCAACTCAAACCCGCTGTAGCCCGCACCCGGTACGCCAAGTATGAGGTTAGGCCATTAACCTACACTTTTGATGCGAGTAAGAAAACATAAATGCATAATAATAAAATGACTGGGAAGACCATTCTCTTCCCGCGTGTACGTTGTTGCAAAGAATCCCTAGACCAGACAGGTTCGGGCGAGGCAATTGGGGAGAAAAAAAGCAGAAAAAAAAATACAAAAATAGGTAGACCGTTAGGTATTCGAGGACAGAAGCCAAAAAAAACCGGTATTCCATTTTGACCTCCCTGCACCCACACCAGCCTAACAGCCCGCAATCTCCAACCCCCTTTATGACGCCGATTGTGTAGTACGTGATAGCCGTGCTATGCCAATGTAAAATGTGAACCCTGTCGCTCTGGTACTGACAGAGTGCGAGCAAACGGCAGAATAGCAAGGGTGATGAGACATGAAGAGAAGGGAAATCGTAAAAGACATGATGAGTGCTCAAACCCTCTAATAAGGGGAGCTCGATCATAACAGTCATTTTTAACCACTCTTTCAGTTCTACAAGAGAACAAAGGGTGTGAAGCGTGTATCGTCATCATCACTCCTCGTTATCGCTCTGGGCTGCAAATAGATTGGCCTTCGATCGGCGTTCTTCTTGCTGTTGTCGCGGCTCTTCGTTATTCACGGTCGGTTGTGATGGCGTACTGTGTCGGGCTCGAGGGGCGGGGTTGCCTGGGGTGACCGACTGAGGACCGGCGTGCGTCTGATGTGATGACGGTCCTTCGCACTACGTAGAAACCATCATTTGATTCATAGCCAGGCGGCCTGTGTCGTCGTCCATCATGGGCAGGCCGTCCATCGGGTTGCCGCGCTGCTCCATGGCGTTCATTCGAGCTTCCATACTGTTCAACCGAGTGTCAACAATGTGGCCGCCGCTCATACCACCGTTCGTCATGGGCCCATTACCAAGATTTCCGCCTCCCATATTAGCCGTAGGCATGCTCGGGGTGCCCATCGAGGGCACGCCGTTGCCGCCAAGCATCGATGGGCGGCCACTTTCAATCGCGTCAAGTCGCTTCTCCATGTTGTCGATTCGCGCCAGAATGGTAGAGACATTGGCCTCTAGCCTCTGAAAGCTCGTAGTCTGATCGTGCTGCAACCGGTCAATTTTGTTGGTGATGCTGCGGATGCTTTGTGCGATGGGGGTGTTTTCCTGTCCTGGCACAGCGGCGGGTATACGCGGCTCATGATTGTGACGAGCCTCCTGAACTGCGAATCGCCACTGGTTGCCGAGATTGACTTCACAAACCGCCTTCGCGCGCCAGGGGCAGTCAACCTTGCGAGTGCTGGGGTTGCGCTTCTTCGCGGTGCTGCTGTACTTGACGCCGCCGCGGTCACATACGAGGTCGTAACGCGTCGGTTTGCCCTCACGATAGTTGCTGGCACGCAGCTTGACAACTCCGTAACCCTGATCCTTGGCAACCTTTTGAACCGAGGCCAGCAAATCCTCAAAGGTGCGATAGATACCCTCAGGTGGCGGGGCCAACGCGGGCGCGGGTGAAGGGGGGGGCATTGTGGACTGCGCGGTCGAGTTCGTCACGGGTTGCGTCCACCCGGACAGGTTGTTGTAGCCGGCGCTGGAGGTGGCCACGGTGACAGGGGAAGGGGATGAGTCGTTGGGAGCGGAGTGGTTGGGGTACGTGTTGAAATTGACGCGATCCGTAGTACTCGACGGGGCAACAGACGTACGCTGCTGCTGTTGCTGCTGTTGGGCCTGTTGGGCCTGCTGCTGCTGCTGTACCTGTTGTTGTTGCTGCTGCTGCTGCTGTTGCTGTTGCTGTGCGTGGTGCTGAAGCTGGAGCTGCTGATGCTGGGAACGCTGCTGATGGTGTTGCTGATGGCTGGCACCGTTATCGCCGGTCAGGTTGCTGAGCGAGGTGAGGCCGGAGTTGTCGGGCTGCGGGGCGGGGGCGAGAGACGACGAAGGCGGATCGGGGTACTGTTGGTGTTGAGGAGCGTTGTAGCCGTTCATCAAGCCGTCAGGGTCGGCCGGGACCTGGTGGGATCTGGTGTCGAGCTGTTGCGATGCAAAGGTGGGAGGTTGAGCCGACACCGTGTCGGGGTGGGCGCGCACGGCCTGCGGATGCTGGTGCTGGTGCTGGTGCTGCACCTGGACCTGCTGGTGATGGGCTTGGTGTGGGTGAGCACCGGGGTGTGGCTGCTGGACCTGGTGGGTTTGGTGGGCGTGCTGCGAGTGCTGAGGGACACCGTGCTGTACAGTGTGCTGGTGCTGGCTCTGGACGGGGTGCTGGCCCCAACCTTGGCTCACCGGGACTACTCCAGGGCCCTGTGCGGCAGCAGCAGCGCTGGCACCATTTCCGGCGTCAGGGACGCGGGTCGTGCGAGAGGGGCGCTTGCGCGAGCGTTGTGGCTGGGCGTGGGCTTCCATTGGCGACAGACAGACAGCAGCGACGGGCTGTCTTTTTGTCCAGCACGAGAAGACGAAAAGAAAGTAAGCAGGACGGCTGGTATAGAGGTACGGCACAGGCTATGCGTGACGGGGGGGACGCGAGAGCGAGGGACTGCCGTGGATCTCCGTACAGGTTGTACGCACTGGAACGGAACAGGAAGCAGAGCGCGCGGGCGGGCAGATGGAAAGGACAAGCTGCTGCTGCTGCTGCTGCTGCTGCTGCTGAGTGGTCTGGTGGTGGTGCTAGGTGCAGTGATGAGAGCAATTGAAAGGTTGTTGGTGCTGTCTGTGGTGACCAAGCCAGTCGCAGCCAGTGGAGGGATACTGTGTGCAGTTGGGGTCGTGCTTGGTGCTTGGGGGGGACAGGTCCGTGGTAGGCGAGTGGGCGGGCAGGTGGGATGAGCGACAGGTAAAAGTAGTACTGTGTGTAGCACTCACAGTGGGCAGACTTGGACGATTCCTTGGTTGCGAGACTTGGTTGCAAGACAAGTTGAACTTGGTCGAGACCTAGAGGCAAGGTATGACTTGAGCGAACTGAAGCCAGAACCACTACTTGCAAGATAGACCGCAGCCCGTCTCTTTCTTGGATGCGTCGTCGAGTGCCTCGATTCGATGCCGGGGCCTTTTTGCCTTGCTGGAGATCAACGTCGTGCACTCGGATGAAGGTCGTTCCGTCTCGGACGCTTTTAACGGCCTAGACTTAGCTGTCTGTTTGTGAACCACGCCCCGGTAATGTCTGAAAATTTGATGAGCAAAGTTTGATTGAGAAGAAGGTGGCTTGCCCTCGCTCCTCTTTCCCATGGAAGTTTCCCTCCGGTTATTTGCTAGCACAACAAGGCAACTCCGCGAAAAATTCATCCATATGAGCTTGGGCCACCTCTGGGATCCCACGCAGTGAGAAGGAAACGTTCCCGTACCAACTGCCCGCCCTCCACCACCACGCACTCCTGCCAAACCCACAGCGCGCGCACCCTCTTGGCCTTTTGGCCCCCCCCCGGCAAGCCCAGCCAAATGCATCCAAGCCGGATCACTAGCTCGCTCCAGGCGCAAGGAAAACAAAGCCTGGGCCCGCACACCGGGGCCTTGGTGCTTTGTACCTGTAGAGGTACCTTTCCCATCTCAACCTAAATGTCCACCTCTGGCCAGAGACACCTGTTCGTCACCACCCGACAACCGACACACCCCCTTCCCTTTTCCAAGCTCGGCCCTTCCCTCTGTCTTGCGCTTCCCGCACCGACTCTCCAAAAGACGCCCCTCTTCCGTCTACACTATCGATCCATCAGCCACGACTTTGCACCAATCCAGAGCTCTGGACATCACACCGCATCCCTCCCTTTTCTTTGTTTCTTCTTTCTCCGTCCGGCCAGACCCCCCCCTCTCTTCCCACGCAGCACGCGATTCAATCATTCAACGACAGCTGCCCGTGAATTACCTAGGTACCTAGAAGTAGGTAGTACCGCTACACGGGGCGCCTACGCAGTAGGTACGCTACGCTATCCTACCTTACGCACCAGGCCGTAGCCCCCGAGACCACCTCAGCCAAGCCGCGTGCCTTTCCTGGTGATTCCGCATCCATTCTCCTTCCTTGCTCAACACCCTGGTCCCTGTCGAGGTTCCCGTTTCCTGGTCGAGCTGACGTTCACCAACCGTCCCGCCTGGCGATAACAACGACTGGTTCAAGGGCCTGATATCTATTCCCACCATCGCTCGGGACCGACTGCGACTTGTCAATCTCTGCCCCACCTGACATATCCCGTCCGTATCGGTGACTGCTGTCTCCGTTATTAGCTTCGCAGCCCCCCTCCAACTGCGCCTGGGCTGTGAGAGTTGGCCTCGGAGTGTTCGTTGCGGTGCCCTGTGATTCAACAGAGGACCGGATGCGGAACTGGATCGCCATTGCATTTGGCATTCCATGTTGTTTCGCCGTCTTCCCCCTCTGGATTATCACGCCTGCTGTCACGTTGTGCTTCGCTACGCGTTCTAGAACCTTGCGGTCCGAGCTACTTGCACCCCAAGGACCCGTCGCTGTGCCAGCACAGGAGCGCATCCTCGACAGCCGCCATGGCAAACAACCACACGCAAACGCCCAAAGATGCTAGTTTCCAGGAAGAGGAGCGTCTCGAGGATGCGCTCGACTACCTGAACGAGCTGCACGTGCAGGCAAGTCGGAGACATACCGGTTATCGTCCCCTCCATGGATCTTATTCTAACTCGCCATCTTTGGGCCAACAGCTTCAGCGTCTTCGCTCTGCCATACCGCGCATGTTTCACCCCATGGCCGTGAAGTCATCCACACGTATGTGCTATCTTCCGCCCGATGGGCAAACACATTCGGACACCCATAGCCCTATCCGGGGCATTTCGCATAGCTAACATTGTCACTAGCCCAGAATACATTCGCCGCATTTTCAGATGCGGTGCAAGACACGGGGAAGGAAATTCGCCAGTTCAAAGACACTATGTTAAGCAGCGAGAGCGAAAAGGTCTTCAACATGGCCAACGAAAGCCGGCGAGCAAATCCCATGGGAATCAAGCCATGGAGAGCTAGGGACGATCCCGAATGGACGACGAGAAAGAGGAGAAAGCTGGACAACGGGCTCAAGCAGTCTTGACGAAGAACGATGGACCACGACACCAGCATATACATGCTTTTTGACTCATAATTTTCCTTGATAAGGGCTGGGATTGGCGCCGGGAGTTAGGGTCGGTTTGGGAAGACATGATTGCGATTCTAGTGGGCTGCTCCGGTAATACCCAACGAGTTATCAAGTAGCAGCATAGAGGGATTTCTGGGCGCACAGTTCTTGCATGGGAATAGTTGGCTGCGTTCATATCACCTGGAAGGATGCAGTGAAAACTGAAGCGGTCTGAGAAGCAAAGTTACGATTGCGATTGGTCGTGATCTCACATGTCGATCGAGGCAAACATTTGCTAGTCACTAATAAACGGGGGGGAGGATGCGAAGTGGTACGTTCTTACATTGGGGTGCAAAGAAAACTGGCATGGCTGACGTTGATAATGCGGTAATGATGGCTGATGCCAAGGCAGATTTAGTAGAGCCAGCGTTGTCGTTGAAGGTTCACATTCACAAACTATCGATTCCTCGTTGTCACCATGTCTTGCAACAAAGGGGTGACGTGACGTGACAGCTGGTGCGTGCTCAAGTTGATAGTTGAAGGTGGACAGTGCACCCTGGCAGCTGGCTTCGTTCGTTTCAATCGGCCTTTAGCCTTGTCCGGTGCTCATCCACAAAATGGCTGAGAGCTAGAGCACCAGCCACATTATTACTTAAGCAGGATTAGCCAGCTTTCGCGGATGGCACTGGGCGGCAGCACCGCGCACTGGGGCTGGGTGGGGCTTGCGCTGGGCGCCCGCACAGAAATTTCCTAACCACCAATCTTCAAAATTCATCCACTTCGCAGTCGTGAGCGATAGTTTTGCAGCATCGAAACTCGACAGCAACACCGCAGCAATGGCGTCTTCTCGTGTCACCTACCGCCGCCGCAACCCGTGAGTTTTGATCATTTTTAACATTTCCATGAGGAGAATTGCTGGAAAAAGGGAGAACACGATGGGCTAACTTTTTGCCTTTTCTTCACACAACAGCTACAACACCACGTCTAACAAGACGCGGATTGTTAAGACCCCTGGCGGTCAGCTGCGTGTTCTGCACATCAAGAAGCGCGGTACTGCTCCCAAGTGCGGTGACTGCGGCATCAAGCTCCCTGGTGTAAGTTATCACACTTTTTGGCGATTTTGCGAAGCAGACAAACTGGGGAGATGAGGTGGGGGGAGTACCGAACGGCCAAACGATTCGACCGACTTGCGCGAAGAACGAACCACGTCCCAACGACCAAATCACGGAAGATTTACAAACTTGGGAGGACTGAAAGCAAATACGCTGCCCGGCAATGGTGGGGGATGGAGAGGACCGTGACGGCGACGACTACAGCGAGAACGGCGGAGACGAGATTGTGACCGACAACGTGGCCCGGCCCCCCCCCCCAGCATGACAGATCTTGAAGGAGGAACTATGGATTACCGCAACGACTGCGACGCGCCGAAACACATATGCTGACGGAGCCTTTGCTATCACACAGGTCCCTGCCCTCCGCCCCCGCGAGTACGCTCAGCTCTCCAAGCCCAAGAAGACTGTCCAGCGTGCCTACGGTGGTTCCCGCTGCGGCAACTGCGTCCGCGACCGTGTCGTCCGTGCTTTCCTCATTGAGGAGCAGAAGATCGTCAAGAAGGTCCTCAAGGAGCAGAGCCAGGCCGAGAAGTCCAAGAAGTAAACAAGTTAAATTGTCAGCTTTCTTTGGGTCTTTGTCTTGGGGGAAATCAACAAATATGGTTGCGCAAGGTTGACGGTCTCATTGCTTCGGTGTTCAATTGGGAAAAGGGGGCTGCACAGCATTGCGATGCCATAACACAGCAACACAATACAGCCGGGGATTTATCGGTTGTCTCTTGTTCTCTTAGGGCTGCTTTCTCACCCGGAATGAGGTTCCATCAATGAAACTGGACTTCAAGCCGTGCTCACACCGACCGAACCGAACCTGGGCAATGCTGCTGGGAGGAGATGAACAGCCGCCTAGGCGTTGCCCTGCCTCTGCTATATCTCTATATATCTAGATTTGGCTTAGGATTTGGAGGGCGTCCAGGCGTCCGTGGATGACTGCAAGACGATGAACCGCAAGACACTCAATACGACCGCCAAAAATTTGTGCAGCAATATCTGGTTTACGTGATAATGATAATACCCCAGTTTAAGTGCTTGTTTATTAGAATGTTCACTTGTTCCTCAGTCACGTTGTGGTGCTCGATTAGAGACTTTCCCCTCCAGTCTGTGTCATCTGAAAAGGGGGTTAGTTTGGGCATGCACCACCCGATCTTTGGCTAGCGAGAATATGACGTCGAGGCCTCATCGATTTCTTATTTTCAATCCCCAGTTATGAACACCTCATCTTCTCAAAAACATCAACCGTACATATCCCACCACTCATCACCCCCCCGCAAAAACGTACATGCCAACGCGATGACATTTTCAATCAATTGTTCCATGCGCTCAACAGTCCTCCGCTGTGCTGTTCAGCGCACAACAGCGTTGACTCTTCCCACCCCGCGTGTCTCAATCTCCCGCCCAACTTCATTCTCACCCTCACTTCTCATCATCACCGCCACCACCACCAACCACAACGATGCCGCCATCACCCTCTTTTCACCCGGCTTCAGACGCTTCACCACCACCCCTCAAGCCGCCAAACAGAAGAAACCAAAACTAGCCCACAACAACGAACCCGTCCCCGATTCTCCTCCCACCACCGACTTTGGCGAGATGGACATGCTAGGTCAGACGCCCATCCCGTCCACGGCTATAGACGAGTGCTTCCATGATGGGTTTGCGCTGAACAGTGGGGTACAAGTGACGGGGGGCAGTGGGGTGTTGTTGGTGAGTGGTGAGGCTTTTGAGTGGAGGCCTTGGGTGGTTGTTGCTGGTACTGGTACTGGTACTGGTACTGGTGCTGAGGGGGGGATGGGAAAGGCGGCGATACCACCCAAAAGAAAGCTTGTGAATGAAAAAGGCCAGTGGGATGTGTCGAGTGAAGAGCAGTGGGGGTTTCTGGGAAGGTTGTGGCCTCGGCCTGGTACGTCTCTCTTTTATTTTTTTTTTCTTCCTTTTTTTTGTTTATTTTTTTATCGTATCCTCTCTCTCCCAATGACAGTGGATCGATGGCTACATACCTACCTCACCTCAAGGAATAAGGAACAACAACAGAACTAAACATTAACTCCTACCCAATGAAAAAAACAGACCTCCTGATCCTCGGCGTCGGCCCCTCCCTCCGTCCCCTCTCGCCTGCTACTAGAGCCCTGATCAACAGCATGGGCATCCGCGTCGAAGTGCTGGACACGAGAAATGCGGCATCGCAGTATAACTTGCTAGCGACGGAGAGGGGAGTGGATCAGGTTGCTGCTGCGTTGGTGCCGCTTGGTTGGAGGGAGTAGGCTGTGGGTTATGAGATCTGGGCAAGAAGGTTGGGGAGTAATGGTTATGAGGATTAGGAGGGGTGGGGGAGAGGGCGAAAGTATATGTATGTGGAAGTGACATTCGACTCAGGATGATTGGCTGGCGGCGATGATAACGGGACTGGGTGTCCATTAGGATTCGAGGCAGAAAGACAGAGCTCCATCCATATGCTGGGGAGGATATGGTTCCGGTGGTTAACAGAACAAAACAAGACGGACCAGAGCAGGACTCGATATCGTGGGGAGATGATATACGAGGTAGAGGAACAGATTAGATTAACTACAGATAGCCAAGTATAGAAGAGTATCGGGTGTATGTTATTTTGTATCTTGTTGGGCAAATTCGCTCCTCTCATCATCTTTGGCCTCTACGAGTTACTAGCGAGTCGGTTGTTCACTGAGTCTTTGTAAATTGTTTGTTTGGTCCTCTCAAATGCCGGACTTTACCTCCTTGCTCCGAACCAGGGAGGTATTTCGACATTTGTTATGGCCAGGATAACGAGATCAAGGAGATAGGCAGGGGCACCGCTCAACCCGATTTGTAAATTGCATCCACTTTCGTTGAGGTTTGTTGACTTCTGGTTCAGCCATTCGAATGTAAGGAAAGCTCTTAGTAATGATCTAGAAAGCCCAACGGACTCTGAGCATTTGATACATAATGGTACACTATATAACATCACTTATCAGCCACGTTGATGACAACTTCCAAGATAGCTCTGTCCATAGGTCTATTCGCGGCAAAACTGCTACTCAAACATGTGATTGTGCAAGGCTATGCTCGCCTCCTTTAACCATATTCCTACATAGACCACCTTGTGTGGCCAGTGCATATCATTCTCTTTTGTTTTGTCTAATCCCATACAGTCATGTCAGACACGCATAAGTCTACATAACAGAATTTTCCCGGTATGCCGTGACTTGTCCGAGGGTACAAACTCTTTTCCACACGACCTGATCTCTTTGATAGATCTAGAGCATATGCGAGAACCTAACCTTCATTTCGCGATCATTCATATCATGGCCAAGATCCTAGCTTGGCCAGTGGATAGCATTGAAAACGCCATGAACATTCGATCCATCTGTCGTCCTTTGCCGCTTCTAGTTGGCAGGGACAGTGGGGAACTCGACGGCGTTAGCCTGGGCCCAAGCCTCGAGGTTGGCGCGGGTGTTCTTGAGAGCACCGAGCAGACCCTGCTGGGTGTGGATGGCCTCGGCTCTGTGGACAGAGTTGAGGTTCTTGACCAGAGTCATCTGGTAGCAAGTGGCAGATCCCTGGCGAGCGATGATGGTAGAGTAGGCAAGGAAGAACTCCCAGATCTGAAGGATCATGTTAGTCGTGAACACTTGACAATACGACGGATGGATATTAAACTTACGCGGAACCATCTCTTGCCGTACTTGGCAACAACCTTCTCACGGTTGGCCATCCAGTTGCGGTACCACCTCCAGAGAGTAGCAGAGTAGTGGACACCAATGGTATCAACAGCGCGAACCTCGAAACCAGCCTTCTCGAACTGATCAATGTACCAGCCGAGAGGAGTAGAAGCGTCAGCACCAGGGAAAATGTGCTTGTTCATGAAGAGACCCCAGATCAAATCCTCGTACTGCCAGCTCTTACGGAGACCGGCGAGCTGGAAGACGGCAATACCATCATCATCGAGCATGTTGTAGACCTGCTTCATGAATCCCTTGAAGTGACGGACACCGACGTGCTCAGCCATCTCGAGACAGGTGATCTTGTTGTACTTGCCCTCAGGAACGGGGATATCACGGTAGTCCATGCACAGAATCTTGCTCTGCTCCTCGGGAATGCCAGCGTTGCGGAGAGCCTTGTTACCCCAGGCGGTCTGGTTACGGCCGAGAGTGATACCGGTAGCCTTGACACCATAGTTGACACTGGCGAAGCGGGCGAGGGTACCCCAGCCACAGCCGATATCGAGCAGTCTCTCGCCCTCCTGGAGGTCAGCCTTCTCGCAAACAATGGCAAGCTTGTTATCCTGGAGCTCCTCGAGGGTCTCCTCCTTGTTGGGGTCCGAGATGATGCCAGAGGTGTAGATCATACGGGGGCCAAGGAACCAGGAGTAGAAGTCATCACCGCGGTCATAGTGGTCGCGAACCTGCTCCTCATCTGGTGGCGCCAGCTCGTTAGCACAGTGTTCAAGACATGGCTTGGGCAGCAACGGAAGAAGGCGGAGACATACCCTGGGAACGAGTGTGCATGAGAACCTCGGGGATCATGCCAGTAACGAAGAACTTGATCAGGCCATAAGTGAAGCGGAAGCTGGCCCAGTCGTGGCGGTACTCCATGATGTCGAGAGCATCGCCGTTGAAGTCAACCTCCTCGTTGAAGTACATCTCGTGGAAGGTCTCCATGGGGATCTTGTTCTTGCCGCTGTACTTGAGCTTGTCCTCGGGGTTCTTGAAGGTGAGGTAGTGCTCCACCGGGCGACCGGGGAACTTGGCCTTTTCATTCTTGCGCGGGGAGAACATGGAATGGGCCACCCAGAAGCCGGCAAGCAGGGGGACAGTGGTGAAGAGGGCAAAGAAGAGGGTGGTCTTCAAGCCACCGCCGACTTTCCATGAGAAGTAGTAGGGGACACCGAAGAGGATGCTGAAGAGCGCAAGGTTGGAGAAGCTCTCGGTACCGGCAGCATCGGCGGGCAGCGGGGCATTCTTGATGGCGGGGAACTAGCACAGGGAACGGAGGGTTAGCGAAGCTCTACCGGACGCGTTGTTGAAGCGCGTCTTTCCAACACAGCAAGAGAGAGAGAGACATACAGTGGTGGTGCGAACACCACACTCCTCCTTGGGCTTTTCGGTGTTGGAGGGGGGCTGCGCGGGAGTCTCGACGAAGGTGTACGCGGGACTCGCGCCGCTGACGCTATGCGACTCCGACATGATGACAGAAGCTCGCCGCAGAGCAATGCGGTACGGACTCTGTGTGGTTGTGGGGGTAAAGAGAGGTGTGTACTTTGGGATCAGGAAGATTCCAAGTAGTACATGGAGAGAGAAAAAAAAAAAAAAGAAAGAATAAAAAAAAAGACTGAGGAGAGAAGAGGAGGGGGTGGTTCGTTTTGAGGACACTACTACGTGACAGGTCTCCAGCAAAAGATGGGATGAACTTGGAGCTAGTGCCCGGTTAGGTATGCCAGTGTGTCCCGTCCCATGTCCCAATCCCGGGCAGCTTCTGAAGCCGCCGCCGCTCTGTGTGTGGCCTGTGGTCCCAACTCCCAACCCAATGAGTAAACGGGCTACAACTTCCTCAGCAACGGTCTTAGCCCCGCCCCAGTTGATAGTACCTCAAGTACATGCTCTCACGCGTTCTCACTGGAGGTGCGCCCGGCTGGACCCCTAGGTCTCGCTGCGAGGTGCATGAGCTACTGGGCGGTGTGGATGCGTGGCTGGGATTGGGACAGCTGGCCGGCCACTTGATGTGGGGTTGTAACCCATTCGCCAGTCTGAAGATGGGACCTGAAGCTGTGCCTTGGCGGGACGGGACGACACCACGAACAATGGGCAATGGCATCAAACAGGACAGGTATTGTTTACCTACCTACCTACCTAGGTACTCAATCCTCCATTTTCACAAGCAGACCGAATGCCACTGCACAAGAAGTGAGTAGTAACCGTGCACGGGCACCCGGGGAGACCGCAAGGGTCCTCAGTCGTAACGCTTGCTCAACTTCAATCGATGTTCATTCGTTTCCTCCAAGCTGCATCACGCACTCAGGGTTCCCCAAACCACCTATGCTGGCACGGATCATATGCATCCCACTGCATCGTGGTGGGTGAAACAGTGATAGGGGAAAGAAAGGGGCATTCAGAATGTCCGGTGCTTCATTCCAAAGATACTGTAACCGAAGGCCGTTAATGGGTAAGTTGGAATGTTCTGTCTTCCTTCCTTCCGATATGGTCATGTCTTGTGTGTCTGTGTCTGGTCTTGCCCCGCGAAGATTCCGTGACCAAATCGGAGCTCTCCCGGTCTTATCTATGCCAGGACTCGAAGATGAAATCGAACAATCACTGGAGAAAACGAGGAAAGTCCCGCCATCCTTGTATCGACCCCATCCCATTAGCCAACGACTCGTAACGTAAGTGGACCACTATCCGCATCACCTCGATCGACAACATCCTCAAACTCACCTTTTTATCCCCAGACACCAGCTACGTTCAAGTATTCCACCTCTGAGAATCTAGATTGCACTTTGGCCTAGACCCCTATTCTATGTTTAGAAGGAGCCTAGCGTATGTCTTAGACGCAAGCGAGGAGCCTCAAGTCAACATTCGTTTGCATGTTATCGAAGACACTTTGCGGAAGTCTCATTGAAGCTCAAGCTGAAAGATCCAAGATCCTCCAAGATTTACTGAAAGGGGGTCGGTCGGTGTGTCTCACACCTCTCAAGCATCACCTCCAGCCATGTACAATCTTCCCTCCCATGGCCTCAACCTTGTCCTTTTGCCCTTCCCCCCTTCTTCGTTTCCATAGTTTCCGACCATCAACTTCAACTCCTTTTCATGCTCCGGCAACACCACCTCCTGCTCCTCATTGCTGAAGTTCAGAGCAACTACAACCCCTTTACCTCCGAATCTCTTGACGAACACAAACGTCTTCTCATTCTCGATATCACACGCCTCGAACGTTCCATGCACCAGCACCTCGCTATGTTGCTTGCGGAAACGGATCATGTCTTTCCAAAAGCTGAGCGTCGAATTCGGATCGTCGAGTTGCTTGGCCACGTTGATCTCGGGATACAGGTCGTGGACGTGCGCCCAGGCACCTTCCTTCCTTTCAGTGAACCCAGCATACGGACTGTCATCCCACTGCATAGGTATCCGGGCGTTATCTCTGCTCAGTGTCTGGAGGCTGCGCATTACGTACGCCATCTCCTCGGGGTCGTTGTTGGTCTTGGCGGCCATTAGCTTGTAAAAGTTGACCGACTCGATGTCCTGGTAGTAGTCGATGGGCCAGTCCTTGGGCACGTTGATCATGCCGATCTCTTGGCCTTGGTAGATGAAGAGGGTTCCCGTCAAAGAGCACATCATCAGCGAGAGCATCTTGCCCGAGAGGACGCGGTATTCGGGAGCGTCGGAGGCGAAGCGTGAAATGGAACGGCCTTGGTCGTGGTTCTCGCAGAAGGATGTTGTCCATCCATCAGTGCCCTCGATGAAGCGTTGCCACTTTTCGACAATCTTCTTCAGCACAGGTAGCTTCCACTCCTCAAAATGGTACTTATGGGTGCCACCTTGGCCGATGTCTACAATGTCGAACTGGAACACCATGCTGAGCTGCTTATCTTTGCGCCCAACATAGTCGAGCACCCTCTTCGGGTCGGGAGTGTGCGGTAACTCGCCGACGGTCATAGCGTCGTAGCGGTTGAGCACCTTTTCATTCATCTCGCGCAGGAACTCGTGCATGCGTGGCCCGTTGGCATAATAGCACCATGCCGGCTGCTCGTAGAAGCGTGAGTCAACGATGGGAGCATCGAGAAATTCTGTGGACTTCGAGTACCTGAAAGAAACCAATATTAGTTAGTGTCTGGTCCTGGTTAAGGAGAGCAGGGCATATAGTACTAACATGTTCACACAGTCAACTCGGAAGCCATCCACGCCCTTATCCAACCAGAAGCGCATGGCGCTGTCGTAAATGGCTTTGCGGCACTCTTCACTCTCCCAGTTGAGGTCCGGCATCTCCTTGGCAAACAGATGAAGATAATATTCGTTTGTATGTTCGTCATACTCCCACGCACTGCCTGAGAAGTAACTCCGCCAGTTCGTCGGTGGAAGGCGTGTTCCATCTTCGGCGTAACGAGGAGGCTTCCAGATGTACCAGTCACGCTTCGGGTTGTCCTTGGAGGATCGTGACTCCTTGAACCAGGCATGCTGATCAGAGGTGTGATTGACAACGAGGTCCAAGACCAGTCTCATTCCTCTAAATATGTGTTAGTACAGGTCCAATCATGGCATTGCGATACATGAGGTTTACCTCTTGTGGCAAGCTTCAATGAGCTTCTCCATGTCTTTGACTGTGCCGTACGGGGGGTAGACCTCCTCATAGTTTGAGACGTCGTATCCCATGTCAATCTAGCATATCAGACGTGTCAGCCAGTAGTTCCAAACAGGCTGTAGGAATTATGTAAACGAGTTATCAGCGCGTAACAACACAACCGTTAATGAGGAAGAGGCTTGTTACCTGTGGACTCTCAAACCTGTTACAACCCAAGTCAGCACTCGCGCTTCACCATCATGTTCAAAGTGTTGGACAACTGGCGCACACATACATTGGGGAAACCCAAATGATATCAACACCCAGGTTCTGGATGTAGTCCAACTTGCTGATGATGCCCGGTATATCCCCTAATCCGTCTCCATTTGAGTCCTTGAAAGACGCCGGGTAGATTTGATAGACCACTCCATCTTTCCACCACACTCTGTCCAGATTGTCGGCCATGGTGATGATTGTTTTCTGTAGTTCTTTCGGAGAAAACTAGATTCAGACTCGACAGGATGGCCAGAAACCACTCTGAAATAAGTTGTTGGGTGTTGTATCTGCTATTTTGTGAAGCCGACAGAAGTGAGTTGTAGAGACATATATCTCTCCAGCTTGCTTATAGATAAGAGAGCCGGAATCCACGTTAGGCATTACTGCAGTAGTTACAATCGACGTCAACAGTCCACCAACCTGAAGCTAAACTGCCGATCATCAGTTCCAAATACGATAAAGCAAGGAAGGCACAGCTGAATGGTCAATGCACAACGGCACGCCTGCCGATTCGCTGTTGTATGACACGAAACAAAAGTCCATCGTGATTTGATGTTTCCCCTGGTTCTGTAGACAGATTGTGGTTGCTTAGAACAGAAACACCAACACCTCATTGAACACGGTAAAGTCTTGACCGCGATGCCATCGTTAGGGCGGCCCCTTCTAAGGTAGTCTTGCTGTCATCATAATGCCGGTAGAAGGCGATATAATTGAAAGAGTCAAAAACGACTTCTTTTCTATCCAAAGAGAAGGAAACCAGAAAAGAAAATGAGGAAAGCGACCTTGACTTGAACTTACCAGCTCGGCATCTTTATCCTGTGACATATCGCATCCGAACATCAAGGAATACTGTGAAATCTCGTGACACTCAGAATGGCACTACAGGGTCAAACATGCCTGGCAGTTAAACCATTGCCTAATGATAAATGCAAAGCGATTGGCATAGCTGAACCCCGGCGACTGGTTTAGCCCGCGTCTGAGCCATTCTGATTTCAACGGGTTTCTATGATGCCACAAAGGCTCGGGCTGTTGGTTTTTAGGTTCCAGGAAATCAGGCACAATCCGTAAGCAGACTGCAACATTCGTGCCCGCCAGAAATTGTATATGAGACGGTGGTTTTGAAGTCCCCAACCTCCAGTGCCCGTAAGAACATAGAGAGAAAGTCCGGGCACCAGAAGAATTAAACGTATACTAGTATTCGGGGGTAGCAACGCATCTCTCCCGATATTTCGTGCGGGCATAGAATGTACATGATCGGACATCCATATGTCTGATATCTAGGAAACTCCAAAAAAATCATGGGCCGAGTTCTTGCAGAAGGTGTCCTCGGAGGTTGAGGCCAGACAGCAAGCGTATCAACTTGCTATCATCTGGCCGAGTCGTTATTGTGCCCGGCGCTCGGCTCCCTTGCATGGCGTTTATGTACTGCGTTTCGGGAATACCTTTCATGTTCGGCTGTTTGGTTGAACTATCGTAGAGACCTAGGAAACTCGGACCGGTCCCTCAATCTTTCAGACCGGATGTTCCGTTGCGTCGAAAACCTCCAGCTCATAGGTATCCTCAGTTAGCAAATACGTAGCATAAAATAAATATCGGAGCTCCTTGACGAGTACCTAGCCACGCTGATGGGGTTTGATGCGAACATGAGGCTCCAAGTTCTCAGACCAGTGCTACAGAAGGGGTCCTTATGCATCAGTCTGCAAAAGCTGGGAGGTTCCCCGAGCCCAAAACTGCAAGAGAGATACTGTCTTCTTCGGCGGCGGTGATGATGATAATGGTTAGCTGCTACTCCGGTCATGTGCTCATCGGGATGCGGAAGCCGGGACGATGCTTGGATCACTGCATAGACCGGAGGTCCTTCCTATCCGCCATCGATTCATGGTCAGCATATTCAAATATGTGGGAAAGCCCGCATCTTGGATCAGTCATGTGGAGGTGGATCGTATGCGGAATAGAGTCCAAGACCTACCGACTTACCTCTACCTGTCGTTCTAGACAACTTGATTTTGTTGAGCAAATCCACCGACACTAGTCGCCAGAGAGTTGCCCTTTCCCCCATTGTGCCCTTCTTGCAGTCCCTGGTGATCCTTCACTTCTTCCTTTCTCAAATTCTGCGTACTTCTTTCCCTTGAGGATAACCCATCCACACTGGAAAGTGGTTTGTTGCATGCCTACCTAGGTGCCCATATCAAGGAAACCACGCACGCGGTGCCGCAATGCAGAAACCATCCTGCCGCTCAATATTTTATTGCAGTTCCGCCACGAAATCTCAACTCCAAAGATGCATCTGCTACCACTTGACCACAAATGCAGCTCCCCCCTCTCGCTCTGGTTACGGGCATGACCGGCTTATGGAATAAACTGAAGCAGTACTGCACGCTTCAACAACTTCCCTCTCGCAGTTGGCCACTTGTTTCTTTTCCCCAAAGCTCCGTCATTTCAGTTCCTTTATAAGTACCCAGCCCGCAACCCCAGATTCTGATGGTGTCTCTTCTCCCATCACACGCTCTCTCCACTGACTTCCATATCATTCAAACTTGATATCAGTCGTTCTGAACGAAGCATCGATACGCTTTATCATCAAACCCATCTACCACACTATACTCTCCTGAACCAGAAACACCTTCTCGTATTTCTAGCATCACCAACAGTGTCACCATCACCAAGCTCGATAACTTTCGTCGTGTCGACAATTCCGTCACCTCAGAATCACCCTTAACGCATCACTACCATGTCCAATACCGACAACCTTGCCCCTCGAGGGCCACACGCATCCGGCGATGAGGAGAGAGCAACACCAACGCACCGTCCTTCCACCGCGGCACGCGAGAATGCCACACCTCACCACACCCAGTTCTTCGGTGCAGGCGAATATGACCAACATCTAGCCCATCTTGCGGAGAAGAAGGAGCAAGAAATGACTTTCAAGGACGCAGTCATTGGAGATTTCCGTTTGATAATGTACTCGCTGGGGTTCTCCGGGACTATCATCATGGAGGGCTATGGCTTGGCACTCCTCACCTATCTCTTCAGCGTCGAGCCTTTCAATGCCAAGTACGGTGTCTTCGACACCAACACCAGAAAAAATGAGGTATGTTGCACTTCTCGGCCTGATAGTGGTTGGAATCGTGACGTCTAGAATAAAGACAATGCTAACACGAATCTCTCATCAGCTTGAGTACAAATGGAAGGCTATTTTGCCCTTGTTGGCCCAACTCGGCTCGATCCTCGGCGTCGGCCTTACAGCCCCCCTCGTGAACTTTATTGGGTACAAGCGCACTGTTCTTCTGATGCTCGCCCTCTGCGCGGCATTTGCCTTCGTGCCCTTCTTCGCCCCAAACGTCCTCATTTTGGCGGGCGGCTTTCTGCTCCAGGGCATCCCGTGGGGCGTATTTCAAGTCGTTAGTCCCGCCTACTCCTCCGAGGTTGCTTCACTGCAGATGCGGCCCATCTTGACCACCTGGAACAACCTCTGCTGGATCATCGGTCAACTCTTGGCCTCTGCCGTTGCCTTTGCATTCCATGGGCTTCCAAATGCTTGGGCCTACAGGGTGCCCTTCGGCCTTAACTGGGCCTTCATCGCCTTCCTCTTCTGTGCCATTGCCGCTGCCCCCGAGTCTCCCTACTGGTATCTCAGGAAACACAGGCTAGGAGATGCTCGCAAGGCTACCAAGAAGCTCGTCCGCAAGGGATCCGAGGAGCGCACCGAGGAGAAGCTTGCTTTGATGCAGCACGCCATCTGCCACGAAATGAAGCACGTTGCCGACAACCAAACTAGATGGCAGAAAATCAGCGCCATGTTCAGGGGCGTTGACAGAAGGCGTACCGAAATTGCCAGCGCTACATGGATCATCCAGGCCCTCTGCGGTTCGAGCCTCATTGGTTGGGCTCCCAAGCTATTCGAGTCTGCTGGCATGGAAAGCGGCAAGGCATTGGCCATGAACATTGGCTTGCCCTGTGCCGGAATTGTGGGCACAGTTGCGTCTTGGTGGTTGATGCAAAAGATGGGACGTCGACAGATCATTTTCTGGGGCCTAATCAGCATGGCCGTCGTGCTTACTGTGTGCGCTTCCGCTTCGATGGCTTATAATCCGGCGTCCGGGTTCGCTGCCGGAGCGGTCCTCGTTTTGTATACTGCCATCTATGACCTGACCATCGGCCCCATTTGCTACTCAATTGTTTCCGAGATCGCTTCGGTTCGCCTCCGTACACAGACCATTTCTTTCGCACGTGGCCTTTACCTGGCGGCCAATCTCTTCAACCTCTTCCTTACCCCCAAGATGCTCGGAATGGACTCGGAGAGCTGGAGATGGGGTGCCAGGACGGGTTTCCTTTACGCAGGCTTATGTGGTATCGCAGCTCTGTACACGTTCTACCGCGTCCCGGAAACCAAGGACATCTCTGTCCGAGGACTCAGCATTCTTTTCCACGAGAAAGTCAAGGCGAGAAAATTCAGCGCCAAGAAGGCTGCGGAGCTGGAGAAATCGCAGGGGGCTGCAGCTTCTAAGACTAGCAGCAGTGATAACACCGTCTCAGTCCTTGACGAGGTTGTAGAGCCTAAGATTGCTTCTCCTGCTAGGGTTGCGTCTCCTAAGAACAACAACTAAGGAGGAAGATGTTATGAACTAGATTAGTCTTGGCATCGGCTCAGGACCGAGGAATGGAGCTTTTGGGTCAAGATATGACGGAGGACGGAGCCAACGCTGGAGGACAGGCGGTGCTGTCACTCCTTCTACATCGCGGGGTTTAGAAGTTAGCACTGGATAACAGCGACGCCGGTGACGCGGGATTCAAGGAGAATAGTATTTACCTACTCTATAGAGTTAAGTTGTAGTTTTGCCTTATTATTATTGGATTAGGAACAAAACCACGTTACACAATCGTACCTCGCCTGATGATTCCATGAGTTCCGTTTGATATGGTTGCTGTCAGGATAAAGCCTGAGCTGTTTGGCCACATGAAAGGTCAGGGTCAAGAGCAACCGGCCCGCTCGAGATAGTCACAGTGGGTTGTTTCTTGCAGCATTCAGGTTTGGTGGTAATGAGAGCACCTCGCTGAGCCATGATGACCTCTCACCTATCCCCCCTCTGTTCCCTCTCCCTTTCCCTCTCCTGCTTGTAGCTGCTCTCCCCGTGTCGATACTCCATCCTCTGTTTCTTATTGTTCTCCTCCCTCCTATAATCCTCCAGCCTGACAGGCCTCGAGTCCCTCCCCCTCGAATCTCCTCCGCCCCGTCCACTAATCTTCTGGTTCCACGCATCCAGCTCCTCCGCCCCCTTGGCGTCCTTGGCTCCCAACCCGGCCAGGTTCGCGTGCTTGTGCGTCACCTCCTTCACCTTCCCGCGCATCTTGCCGTCCCAGCCAAATTGTTTGAGTAAAGTGGCGCCAAAGTCGTCGATGGGTACGGCACGGTAGTCTGAGTGGTCGGGAGAGCGATCGCGGTCATGGGAAGAGGGGGAGTGGGACCGTTTGCGCTTGGATGTGGTGGAGGAGCCTTTGTTATCGAGAGAGAGGAGAGAGGAGAGGGCTTGCTCTTCAAGGGTTTGTGGGGGTTTTTCCTCTGGGGAGGGGGACCGGGATTGACGTTGGTAGTGAGAGGAAGAGGTGGGTTTGGAGGAGGAGGAGGTGGTGGTGGTGGTGGTGGTGGTGGTCGTGGTGGTGGTGGATTTTGGGTTGATTGTTAGACCCCATTTGGGGGGAGCGGTTTCTGGTTCTTGGAGGTCTTTGGGGTCTCTGGGCTTGTGGTCGCGGTCGCGGGAACGGGATGTTGACCGTCGACGGGAGCGAGAAGCATCGCCTCTTGATGGCCTGCTGGATCTGTTGTGTCTGTCTCTGTCTTGGGACCTGTCTCTCCTGCGATCACGGTTTCTGTCCCCGTCCCTATTCCTATCCCTATCTCTGCTACGGTCTCTACGATCTGAGCGATCTCGTGATTTCAACTCGTTGTCATCGCCATAGGTTGATATTTCGGTGATTGCTTGGACTCGTCCAGTGCGTTGTCCACCGGTTTCGTCATCGTCGTCTTCGGATTCGGAGGAGTAATGGTTTGAAGAAGCGCCGGCGTGGTGACGCCTGGTGTGGGTTGGTCGACTGGGTTTCTTGGTTTTGAAACTGGATGAGGAAGATGATGTCCCTAGGGCGATTGTCACCCGGGGTTTGGAGTCTTGATCGGTCATTGTGGTTGCTGTTGTCTTAATGGTTGATGTCAGGATTAGACTTTGGCTGTTGGGGATGGATCAATGCGATCTGGTTGACGCGCTAGAGGCGATAAGCGTTCTGCTATGTAGACTAGTCGCTTATCGCTTATAATGGAGAACCGTTTGGGTGGTGCACAGACCACGGATTGTCACCCAGGCAGGCAACAGAAGTCTCCTGACACACAAGTCTGGTACAAAGCGGACGACTGGATGTAGCCCGCGTCAACAACATCGACGGAGACATGTCCTGAACATAAGTATACAACGAACAACCTATCTGCTCAGCCTTTTACTTCCAATTTCTATATGGACTCTACGGCGGGCTGCGATTCCAGCAATAAGCGTGTCTTCTCTTGATGCCCCATGTCCAGCAGGTTGCTCTTCTTTTCAAGAGACCTCTTTTGCTTCTTTTGTCCTGTTTCGCACTCAAGGCAGTCGCCAGAGCGACTTGATCTGCAAGATCTTTTCGTCATCATGCCGCGCCCGTCTGGATGTTACCGGAACCGAACTCCCCAACGCACACCTCTTTCTTCAAGCCTGGTGGTAGGTGAATGAAGTTGTTGCCTATCCTACTACATCCAGCACCTTCACTTCCACCGTCTTCACTTACCTCTAGGTACTTCTGGGCTGCCCCTTTTGTTCACATGCAATGGTTTGCTTCCGTCCGCTCAAAGGTTTCCTCACAACGAGTGTTGTTTGAGTTGTACTGATGAAAAAGAGTCCGTCCGAGCCATGCCCAGGGTCACACACTTTAAACTTGACTCGCTCGAGTTGCGATTCCCGCGAGAATTCCCACGGCCGTGGACGGATGGATCCTAGTGAGATCTGCCTCCTGCCCAGGAACGCATCGGCAGTCGGGATGGATGTCGGGCCTCAAGGTCAAGCCCTCGTTGGTTAAAGAGGAAGTGACAAGAAAGTCTCACCATTTGAAACTACTACAACGAAGGGAATCGAATGATGGGGATCCGTTTGTTTTGAGAGGGGATCAAAGATTCTGGAGAGCTGCTTCTTCTTAATGAGGACGAAACTCCACCCCGCATCCGGGCAACGAACTATTCAATTGCAGTAGCATTTGATATTCAATCCTGCCATTGCCTTTGCCATGCCACCCCGGACTGCCCGGAGTTGGGGAACGGTCCGGTAGGTGTGTAGGTAGGTAGGTTGGTAGCAGGTACCTACCTCCTGGGTTTGTTCGTTCCTGGGCCACATTATACAGAACCTCTGTGCGCTGAAAGCCTTCGCCCCCAGCGCCGTTTCCCATCCAACACAGGTAAGTACAAGAGTACTGCATCTCGAAGCACCTTTTTGCAGCAGGAACGCCCCGGCATACTCACTCGGGTTTTGTTGTTCTTTTCACTGCTGTTTGCCGCCCGATAGGCCCTTAGCATTTTTAGCCTTATCTACCGTGCTTCCCCTCCATCAAAAGAGTTCCCTCCCTACCAGTGCTAAACGTCTCGGCCAATTACCTGGCATGAACCCCCCTCCAAAAGCGCGATCAAAGGCAAAAAAAACAGAATTTATCACCTTCATTCGCGTCGCTAACTCAATCAACGCAGCGACCAAGATCGCAACCCCATCGTAATCTATCCATCGCCGCCTCTTTTTCCATCTGCTACCGTCCCATAGCACCTAGGTGAACATCCGTTTAATTGATAAACGGATGTCGCGGCCGCCGATGACATGACTGAGGTCGGACCTGCCGACCGCCGGAAGCTGCTGCATTCAAAGCGGGCGGAAGCAAAGTAAGATGTATCCCAATCGATAGAGCGAATCTTTCCGATCATTTTGGTGTACGGGACTTGGTGTTGACTCGACACAGTTCAATTGTGACGTCGCGCAAACGGAAGCTCAGAGAGTTGTATGCTGTAGCAACCGACGAAGATGGCTTCCCCAATTACGACCTGAACGACCTCGATACGCGTCCCGCCTCCCCCGGCGAAGCAAAGTTTCTCTTCGACTGTGAAATACTGCAGTACGTTTTACCGTCCCCTTCTCTGGTGCATCGGCGCCCATCTTTGCACCCTGTCTTGTTCGGTAACTTGGCTAACCTTGGGCTTCAGAGGCCGACGACTGGCCGAGCGACTGCTGCCCGTATTCCAACGGCCTCGCTTCGATACCTTACAACATATTGCAACCGCCGATGAATCTTCTCTCGGACATGGCCCTCATGTCGTCCAACAAGTTCAACCTTCGCCGTTGATCCATCCAAACCATACGATTCCCAAGCATGTACAGCACAACGGCTTACCTTCGCCGGCACCGCCAACGTCGAGCATCCGTCATGAACCCGAACGATCCGTGCCATACAACCAAGTACCTAATGGGGCTGCCGGACCGCAGGAGGCCTTGAAGGCGTTCGCCCCTCGACAGGAGATTCAGAAGCTGGCGCCGGTTCAAGGGAGTGCAGTTAAGACAGCCGATGGCCCCAGCGGAGAGTCGAAACCGCCGGCGAAGGAGACGCCTGTGCTCCTTGCGCCCGCAGTACCTCATGGAAATGGGCGATGGAACGGCATCATCAACAATGCACCTCAAGGGCGCCTATTGCCGACTCCGCAAACGGTTGCACCCCCAACGACAGCTCCTACATCAACTAGGAAGACGGCGAATTTGGTGGAAGGTAGGACGGGACCCAAGGACGACACGGTGTCTAGGGGAGATGCAGAAGAGAAAGCTCGGCCTAAGCCTACAATCACCTCTGTCAATCAGCTATTATCGAATGGCGATTCGATTCGTTACCCCGATACCCTCTCGTCACCCAGCTCAACTGTTCAGTCCGCTCCAACTCCCCTCGGTAATGAAGCGTCAGCAAGCACTAGCCCCGATAATGAGGCATCGCAGTCTTTCGATAAGCCAGTCTCCAGGCCCGAGCAGGAACTCAGGAGGGTCACCACCGATAACAAGGGCGTGGGTCAGTTCACAGGACCATCTGTCGCCGTCCCAGAATTGCGCCCACAGCCTCAACAACCAGGTGTGTATGCCAATGGAGCTCCAGAGGTCGCCATCTCGTCAGCTCCTTCAGTCAGACCAGCACCTAGCGGAGCAGAGGCACAGCTCCTTCAAGAATCAGCTGCAACGCGGACGAGCCAAGTCATCGGAAAGGCGGGTGTTGCGGGACCCAATGGGGCGCATCCTACTGGTGGGTTGCCGACGCAACCCCCGTCAGCTGTGAATGGTGAGGTCCGGAATATGATGAACGGAGATATCCCAGGAAAGCACGTTGCTTCACAGGCAAGTGTTAGCACAGGTGTCACAGTGACCAAGGCCGCTTTGCCTGAGGTTGCAAAGCAAGGTCCGCTTTTTCAAGGCCCCGAAAGTCACAATAATAGGGCGGATGTTGGTCCTATTCCGATGGACGTGGACAGGATTCCAGCTGCGCAGGCATCGAAATCAATCCCGAGTGTGCACGCAGTGCAAGAGAAAGCTCCTTCCCAAGAGTCTGCTCGCCAGCCTCAACCCTCTTCGACCGCTCCGTCAACCACGCCACCATCTGCGCAGCCTGCAGTATCTCTTGAGAAAACTGTGCCCGAAATTCAAATCAACGCACCACCAGAGACTGAGACTGAGACCCAGGCCAGGACGTCCCGATCATCTCACCCTGACACGGAATCTGCTGTTGCGGACGAAGAAGGTGATATGCCTCCGGGCTTGCTAACTCATCGGCTCAAGTCTCTCTCTACTAGGCTCCGCGAAAGGCGGAGGAAAAGTGTGCCTACGGTTGTCTTTGGAAAGCAGTACAGGAAACCTCGTTTTAGTGACGATACCGCACTGACTGTCAACAAACCAAAGCCCCCTGGTCACATTCCTTCCGAAGACTACTTCGTGACGCTTTTCATTGAGAGTTTTGCTCGAACTTCATCTTGGATGAAACCGCTCGAAAAATTGTTGCACTCCGCCCACAAAACTGTGTCCACCTCCGATCAAACGTTGTCAATACTCGATCACCAAGCCTGCAAGATATTGCGCAGAGTCTACCATCTCCAGCAGCACGACAAATGGTCGCTTAGGCAACCTGTCCGTTGCCTGGAACCGGCAAGGCCCGCATCCCATCAGGACTTATTGATTAAGGAGATGAAATGGATGCGGACAGATTTTCGGGAGGAACGCAAGTGGAAGCGGGCAGTTGCTCGAAACCTTGCGTATGCCTGTGCAGAATGGTATTATTCCAGTCCTGCTGATCGAAAACTCTTACAGGTGGACGCTAAGATACCTCCCGTCCGGGCGGTCGACAATGCTGATACCAGCATGGCAGATGCCCCCGAAACTGGCGAGTCTTTGGTTCCGGAGCTGGATCACTCGGATTCGCCCGTAGGTAACGACGAAGAAGTACCGGAGCTGCCAATTACCACCATTGCACCAGCTACCATCTTTGCCTTGCAGGATGACGAAGTGGTCTTTGAGCTACAGCCTTCACGGACGGCGGATCTTCTGCTAGAAAATCTGCCAATGTATGGTTCCCCGCTCAAGGTTCCCAAGTTCGACTGGATAATTCCAGACTACGATCCCGATGCCAAGTGGAAGAGGCCAGCCGTGCCTCTCAGCAAGTATGTTGAGGGCGAAATGGTTTTGGACGTGAAGCCACGGCCTCAGAAACGTTCCCGATTCCAGTTCCAGGGCGAAGACGAGGAGGAGGAGGAGGAATATGTCTTTGGTGCTCAGCCAGACAAGGGCGCCAAACTGCCGCCCGCAAGTACTGATGTTGCCTTGTTTGCTCCGGAAATGAAGTTGACCAGAGATCGTCTACATGCTGGCCATCAATTTCGCCCACCTTCAGAACACCCAATGCCTGTCCAGAGCTTTTTTGAAAGCCGGATCGCTTCACAATGGACATTGGCAGAGGATGATCAGCTTAGAGCGTTGGTACGTGAGTATTCGTATAACTGGTCTCTCATTTCCTCGATGATCTCCAGCAGGTCATCGTTCCCATCAGCTGTGGAGCGGCGCACCCCTTGGGAGTGCTTTGAGCGATGGGTGAATCTCGAGGGCCTGCCTAGTGATTTTGCAAAGACGCCTTACTTCAAGGCTTATCAGGCCAGGATCGATGCTGCCGGGCGGACCATTCTACAGCACAATCAGAACGCGGCACAGGGGCAGCAGGTTGGACCTAACGGTGCGGTGGCCCCTATTCCACGGAAGAGGCCCACCAACACCATGCGTGTTGAGAGACGCAGGAACCAAAAACATCTGGCATTGTTTGATGCTATGCGAAAGTTGGCGAAGAAACGAGAGGCGGCGGCGCAGAAACAGCAGGCTCAGGCCACTATGACAGCCATGCGCAAGACAAATGAGCAGCAGAGACAGCAACCCCAGCAGCAACTCCACCTCCAGGCGAAAACTCCTCAGGAGTACAGTCTCATGAGAGCTGCTCGTGACCAGCAAATTGCAGAGAAGATGGCTCATCTAGCGGCGCGGCAGCACGAGATAATACAGAAACGGGTAAGTAGCGGAGCAGGATCCATCTATTCTAGTTATCACAGATACTGACAGAACATTACAATAGCTCCTTACGCAAAGACAAGCCCAAATGGCTGCCACGCCTGGCGTCGCTCAGGTGCCCCAGACAGCAGCGCAACTTGCCGCCACCAATTCACTCAACAACGCCGCAGCCAGACTCAATATTTCAGGTCAGATGGCCGTAACGGCCCAGAAGCTCGCTCCAGGACGCGTCCCGATGCAGGCTCCAGCCGGGATCCCTACGGTTCCCGCTCAACTCGCCGCCAGTGGTCTTGTACCGCCTCTTCCCGTCGCCGCTATCCCTCAAGCTCAGCTCCAGGCCATGCAAGCACAGCACCGGCTGCCAATGGTGAATCCTACGCCAGATATCAACCTTGTGATGCAGGCCCGAAGGATCCAAGATCAGCAGAGGGCTGTTGCGGTGCAATTGCAGCAACAACAGCACCAACAACATCAGCATCAACAACACCCACAGCAGACACAGCAGCAGCATCAGGTTCAACAACAAGTGGTCCCACAACAACAACAACACCAGCCACAGCAACAGCAGCAACAGCAGCAACAGCAGCAGCCGCAACAGCAACAACAACAACTACAGCAGCAGCAGCAGCAGCCGCAGCATCAACAGGTTCAAACACCTCAACCAGCACAGCAGCAGTCACAACAGCCTCAAGTGACCCAGCAGCCGCCGCCAGTGCCGCAAGTTCAAATCAACGGTGTTCAAGGGTCGCCAACACCAATGCGGCCGGTGGTGAATAGCCTGAACAATGGCGTCTACATGTCTAGCGTCAGTGCGCAAGCGATGATGGCTTCGTTTAATGCGGCAAATAGCGTTGCTGGGATGGTGACGTCTCCAGGTGCTGGGTTGAGTATGCCGATGCTACCGGCTGGGTCGCCGCGTGGTCCTCAGATTCCCGCTCAGCAATTACCCTATACTCATATCCACACTAGACTTAAGGAGTTTGAGACCCATTTCAGGAATAAGAATCCCGGGGCCACCCAGGACCAGATCAGGCAGATGGCTACGGAACATTTGGGTCGATTGATTGTTCAAACCCAACAACATGCCATGAATGCCGCGGCAGGTGGAGTTGGACACAGTCTAGGTACCGTGGCCACTACAACGAGTCCTCACCAATATGCGCAGCTTCTACGGGCCCAACAACAGGCTCAAGCACAACAGGCTCAACAACAACAGCAAGCTCCGCAACCCGCTCAAAGTCAGCTTACCCCGGCCCAGGTAGCCCAGGCACAAGCGGCGGCTGCTCAGAAGCAAAAACAAGCGGCAGCGGCAGCAGCCCAAGCCCAAGTTCTTGCACAAGCTCAGATGCAGACTCAAGCTCAAGCGCATCAACCTCAGCAACCTCAAGCCCAGCCTCATGTTCAAGCACAAGCAATGGCAGCGGCCCAGCTCCAAGCCCAGGTTCAGCTCCAGGCGCAGGCGGCGGCCCAGAAGCAAGCAGCCCAAGCGCATCCTCAGGCTCAGTCTCAGGGACAAGGTCAACCACCTCAGCAAACCCAGCGAGCTCATCAAGTCCAGCAAGTACAAGGGCAGCAGGCACATCAGTTGCCGCAGGGTCCACAGTCACAGCAGATTCAGCAGCAGGTTCAGCAATCCCCGCAGGCACGGCAGCAGTCTCAACAGCCTCAGATGGTACGACAGCCGGTACAGCAAGCCCAGCAACCTCAGCAGATTCAACAACCTCAACAATCCCAGAAGACCCCGCAAATGCAACCCCAGCAGCAAGTACAAACGCCTCATCAACAGGCTCAGAAAGCTCAGCAGTCCCAGCAAGCACAGCTAGCGCAGCAGCAGCAACACCAACAACAGCAGCAACAGCATGGACAAGCTCAAAGCCAAGGCCAAATTCAGGGCCAGGGTCAAGCTCTGGGTCAAGGCCAAGCTCAGGGTCAAGTCCAAGGTCAGATCCAGGGTCAGGTCCAAGGCCAAGCTCCGGGTCAGGTTCAACCTCAGCACACTCAGCATTCTCGACACACCCCTAATGCCCAGCACGCTCAACACACCCAGCAAGCTCAACACGCTCGGAATGCCCAGCAAGCACACCACACCCAACAAGTTCAGCAGGCACAACATGTCCAGCAACCCCAAGGGCTTCAGGGACAGAGACACGGACAAGTCCATGGGAACGGGCAACAACTTCATCAGCAGCACCAGCATCAGCAGCAGCAACCACAGCAGGCACAACAGACGCAGCAGCAGCGTCAACAAGTTCACCCTGCACCACAGCTACCGCAGGCGCAGCAGGCTCAACAGGCACAACTGCCTCAACATGCTCACCAAGCTCAAGCCCAACAGCCTCAAACTCAACAGGCTCAGGCTCCCCAGGCTCAAGCCCAGCAGCCTCAGCCGCCTCAGCAAGCCCAAGCTCAGCAAGTTCAACAGCCGCAACAGGCTAAGCTGACTCAGCAGGCTCAAGGTCAACAGGCGCGGGCTCAACAGGCTCAGGTTCAGCAGGCTCAGGTTCAGCAGGCTCAGGCTCAGCAGGCTCAGGCTCAGCAAGCTCAGGCTCAGCAGGCTCAGCAGGCTCAGCAGGCTCAGGCTCAGGCTCAGGCTCAAAGCCACGGGCAAATGCAACCGCAAACTCAACCACAACAGCAACCGCAACCGCAACCGCAGTCTCAGTCTCAACCACAGGCGCACCAGCCGCAACAGGCTAGTCAGCAAGTTCAGCATGGTCTGGTTGGACAGGAAGGCCAGCAGAATCAACAAGGCCAGCAAGGTCAGCAATCACATCAAGTTCTTCTAGCTCAACAACCACAGGTCCAACAAGCCCAGCAACCTGTAGCTACTCCCCAGCCCGCTTCCCAGACTAGTCAAAATTCTCAGCCTGCTCAGCAGGCGGGAATGGCACAGCAACAACAGGGACAGGGGAGCGGCAGGGCTGCGCCTGCTCCAACAAAATAATAAAATGAGAGTGAACCACCAGAATACTTGCTTCATGCCGACACTAGGAAATGAGCAGTAGCCATACCATGCTTTGACTGCCGATATCATGAGTTACGGCAGATGATGGTCCTGGAGATAGGGTCAACGATTGGGGAGGGGGGGGGGGGGAGGAAATTAGAGATTTAGTTAAGCACAAGGCACATGTAGATGTAAGGGCTACTCGAATGTTGTACGTATAGGGAAGGCTTGTCGTTCAGCGATTGCACAAGATTAAGGCGTTCTAACGAAGTGACGAGCGCATTGAATATAGATATTAGTACGTATACCCTCGATTCCGTTTGAAAGTGACTCGAGATGCCACATTGTCCAGGTACCTATCTAGTAGAGACACCAGACGTAGGCTCTGTGCTGGTAGAGAACGACCAGACATGCCAAGACGTGCTGTCCAGCCAGTGTACGTACCTAACTCTACCTACGCAGTATGTATTGTATGTACGTGATGTGCACTGATAAGATAAGACTTTTCAAGCAAAGCCCCACTAAAAAAAGTTGCGAAGGAAAATCAATGGAATCGAATGGCAATCGTTCAGCACTGCAACGGGAGCCTGAAGACTGAAGACCGAAGACCTGGCTCTGCCTGTCTTGATCAACCACTTTTTCATCATCTTCCTACCTCTACCTTCTTCATTGTAATCCCACCACCACAACAGAGCTCAAAATGGCCAACAAGAGAAAAAGAGATAATGCGCCCGAGAGCGAACCTGTCGGGAAAACAGAACAGCAATCAACCAAGAAAGTCAAGGCCCCAGCACCGACCAAGGCTGCGCGCGCCAGCTCTAACTCCAGCACTTCCGCGACCCCATTCAAAGTGGGCAACACCTCCCCGATAACTATCCAAGTCGTCGCCGGCTCCTACGATCGCGTCCTTCACGGTATCACCGCCACCGTTACTCCCACGACCACTACTACAACCACTGCTACCCCCTCGAAGAACAACAAGAAGAAGGCCGCCGCCGCCGAATCCAAAACCTCATACAAAGTCTCCTTTGCCGACACCTTCCTCTTCAACGCCCACGCCTCCGCCATCCGATGCCTCGCCCTCTCCCCTCCCTCGGCGCCCACGCCCGGCCAGAAGGGCGGTCAGAAGATCCTCCTAGCCACGGGCGCCACCGACGAGCGCATCAACATCTACAACATCTCTGCGCACCCGCCTTCCGCCAAGGCCGCTGACGACCAGAAGCTTCTCAACAGCATCACCCCCCGCCCGGTCCTCGAGAACCCCAAGAACCGCGAGCTCGGCACACTCCTGCACCACTCCTCCAACATCACCCGCCTCGTCTTTCCCAACCGCTCCAAGCTGCTTTCAGCTTCGGAGGACTCCACCGTCGCCGTTACACGCGTCCGCGACTGGGCGTTGCTGCATACCTTCAAGTGCCCCATTCCCAAGGCGCAGGGCAGGCCGTCGGGCGACACGGCTGCGCTGGGAGCGGTTCCCGCGGGTGTCAATGACTTTGCGGTGCACCCGAGCAACAAGATCATGATCAGCGTTAGTAAAGGCGAGAGGAGCATGCGGTTGTGGAACTTGGAGACGGGCAAGAAGAGTCGCGTGCTGAACTTCCCCAAGGATGTTTTGATGGAGATTGGCGAGGGAAAACACAGCACGGGCGAGGCGAGAAGGATCGTGTGGGGCGAGGACGAGTTTGCGGTTACTTTTGATCGCGATGTGCTGGTGTTTGGCATGGACTGTCGCCCGAGGTGCAGGGTCATGAGGGAGGATGTGGTGGGGACCAAGATGACAAAGGTGCACGAGATCAAGTATGTCAGTCTTGGTAAGGAGGAGGGACAAGAGGAGGAGAAGCATGTCCTGGCGGTGGCGACGGAGGATGGGAGGATATTGTTCTTTGATACGGCTGAGTCCGAGTTGATTGAGCCACCTGCTCCCAAGGAGGAGGAGCAGCAGCATAAGACAAAGCTCTTCGAAGCCAAGACGCCTAATGCCAAGCTGATCGCTCAGCTCGGCGGCAAGACGGCCGGCGTGTCGGGCAGAATCAAGGACTTTACCATTCTCCCCGTGGAGGACGAGGAAAGCGGTAAGAGGTCGTGGTTCGTTGCCAGCGCGGGCAGCGATGGCCGCATTAGGATCTGGCGTCTTGAGAGCGGCGACCTTCGTGTTCGCAAGGAGGAGGAGGGCGTCAAGGCCGGCAGACAGGTCGGCGAGCTGTTGGGCACGTACGAGACGGAGAACAGAATCACTTGCTTGGGCGCGTTTGTCATGATACCCAGACCCGAGGGATCGGTCGAGAGCGAGTATGAGTTTGATAGTGAGGAGTCGGAGGATGAGGAGTCAGATGATGAGTAGAGCAGTAGTGTGGGGTTGGAGATGATGTTTTGATTTGTTTAGCATAATTGATGTATAAAGAAAGGATTGGTCATGACTTCTCACGGAGTTGGGATGATGTATTGGGAATGTGTGATCGACGCTCCAGTCTATGTTGGTGCTTGAGATGTCTAATTCGTGTTGTACCAAGAAATTTTGGGGATGAAAAATCCGTCGCTTGCCCAGCTGATCATTGCAACTCCGTCCGCCTGGTTCCTCCTCTGCGACCCTTTCTCTGTCACTGGATGTGTCTTTATATTTGCATCAATGTCGTACGTTGTCTGAAGCCCCTCCACCATGTCCAGCACTTTACTTATTCCTTTAAACGCCCTAAAGATTTTCAGTGGTGGTTTTGATACTGTACAACCATCACAAATTCATGTCCAGACCCCAGCTTCACCACCCGTACATAGAACCCAGGTATGGTTTAACCAACCATAATAGGCAAGATGGCCGAGCGGTCTAAGGCGCCACGTTAAGGTTAACCCTTAATCCGAGTTAAAACTCAGTTCCGTGGTCCGAAAGGGCGTGGGTTCGAATCCCACTCTTGTCAAAACGATTCAATCAACTCCACCAAGCTCGGGTGGGGGCCCCTTATTTTTGAAAGTTTACCTTTTTTTTTTTGACTTTTTGCTTTTGCTCTAACATTGTGGTTGGTTAGCTTTTGGTAGTCAGTGAATGGGGTTAGATTGCTACACCAATCCATCTTTGTGTTTCTTTTGCCGTGCAATGGGTATAAAGTGAGCGAATGGCCTTGTTCAGAAAGATAATGACAGAATCCAGAGATGAGACACCTTTTTTACTTCAGAAAAGCAGACCAACATGGTCGTCGGTCTCTTGTGATAAACACCGCTCTAAGAAGCTTGTCGGCACAAGACCGCTGCTCAATGTTCGTTGGCGATAATAAACAAATGTTGCATTTTATTCGAAAGCCCAGCCCTGGTCTTGCTGCAACTACACCGAACCCAATTTTGGCTGTGCTTTTCGAGCAACCACAGTCAACGCTATCTGACCAATAACATCCATCACCCGTCTTACCCCATCTCCATCCCCAAATCATCATCATCAGGAAAGTAGCACGATCCTGACCTCGATTATTAGGACTTATCCAGCTCCCAACCCATTGGTTCTAAGTCTCAGGTGCAGAAGCCGCATCCGTCATTTGAACATCTTCATCAATTCCACCTGCTGTTGTCGTTGTTGCGGGTTCCTTCTTACTTGCGCCCTCGACGGCGGACATAGAGACATCGCCGTTTTCAGGTTCCCGATTCTCATTGTCCTCCTCGGTCGAGCCATTACCATTGGTGGTGGTGATCGCCTTGCCGTATACAGCGACCTCAAGGGCGGTCCAATCGTCGCCACCGTCGATGACTGACTCGTAGAAGTCTGGGGACTTTTGTTGCTTTGCGAGTTCGGCGGCGTCTTTGAGGATGGCTTGAATTTGATCCTCGTTTCCTTCGAGGCCGCTGCCATTTTCTCTTAGTTGCGCTTCCAGGATTTCTGGCGAGGGAGGCTCGATGCAAATGAAGCGCGCCGAAAAGTCCCAGTCTTTGACTTGTTGTGCGCTCTGTTAAGCGGTTAAATAGGTGAACATGTGATCGCTTAGGAGTGACAGGTGGGATGATCGAAACTTACATCGTGGCTCATCTCCATAATAGCAACCTTGCCTGCCTCACTAACGGCTTGGATGTGTTTCCTGCTCGTGCCTTGGCTGTAGTCTCCTTCCGTAAACTCGATAAGCTGGTCGCCGTCTCGCATCATGTTGAATGTTTGTGTGTCCACAAAGTAGTAATCCTGTCCTTCCTTTTCGCCTTCTTGAGGTTTGCGGGTGATGTGAGCTGGTACTCGTGTGAAGACGCCGGGGTGTTGGCTGGCTAGTCGCTTCGCAACACTGAGTTTGCTGGTCCGGCTGACGTCTACGACGACTATTGGCTTCCGGTCATCGGGGAAGACGGCATCAGCAGCAGCCGTGGAATCCTCCGCCTCTTGTGGCTCGGGTTCTTTAGGCTTGTCCTGGAAAATGACGTCGATGTTGTCATCACTATCAATGTCGTCGAACATCGCCAGTTTGGATCTGCTGGCGACTCTAAGAGCCACCCAGGTAAGGCTGTTCTTGGCCTCGATTGCCCTTTGCTTCTCCTTGGAATCTCTGGCCATCTCGATATCGAATTTGGCATCCTCTAACTTTCGTTCGAGTGTCTTGAGGTCAGGTTGTTGGTACCGTTCCGGATTTTCGAGCTTCTTCCAAGCTTCGTCCGGGTCCTCATCTTGTAGGAAGTCCCAGTTCATCGAGCCCATCGGTGCATCTCTCATTTTCTTTGCTGTTGCTAGCTTGCCTGCCGCAATCTTGGCATCGAGGAACGCTTGAGGGGAAACGGCGGGCATTTCGATAGGCGGGCAGCCCTCTACCTTCCAGTGCACCCAATTCTTGTCCCTGCTCAGGACAGTTTCGATCATCCGGTAAAAGTAAGGACCTTCTGGGCCTAGCTTGAGGTAATCGGCGATTTTCTTCTTCATGTCTAGCACCCAGTGGGTGTCTTCCTCACTCAACTGTTGATCCGAATGTGATACGGACTTGTTGGGTGCTTTGATGCTGGCGATCTTTTCCTTACCCTTGGGTGAGAGGGAAAGTAGGAACTCCATGATGATCAAGGCTTGAACGAGTACGTTTCGACGTAGGGCAAGATCGCCAATCTGCGTTTTTTTTTGTGGTCAGTTAAGGGACAATATAAAAATAGTGAAACAGGGAACGGACCTCGAGTTTAAACAAATCACGACTGGTAAGATACTTTGGGTTAAAACCATTAGCCAACTCGTCATCCTCACCTTCACCACGCTTCCTCTTTAGTGCACGCTTGCTCTCATCGGACTTGTCCTTGGAATCCCTGGACCGTGCGCTTTGATCAACCTTGATGCTCTGGAAGGTAGCCATGGTCGCTTCTAGACCAGACTTGAAGGAGGCAAACTGCGCGGGCTCAAACAACTTCTTTGGCTGATTGAAGCTCTCCTGCAGGGACCAGAAGATAGGGTATAAAGCCTCCAGATCGAGCGCCTTGTCCTGCTGCTTTTTGGCATCTGTAGCTCCGGGCTTGGGAGTTGATCGCTGCTCGCCAGTCTTTTGGGCAGATTCGCCCTGCGTCTCCGTGTCGACATCCATTCTATCGGCAGAAGCATCCTCTGTCTTTGTCGGCTCTTGATCCCATGTGGTAACATTTTCGACGTGGTACTCTCCTCTCAGGTTGACGGAACTTCTATCTCCGAGCGGAAAGCTCTGAAAGAGGTAGATAAACACTCTACCAGAGAACGCTGGATCCAGAGCCCTTGATAGACGTCGAAGAAGCTCATTGCAGGTGCGGAGAATGACCAGCTTCTTTTGACCAAAATGCTTTGCTGTGATGCGCTCTCTGCGGGACTCGAGAAAGTCAAACACCTTGCGACAACCGGCAATAGTCTGACTGTCAAGCAGCTCCTCAACCAGCCACAGAAGCAGGGCGGGATCACACTGCTCGTCATCAGAGAGGATGGACAGGATGTCAAAGAGGTTCCATACTCGGGCAAAATCTGGCGAGTCGATAGAGGTGGTGGCCTGGCGAAGTCAGTCAGCTTGGGCGCAACCTAAGCTGGCAAACTCGGCAGGAACTGAAGTCAAACTCACGATCAGGTTGCTGAACGTGTCTCTTACGGCAGTCTCGATGATGGCGTGCCGCTGTGTCCGCTTTGCATCGTTCACTTCACTAGCTTGGCTGGGCTCCACGCCAAGGGCCTCGTTCAGCTGGGTCTGGAGATTTTGAAAATCGGCCTTGTCGAGAGGAGGTTCGATGGATGCCGTCGGCTTTACTGCTTCTGCGCGTGCCAAGAGGTTTTCGAGAAAGGCCGAAAAGGCGGCGACACCGGGGACGCCGTGGCTCTCAATCACGCTGGAAGGCATTTTTACTCATTGCCTGGCAGCCTATGTCGATACTGAGTGGATGTATGCTATCGATATTAGTTTCGTCGAAGTCGATCGCGCGAGAAGGCTGAACGAAGTGCGAGAAGGTTTGGCGAGAGGTGAGTCTAGTGTTGCCGGCAATTCTCTATGAAGATGATGCTGGTAGAACCTATGGATTGGAGAATGAATGCCTCTGTCCGGAGTATAAGGTCAGTGAACCCTGAAAGAAAGGGAAAGACCAGCAAACCGCGCTGTTTGTGAGATTGGTGGAAGTAAAGATGGGAGAAAGAAAAGAGTAAGGATTCAGGTGAAGTTCACTTGTTGTTGACTGAGACAGACACCGGAGATGGGAGCATTACACTACAGTGGAAGCTGTGACAAGGCTAGATGCAAGTGGGTCTTTTGTCCGTGCTTGAGCTGCAAAGACTCCATTTTACAGTCCGATGCTGGTTTGTTTGATAGCTTGGTACACCAGGTACTTCTAGTAGTAGTGTACGCAGTACACAAAGGTAGACAATCTACTCCAAATAGTCCCAAAGCTTACAGGGACACGTCAAAATGGCTGAGTACAGTCCGTAAAGGCTTTACAGGAATTTATGTTACATGTGGAATATTAGAAATAGCGTTTCCAAGGTAAGATCACGTATTAGTTAGCTACCTACCTATGAAAACATATGGGAAAGTTGACACGAGGTCTTGAGCTAACAAACAAGTCAGTACTGGACTGCATTCGTGCATGTGGGGTAGGTGTGGATGCGAGGACTGTGACACTAGGTCCTGCAAGGCTGGCAGAGCGCTAAGAGGTTCGACTCTGAAAGGTACCTTACAATTTGCGGTGTACCTACCGCCACTCGAGGTACCTCCTGCTCGCAGTTCCTTTGGAAGCTGCAAACGCTAACACAGGTACCTCCAACTTATCGCTGATAGAGATCCCGGCAGTGACCCGTACCGTCACTCTCGCAATTGGAATATCGACTTCCAAATTTCCAAACACACCAGCAACGCGGTTGGACGAATCTCTCGCCCTCTGCACGCGACAACGACTCTCTCACACATTTACCCCAAGATGCCGCCGGCGAAACGAGTAAAAAGCAGCGCGAATGCAGACAAAGGGCCAGCCGCTGGCTCGGGACGGCCCACAACCCAAGACTTGGAAGGGGACAGCGAGTTTGCCAACCTTGCGCGCCAGCATTGGCTGAAGGCGACAAAACGCGCCGACGACGTCAAAGTCAAGGTCAAGAACGACGTGCTCAAGAGCGAGATCTGGGACGCGCTAGAGAAGGATGGCTTCCCTCTCAAATCTCTGTTGGTGCTGGAAGGCCTACAGACTCTAGAGAGGCATGTATCGCCCTCCCCAAAGAGATGTGTGTACCTTGATGTCTGTCGCTAACTGGCTTATAGCTACCTCTGGCCTGGCTACGGCGAAGATTCGTCCAATTACCATGTTCTCTTGATTGTTCTTATAGTCAATGCCAAGCGCAGGGAAAGACTGGACGCATGGGGTAAGTCAATGCTCAGGACATCATATTTCATGGCAATGATGAATAACCAGATACCTGTGCAGGCCTCTTCAATGATCGCCCGGCCGACTTCTCCGACCTCTTCCGCCGTGCTCTATCCATGACCCTCGACGACTCGTTATCTTGGAGCATCAGGACCCAGGTTCTCCAGTTCATCATCTACGCCTTCGAGAGCTTGGATTGCACCATTGTCCGGAAGGAATGCGCACCCCTTGTCTCGATATCCATCTGGCACAACCTCTCCACCGAAGAGAAGCGCAACGAGCTACTGGATTCGAATACACAACTGAGGAAAACCTGGAGGGCATCCGCTAAGCGATATGATGCGGCGGACGACGCAGGGAAAGCCCGCCTGCGATTCGAGAGGGCTTGGCTGTACAGCTCCGTCCTGGAGTTCTTCAGGGTTCTTTATACCCAAAACGCCAAACAGGACCAGGTCATGTACTGCGAGCGCTTCCTCGAGTTCCTGATAGATGTCCTCAGCCAGCTCCCGACAAGACGCTACGCCAACACCCTGCTCCAAGACCTCCACATCCTGCCAGCTCTGCGCCTGTCGCCCATGTACAACGATGAAGGAAACGGTCTTTTGCGGGATCTTGCCAAGCTGCTCTCGCACTTTGTGTACTTCACGGTCGACGACCAGACAGGAGTGCAGTATAGCAAGACGGAGGCGTACGATCAACACTGCGCCAGGCTCGCGAAGCTACAAAGGACATCCTTAAAACACTTCAAGGACAAACTGACAGTGCTTGCATTGTCTAACTATGGCTCCATCGACAAGAGATCCGACCTCTTCGGGCTGCTGGATGTCTTGACCGACGAAGAGCTCACCGAGCTGTCTCGATTATTAGGCATGCGAATCAGCTACCCAGAATCTTCGACCTTGGTGGTGGACCGGAGGTTCTTGGTGGAGGTGCTATTGTCAACCTTCGAGCGCCACAAGACTTTCCAAGAAGAGGCGGCTGAGCTGAGTGTTCTTCCTACAGAAGAGACGCTCTTTGAGACTGGCCTGAGAAGGACCGATCACTATGATGGCTCGCGGCCTTTGGCGCTGCCAAAAGTGAATCTGCAGTATCTCTCAGTAGGAGACTTCCTTTGGCGGTCGCTGACACTCTATCGTTGCGAGGCATTCTACGCTATCCGACAAGATATCGAGGCAGCCTTGGCAAGGCTAAAACCCGAGGCTCGACGTACCGGCGAGACAGTATTCACGGGTTTCTCAAGGATGGCTTTGCCAATCAGCAAGCCAACAATACTCGATGTCGTCCCACCGCTTGTTGGTACTGATGTTCCTTCCACTGTAAAGGCTGAAGTAACCATCGATTTGCGCAGACTGACAGAACATGTTCGTCGTGACTGGGAAGCTCTTCGGCCCGATGACGTGCTGTTCCTGGTTGAAGTAAATGCTTCCAAGGCAAAGAATGTTGAAAACGGCGGGGCGCCTCTTAGCGAAGCCGAAAGGTTGGGACTGGTGACTGTCCGTACTGCAGAGGTGATCCAGATAATGGATGACAGAGGTCGTGCGGTCCGCGATGCACAAGCGTACTTTGAGAACCACAATCGGAGCTACGCAAGAAAGATCCAGGTTCGTTTGGACGCTCATGCCTACAAGCGGGACTCGGAGGGGAAGCGGAACGTGTATGATGGAATCAATCTTATCGTCCGTCGCAGCGGCCGTGAGAATAACTTCAAGCCGGTCTTGGAGTCGATTCGGGACCTCACCCTCTCCGAAGTACCACTCGCTCCATGGATGCATGACGTCTTCCTGGGATATGGTGATCCAGCTGGAGCGACTTATAAGAACCTCCCTAATAGGATAAAGAAGTTGGACTACCGCGACACATTCCTAGACTGGCAGCATCTGATCGAGAGCTTGCCCGGTAAGAATGTCCAGCCCAGCGAAGATGTCTCCGGAACCATCAACCCCCCTTTCGTCCTCGAAACGGTTGAGAAGCCGGCCGAGGAGGGAGCCTCCAAGCCTTCCAAAAAGAGGAGGCGAGATGCTGAACCTGCTCTTATCTCCGAGGTAGAAACAGTGAAGGTTTCATCTTACAAGCCTCCGAATAATGGGCCGTATCCCATCGATGCGCCCAAGCTTAACTCGGTCCGATTCACACCCAAGCAAGTGGAGGCCATCATCTCTGGCTCCCAGCCTGGCCTCACGGTAGTCGTTGGGCCTCCAGGAACAGGCAAGACCGACGTTGCTACTCAGATCATCAACAACATTTACCACAACTTCCCTGAGCAGAAGACTCTGCTCATAGCACACAGCAACCAGGCCCTGAACCAGCTCTTTGCTAAGATTGTGGCGTTAGACATTGACGAGCGCCATCTTCTACGTCTCGGACATGGTGAGGAGGACTTGGAAACGGAGGGCAGCTTCAGCAAGCACGGACGTGTAGAATCCTTCCTCGAGAACCGTGATCGGTATCTTCTTGAAGTCAATCGCCTCGCTGCTAGTATAGGTGCACCTGGTGCTCACGGAAATTCGGCCGAAACAGCAGGCTATTTTAACAAGGTCTATGTCCAACCCGCATGGGCTAAGTTCAGTGAACTTGCGAAGGCTGAAGATGCAACCGCTGAGGACATTGTCAAGGCCTTCCCTTTCCACTACTACTTTGCCGACGCGCCCCAGCCTTTGTTCCCTCCCGATGCTGACGTCGACACTGTTCGGGAAATCGCCAACGGCTGCTACCGCCACATCTCCAAGATCTTTACAGAGCTTGCCGATGTTATGCCCTTCGAAATCCTCCGCCGAGATCGCGATAAGGAGAACTACCTCCTTACCAACGAAGCCCGCATTATCGCCATGACAGCCACTCACGCTGCCATGCGCCGTGGTAAAATCGCCGCTCTAGGCTTCCACTACGACAACGTGGTTATGGAGGAAGCTGCTCAGATCACGGAAATTGAGAACTTTATCCCCTTCGCCATGCAGAAGCCCAAGGACGGCAAAGTCCCGCTCCAACGCATCGTCCTCTGCGGTGACCACTACCAAAACTCCCCCGTTATCCAGTCGCTCGCCTTCCGTCACTACGCCAACCTTGAGCAGTCCCTCTTCTCCCGCCTCGTTCGCCTCGGCGTGCCCACCATCAACCTCGACCTCCAGGGCCGCGCCAGGCCCTCCATCTCGAGCCTTTACAAGTGGCGTTACCCATCGCTGAACGATCTCCCGCACACCATGACGGCTACCGAGTTCCTCACTGCCAACGCCGGCTTCCGGTACGATTACCAGTTCATCGACGTACCTGACTACAAGGGCCAGGGCGAGAGCGAGCCAACGCCGCACTTTATCCAGAACCTGGGCGAGGCTGAGTACGCAGTGGCTATCTTCATGTATATGCGCTTGTTGGGCTACCCCGCAGAGAAAATCAGCATTCTCGCTACCTACGCCGGACAGAGGGCGTTGATTAAGGATGTATTGGGCCATCGGTGCGCGAGGAATCCCATTTTTGGATTGCCGAGGATCGTTACGACGGTGGACAAGTACCAGGGCGAGCAGAATGATTGTACGTTCTCCAATCCCTTTCTTTATCTCTCCTCTAGCAACCCACTAATACGCTAATTCACAGACATCATTCTCTCCCTAACCCGCACCTCCCGCGTCGGCTACCTCCGCGATATCCGCCGTCTAACCGTTGCCCTCTCCCGTGCCCGCTTGGGTCTGTACATCCTCGGCCGCCGCTCCGTCTTTGAATCATGCTACGAGCTTCGCGAAGCCTTTGAACTGCTTCTACAGCGTCCGGACAAGCTGACCCTCGTCACCGGTGAGTTGTGGCCTTCGCAGCGCGTTCTGGCCGACGAAGTCGGTAAGGAAGGACTTGAAGGAGAGACGGTCATGGAGGGCATGGAACACTTGGGACAGTATGTGTTCGAGATGACCAAGACCAGGATCGAGCAGTTGAAGGAGGAGGGAAAGCAATTGCCCGCTCCTGATGAGAGCGAGGCGCAGGTGGAGGCGATGGCTGCGGAAGGGGAGGAGGGTGCTGAGGTTGTGGAACTGGCGCAGCCGGATGAGGAGGAGGAGGAGGCTGTGAGAGTTGAAGGGTTTGAGGCTGAGGAGGAGTGATTCGGAATTGGATGTGGGTTGTCTGTCCTAGATTTGCATGGTGGTAGTGTTTAGTTGTACCACATAGTACATGTGCATGGTATTTTGGTTCGAGAACAAGCGATAAAATAGAGGATATGGAAGACACTGCAATTTGACAAACCCCCATGAGCCATATGTTTGGAAGTGACCTTGACGATAACGCCAGTGTTTCTTCAACATAATTTCTGATGTTCCTCTCACGAATATCTCCTCTTGTTGTGTGTTTTTGTTTGTAACTTGGCCTGTATTTGACCAACTCTTTACTGTCTTTGTCAACCCAGCTGTCAACTTAACCAAGCACGTCCAACTCTTGGCTATTAAGTTTTGTCAGTTGGTTCTCTAGTCTAGCATATGAAAGTGATGTAATCGAGCGATGATCATCACATGCAGCAACCGACCAGGATACGTATTTAGCTCCTGGCATTTGATCAAGCCCAGCTAGCTATCTCCAACGAGCAGAAGCAAAAACACACAAAAAAAAAAAAAGAACCGATGATCAGTAACCATATAACCCCAACTTTTTTTTTTTTTTCCCAAGCCTTTGAGCCGATCACTACCGAACGAAGCGGCAAAGAAGTTGAGGTTAAGGAACCCCAAAATACTACGCGAAGGGTCCAGCGGTTCGTTGGCGTAGTAATTCGGCATTCTGGCATGGTTTTTTTATTTTTTTATTTTTTTTAATTTTTTTTATTTTTTTTTATTTATTTTATTTTTTTTTATTTCTTTTACTAAAATAAAATCGACGTGTTGACAATCAACATTGGCCCCGTCCGAATCTCCAAGGTTGACAACCGCCCGGTGTCGGTGCATGGCTCGTTGGTCGTAAGTCGCAGGTTGCAAGTTGAAAGTTGGAAGTCGGCATGCATACCTACACCCACTGGCTGGCACATCCTCATCTTGGATCGATCTCACCAACTTCCGGTTACAAAACCTACGCAAAAGTGCCCAGTTTCAGATACATTGTGTAGGTACCTACTCAGTAAATGCATTGCTTGCATCTTCTGGCTGCATGTGGTTGTAACTGCTCAGCCTTCTTCCAAGTTTACTTCCGAGTCCGGTCGTGGGGTCGTTCTTAAGTTCTCAAACAGCTTTGGGTGATGGAAGAGATGAAGGAAGAAGAGAACAATGAGAAGCAACTGTGTAACGCGATGGCATTGTGCTTTCAGGTTTCCTCGAGTCCCCCTCCCCACGCCAATACCCAATGCACAACGCCCAACGCCCAACGCCCAGATGCCGACATGGGCAGATAGATGGAAAAGGCTCTGAAGAGTGAGGCGAGGGGCACGGACTTTTCCTCATACCGGTATCCTGGCCAGGCCTTGATAGACCTTTGTTTTGACGTCTCGTTTTGTTCGTCGGTTGTTCCATTTTGAGGTTCTATGCAAGGGGACAAGGGGGGTACAAGTATCAGTGCGGCGTCGCTGTGCTGGGTTTGGCTTTCTTTCATTGTCTGTGGTACGTAGGTCTCTGCGTGGGTGTCTGTTGGTCGATGGCTATGGCTTATGGCTTGGGCTTGGGGTTTTGACAAAGCCAGAGTTCATGGCCAGCCGATGGAATGGTGGGTTGAGTAAACCAATGAAGATGGTTGTTCTCCAGGGCCACTGCTGAGCAAGCGACGGATACCTCTCAAGTCCTGTTATACCTACGTATTTAAGACTTAGACTGTTTTGTTAAGTAGATTTTGGCCGGCCAGCATAAGACTATACTGTCTATTGTAGCCTTCCGATCATGTTTGATATATCGTAGGAAACGATATGGTGTAGTGTATGTACGAAAAAGGAAAGGGGGGGTCGTAAATGCAGACGGTACGAACCGATACATGGGCTCCACTGCCCCACCATCTAACTGACCTCAAAGTAGTAGGTACTGTGTACGCCGTCTTGGTTGAGGTGGGGTTTCCCTGCTTTGGAAAATTGGAACGAACGACGACAACGATGAGGAGGGGGTTGGGACTCTGCGAGGTACAAGTACACTACATGCGAACAACGCTGGGGAGCCCTGATAGCCTGGTAGATAAGGTGAGCTCGCCCTTCTAGGGTAGTAGAACCGACATATGCGTATACAAGATGGTGGTTTTCTTTAGTTGGATTGCAGGAGGTGAGAAGGGGGCCAAAGGTTAAGCTTTACTTTGGAATTTAGGAGGTGATGAGTTCAGGCAGCAGATATGTTTCTTGGAGAGATTCGCAGATGATGATGCCTTGCAGGTCGTTAGGTTGTGTCTGGTTTTGGAGGCGACGAAATCGACTCGAACTTTTTTTGGGGAGTTCCTGGGGTGCATGGAGGTGGGGATCTTGCCTAGATCGAGGGGCAGCGGAGACTTCAAGGGGGGTATGAAAATGTACCAGCGCCGAGAATGTTGCTGTTCGCTTGCTGGGACATTTTGCCCACCAAGGAACTTGGGATGCCTAGACTTGATGCCCTGAAACCCCCAATTGGGTACAGATGTTGTTCAACTTGGCTCGTCGTGGACAATATAGTTGAGACCTTTGACATTATACCTTGGATATACTCCCACTACGTATCCAAGCGTCTTTGTAACACCTCTGGTTGTAAGTTCTAGGCAATTTTTGAATGAAAATATACAAACAGGACTCTAGCCGATGTCTTTTCGATCTGTTGTAATCCCTATTACAATCTTGCAACAGCCTTTTCTTTAATCTTGACGAGCAGTAGTGGACTGTTTTACTTAACCTGCTGGTTAGTCTCACTTATTTTGTCTCGGACGATCTTGGCTCATTGTCCCAGGGGCCGGAGGCTGGTAAGAGCGCTTGAGTTCCCCATTTTAAAGCCTAGGCCCCAAAGAACGGGAGATTTGGAGAAATGAGAAGACGGCAAACACAAAAACTTCAGCGTCCAGATACCAACAAAGACCCGAGAACATAAGGTCTACACTGGTGGGTTGACGTCATAGTAGACATAGAAGCAGACCAACTCGGCTGCTAAATGGTAGATTATATGGGAAGATAATTCGACTGAAAAAAGATCGTGGCGTCGTAAACGGGCGCTTGAGGGCTTGTAGTGAATGAGTCAGATATGATTGCAGCGTGGTGATTCGTGAGTTTTCCGAATTTCCAAATGTGTGCCATACGTACCATACTATCGGCGATAAGAGGGCTGGAGGGCACCGGGAGGCGTATGAGGGAGTACAGAGTGGTAAGCACAGACGAAGAGCATTTGTCGCCCCGGCCTCCTGTATATGTTGCCACTCACTCATCACTGTTGCAGGTTGTAGTATAAGCGAGCTTGGGCAGGTAGCGTTGCGCTCTCACAGAGAGGCCGAAGATGCTCACTTGGCTTATGATCACAGCTGAGACCGTCGGTTAAGACACATGCAAAGAACAATTCCATCGACGCCGGCGCCTTGGTTAGACCTGGGAGGTGCAAACATACCGCGGTGTTCGTGTCGTGCGCCTTCGAATGCGGACCTCTCCTGGATTGAAGATACCATCGGGGGAAGAACATGATTTGCTGGTTAATTCTGGTTCAACGCATCACAATGGAGAGACTCTTGGGGTCTTTATCAATTCCATGGCCACTTGGAGAGAGACTTACTAGGGCATGAGAATTTCCTACCATTCAGGTCTCATGCCGGCCAGTCACCGTTGAGCCGTATGCCATTTGGGGACAACATATAAGTACGTCGTCTTTGCAGTCAGGCAGTGCCTACCGCGATGTACTACTATACTAGTAGAGTCTTGACCTTCCACTCTTAAGAGGATAACTCTCTTCATATTGTCCGGACCAGTCGCCCATGTCACCCCATTCGGTCTTAGATTTGGAGAAGAGATGTCTGGAGAATCCTGGACCAGGCCCACCCTCGATTTTTAGCTTGATCGTACCCCCATCGTTTATTAGGACGAGGGCTAGACAAAGGGACGAGGTGTAGGTACACGAAACTGACAAGCGACAACAGCCCTCGGGTACGCCTCATGGTACATCATTTAATACTCTACAAGATAATTTCTGTTCTTCCGACAGAACGTCTGTACAATGGTAGCGGTAGCCCCATGTCCTGAAGGGAATTGAGCTGTGCCACACGTGATGTGGCTGTACACTTTGGCATTATTGTCCATGCTAGGAGTGTCAGAGCCGCATCTGCATCAGATCGTTTTGGTCCCCGGTTATCTGGGCACTAGTCAAGGTTATCAACTGAACATGATGGCTCACCAAAAAGAAAAAAAAAAAAAAAAAAAAAAAAAAAAACCGTCAAGTGCTTGAGGCAACCCCGTTCTCGGTCATTAAGTTGCTGAGATAACACAGGCTCAACGGGGACGTTGGAGAATCCAGTTGCTTTCACCTGGCGTGGCAGTCCGAAGACGCACGTGTGTGTAGAATAAGTTTCAGTTCCAGCCGACCAACGCACGACCGAACGGCGGACCGAGAGTGAAACGACAGATAGCCACCTAATCAAGTCCAAGCAGATCGCTGACAGCCCACCAGCGGTCGGTGTGATTTTCAAGGGACAACTGAATGAAAAGTGAAATTCCCTCGAAGTCAAGAGAGATCTTTTTCTAGAAGGCCGACTGTGTTTCCGAACGCATATCACAGCACCCTGCCTGGGGAATGGCCAGACGTTGCCAGGCGTTGAGATGCTGGTTATAGTGATGTTCACCGGGCATGGAGGTTGGGGTTATCGGGTTCCTCAAAAAGGTACGTACCTGGGGCGTCCACTAGCATCCCTGCACCTCGCGCTTGCAATTGGTCGACCCCCCTTCCTTCCGGGCCCTCTTTCCACACAGTTTGAAAAAGTGTATCTGAAGCGGCTGCCCCAAAAACTTTTTTTTTCTTTCCAACCCATCTTCACATCCGTCTTGTGAAGGAAACCCCCGGAGGAAACCCAACTTCAAAGGGTTCTCTTTTTTCTCTTCTCCACTCGGAATTCACATTGGTACTCTTGTCTTCTCAGGATTCACTTCCCAGAGATCCAGAGCCTGCCCTTGATCCATTCCCACTCCACTATACCTAACTCACTTGATTGAGCGTTGGGCGAGCGAACACCCTATCCGTCGCGGTACTGTAGTGGCAAGACCTACGAGATTGGTCAACCAGGCAGGCCAACCAAAGTTACCTACATTACCAACCCAAACCCTGAGGCAACGCAACCTCCCACCTCACCCACCAGAGAGTGCGAGTGCGGACGCAGCAACGAGGGTTTTCGCCGGCCGCTTCGTTTTTTTTGCGACGAACCCACTTGGCCAGGTCCAACCCACCCACCAAGAGGAAATCCTCCACCCACCCACCACCGCCTTCACTCTCTCAACCAGAGACTCCATTCCAGTCTTTTTCGACTTTTACCGTCAGTGCAACGCGCATCGGTATCGGTCTCTCTCGGTTTTCACAACCGCCTAATCCAATCCGCCAAAAACCCACCCGCGGTTTTCCAACAGGCACTCTCTCTCTTTCGGCCGCCGCTCTTTTTGCGCGTCGAAATTGATCCCAGTCTTTGTGACTTTTGCCCCCACTGCGCGGCGACCTTCTGTCGAGTTTGATATTCGACATTCCCACCCCGGGATCACCACCACATCCTCGACCCTTTCCCCTCCTCACCCGCGCACCCAACCATCCACAAAGAAACCGGCTTTCGAGTCACCCGAGACCCTTATGACTTCCTCTGCGAGTCAACAGAACCAAAACCCGGCTCAACCTCCGTCCGCTCCTGCAGCAACGTCGTATGCTTCCGCAGCCGGTGCGAAGAAGCCGACAAGCACGCCGCTGATTGCGACGGGTTCTCAGCCCCCCGTCGTGGTTGGTTCCTCTGCCCAGAATGGCAAGCCTCAAGCTGCCCCGGTGAACGGCCGGCCCAACATCACCCCCGCCGTGCCCATCGCCAGAGGCAGCTCGGGCCTCAACGGAGCCTCTGCTGACCACTCTAGGAAGAGCTCCGTCACCATCAGCGCCGCTCCTCCCAGCCACAACGCCAACGGCGGTCCTGTCGGTGGCGCCAAGGCCATCCAGTTCGGCTTCGACGAGTCGCCTGCCATCACCCACAGCACTCCCCACGCTGCTGGCTCCGTTCCCATCCCGATTCCTGGCAGCAACGCCAGAGTTCCCTCTCCCGCCGCCTCGCCCTCGCCTATTCCCCAGGTGCCTCAGCAGAGCGGTGGCCAGCGGGCTCCCTCCAACATCTCTGCTCCCATGACGTTCGGCAGTTTCCCTGGTGACAACGATGTAAGACCTCCCCAAGCATATCTTCTGGAACACGCTTGCTAACCAATCCCCCTTTCAGCGCCACATGAAGCAACACTCCGTATCTCACAGCAACGGCCCGGTCCACACACGACGGGACTCGCAGGCCTCTGCCCACGGTGAGACAGTTGGCCACATGGCTAGCCATCGTGGTGGCTATCAGGGTCAGGGTCGTGGTCGCGGCGGATACAACAACTCGTACAACAACCCCAACATGGGATTCCCTCCAACCAGGTCCTACAACGGTCCCCAGCACAACGCTGGTCGTGGTGGCATGAACAACTTCCAAGGCCGCGGAGGCATGCAGCAGTATCCCAACTCTCCTCAGCCCCACCGTTCGAGCCCTGCTCCGGCTCACGCTGTGCCTACTCACGGCACCCCTACCATGGCCTCTGCCAGCCTGGCACCTACTCAGCCGCCCTTTTACCCCGGCATGAACATGTACCAGCAACAAGTAAAGCCCCCTTCCTTTTGCAACGATTATTCCTCTTTCAAACCTGTCAACAAGAAGAACAAAGGGACACGCCGGGATTCAGACAGTATCCATCCTAGGCACCCTAATCCTTCGCAGCAAAAGTCAAGTTCGAGCGATGATTCAACTCAGAAGCCTCGACGTCAGAGCAAGCGTTGGGCTTCCAAGGCAGATGGATACCAAGAAGTCGACGGTGGTCCGCCTCTGCCGGAATACTCAAACGCTCCGCCAGCTCGCTACGACTTTGTACCCCTTCGCTCCGTTCCTATGTTTTCTCCGCCATCGCTCGGCATTGACCTGTCACCCGAGAGCGGCCAATTCGAAAACGTGCTGACAAAACAAAAACAGGTGCCCGGATATCCTGCCCCTATGGACTATCGTGGTCCCGTATTTAACCCCTACAGCCAGCCCATGCCCTATATGGGCCAGCCGGTGCCCCATTTCCAGCCCGCATACGTCCCTCCTACCTTTGTACCTCAAGGACAGCCTGTTGCCCAACCGATGTCCCGTAACGCTTCACAGGTTTCTGATCGCCCGGCGTCGAGCACTGGCCAAGTCCAAGCGCCCGTCGTTGCGCAGAGCACCCCGACGCAGCGTCCTGCCCAAGCTGCCCCTGCCATTGTTTCCTCTAACTTTGCTAGACCCAAGAAGTCCGCAGGCATCACTATTAAGGATCCCAACGGCAACCCTCTCGACCTTTCGGCGATAAAGGGCCCTGTCTCCCCGGCACCCAGCATTCAGCAACAGTCCAAGACACCGCCTGTTGTTGCCTCGACACCCACACCCCCTCCCGCTAAGCCCACTGCCCCCTCCCACGGTCGTACCGAGAGCACAACTGGCAAGACTGCCGAGCAACTTCGCGACGAGTTTAAGAATGCGGTTCAGAAGGCCAAGACCGAAGCTCCTGCTGACAACAAGACCAACGAGGAAGAGGCCGCGAAGGCCGCTGCCGAGAAGGCTGCTGCCGAGAAGGAGGCTGCTGACAAGGCCGCTGCTGAAAAGGAAGCTGCCGACAAGGAGGCCGCAGAGAAGGCCGCAGCCGAGAAGGCTGCTGCTGAAAAGGAGGCTGCTGACAAGGCCGCGGCTGAAAAGGAAGCTGCCGAGAAGAAGGCAGCTGAAGAAGCCAAGGCCAAGGAGGAAGCTGAGGCTAAGGCTAAGGCTGATGCCGATGCCTCGGCCGCTGCTGCTGCCGCCGCCAAGAAGCCTGAGGCTAAAGAGGAGTCTGAAATTGACTACAACAACCTCGACTTCGCCAAGCTGACTGACAAGGAGCTCAACAACATTGATCACAGCAAGCTTAGCGATGAGCAAATGGACGCTTACTTCAACGAACTCGAGGAGAGAGATGCTCGCCGCGAGAAGGAGCAGGCCGAGATCTCCAAGAAGAAGGCTGCTGAGGCCGAAGAGGCCAAGAAGAAGGCTGAGGCTGAGCGCTTGGCCAACGCTGCCGAGAACGACCGCAAGCTCCGCGAGCAGGAACGTGAGATGGAGAGACTCGAGGAAGAGCGCGAGCGTAAGCGCAAAGAGAGAGAGTCTGGCCAGGGCGAGTCTGTCGCCGACCTTCTCACCAAGGAGGCCGATGACAAGAAGGAGACCGATGCTGCCTCCAAGACCCTCGGCAAGAATAAGCCTGCTGCTCTCAATCTTGCTCCCCTCAACACTAAGTCCGTTGAGGCGCCCCAGCCCAGCGCTGCTCTCCAGTCTCTGCGCTCCGCTCGCCTTCTCCCTGGCGTGCAGTATGATATCTACCCTGCCGGCATCGCTTCCCCCAACCCAGCCCTCAACCAGGCTGTTTCTAAGAAGGGCAAGATGTTCAAGTATGATGCCAACTTCCTTCTCCAGTTCCAGACTGTCTTCACGGAGCAGCCGTCTCCCGAGTTCCATCAGCAGGTTAAGTCTCTCATCGGAGATTCGGACGGTGGTCGCTCGGCCTCCGCTCGTACCCCTGGCGCTGGATCCCAGAGAGGCCGCGGCGGTGCTTCCGGCGGCGGCTTCCCTGCCATGGGCCAGTTCTCTGGCAAGCCTGCGCTGCCCCCTGGAACCACTTCGGCGGAGCGCTTCGCTATGTCGCAACAGGCTGGTGGTATGGGCTCTCTTGGCAGACCTGGCGCTATGGGCACTATGGCTTTTGGCCGCCAGGGCACATTCCCTGGCAATCTCAGCCGCACTCCCTCGTCTACTGCTACTCCTGACTCTCCTCGTCAGGGCAGCCGTCGCAAGCCGCGTGAAGGTTACTCCAAGAACGAGGCTCAGGCCGCCAAGAATATGCCGCTCACTGCCGGCATGGAGGTCAAGCCTATTACTGTGTCCGCAACAGGCTGGAAGCCCATGAGCATAGGAACTAAGAAGGCGGAGGCGCCTGCCCCCGGTCACTTGGATCCTGAGACCGTTCAGCGCAAGGTCAAGGCCGCTCTCAACAAGATGACCCCTGAGAAGTTCGACAAGATTTCCGACCAGATCCTTGAGATCGCTCACCAGTCGAAGAACGAGCAGGATGGTCGCACTCTGCGCCAGGTCATTCAGCTCACGTTTGAGAAGGCTACGGACGAAGCCCACTGGGCTTCCATGTATGCCAAGTTCTGCAAGCGCATGCTCGAGACCATGAGCCCCGAGATCCGCGACGAGAACATCATGGACAAGCAGGGTAACGTCGTCAGTGGCGGCGCCCTCTTCCGCAAGTACCTCCTTAACAGGTGTCAGGAGGAGTTCGAGCGTGGTTGGAAGGTGGATCTTCCGAAGCCCAAGGAGGGTGAGGAGGGCGACAAGAAGGCCTCCGAGGCTGTTCTCATGTCCGATGAGTACTATATCGCCGCCGCCGCCAAGCGTCGTGGTCTTGGTCTTGTCCAGTTCATTGGTGAACTCTTCAAGCTTGGCATGCTTACGGAACGTATCATGCACGAGTGTGTCCGCAAGTTGCTTGAGTTTACGGGTGTTCCCGATGAGGCCGAGATTGAGTCTCTCACCAAGCTCTTGAGGACGGTCGGTGGCAACCTCGACAGCACCGAAAAGGGCAGGCCTTTGATGGAAGTCTACTTCGGTCGCATCCAGCAGATTATGGATCTTCCTGACCTCCCAAGCCGTCTGAAGTTCATGCTTATGGACATTGTCGACCTTCGCAGGGCCCGCTGGGTTTCCAAGGAGGCCAACAAGGGTCCTAAGACGTTGGAGGAGATCCGCGCTGAGGTAAGACATAGAACATCATCTATTTGTTATTCCGGTATGATGATGCTAACTTAATATTTACAGGCTGAGGCTGCTGCCGCCGCAAAGGCGGTTGAGAATGCTCGCACCGGCCAGCGTGGCCTTGGAGGCCGTGCTGCTTCCGGTCGCGGAGATGCCAGGGGCTTCCCTTACAACCAGAGCATGACCAACAACCAGGTCGAGCTTGGTGATCTCAAGCGCTTGAAGGGCAACACCAGCCGCTCCGGTAGCCAGGGCATGTCTTTCGGCCCGCCTACGTCCATGTTCAATTCTAGGAGCAACAGTGGTCGTCGTCAGGTCGGTGGTCCTGGCGGTGCTTTTGGCCGCGGCGGTGATGACTCTGGCGGCTCATCCCGTACTGCTTCCATGCGCGGTAACGATTCGGTTTCCCACGCAAATGCTTTCAGGTATGATAATTGTGCCCCCTAACATGTTGAACCTACAAACTAACGTAATTCACAGCCTTCTTGCTGATGCTGGAGACCACCCCGGCTCCCCCCCTTCGGCCTCTGCCTCTCCGGCATTGTCCAAGGTGACACCCGATACCACGAATAATGACGAGAAGAAGGACGAATAAGGCAGATGGTTTTCTTTTTCTCTCTTACCCAAAACAAGTTCAACGGTGTGCCGCATCATGAGCACCCGGAACTGTCTCTGTGAGCATAGACCGGGCGGGTTTCTCCAAATTATGCATTTGCGCGGGTCGGGGATCATTCCAAAAGTTCTGCTTTATTACTTTAACTTTTTTTCCTCCATATCTCAGTGATACCTCTTCTTTTTCTCCCACATACATCAGAGAACAAGTTATTACCATTACCTTCCCCATACCATAGACTCAATTCCCCCTAAAACGGCGGACACAAAGCACCAGCAGCATGGAAGATGAAATCACGTTTTGAAGTTCGGATTATGAATGAGGATTTTATGATGAGAAAGTTTCGGACTGTGGGAACATGACAAACGATGTGAATGCAGGTATGACGGAAAAATATGTCTGAAACTTCTCTTGTCCACCGGCTTTCCTCTGCTTTTCTTTACCCACAGAACACACACACACACACACACACACACACACACACACGCATGGCTACACAGCTGGCGACAAAGGGTTGATCTGTTTTTCTTTTCGGGGGCGTTTCACGAAAATCAGGTTGGGCAATGACTCTGGTTTTTCGATGATCGATTTCTGCGATTTTTTTCTTTTTTTTTTTATTCCCGAACATCAATTTACTACTACTTCGACTTTTTAATAATTTTTTTCCTCTCTGTGTCGTCAAGTTTGTGGGTGACGGATAAAAATTGACATTTTCTCAGTCCAAAGGCTTTGTCTGTCTGTGAGTCTTGTTCTGTCCATGTGATACTGGTCTTTCCGCGGAGGTGGGTTCATTCGTTCGTCTTTTGGGAACTGCCTGTTGTAGACATTTGGGTTTGATGCGAGTTTTCCGGTTTCCATTTCGGATTGTGTCTTGTCACCGTCTTTGTTGTCCTCTCTTGCCGTGGTTTTTTTTAGGGTCTCTGCTGCGGTCCGTTGGCAGCGGTGCTTTGATTCTCCTTACGCATCATCATCATCACGTTGGCCGTGGAGAGACTATGGGCAGCGAAGGAGCGATGACTGTGGCGAGCTGGACGAGAAGCATGGCTGATTTGGTTCGGTTCTCTTGTATGTGCGTTTTTGGCTTTGCAAACCTGGTGACAAAATCTTCCATTCTTGTACGTACGATTTATACGCAAATACACGGGCTTAATCTTTCTAGTCCTCTTCCATAATCTTTGTGACGTGTGGTAATAGTGTGTTGTATCTTATGGTGAGCTGTTCACAGCAGGACCTGATCAGCATGTCTCCAATTCAAACGTCCCGGGAGACCCGTTGAAACTTTCATAGTACCAGATGGATGGAATTACTTTGTCTGATGTCGTCCGCCCCCAATTGTTGAGTTACTCAGTTATCGTTTACAGCCCATCGAGGTTCACTCTTAATCCCGGACCTGTCAAGCAAGGTAAGCGTGTATGGACTACTTCGAAGTCGACTATGCTAACTTTCGTCTATGGCCCTTCTCAATCGACTCGCTCACTCGCTCCGTGATCATCACGGCCGAGGCCCATGTGTCGTGTTCGCATCGAAAGCAAGGCCAGACGCGATCGCTTTTATTGATCCAAGTTGCCTTGGAAGCCTCCACCCCAAAAGGGGGTTCTCATCCATGCGGTAGTGTAGTCATCTCTGCCACTAACATCAATGCTTACATCATGCAAAATGTGTTGTCAACTGAATGCGGTTCAGAATCTCAATACGAAATTTGTGGACTTTGTGACCATGTCGGGCGATGGTTCATACGTACGAGCCAGCTTCTTTACCCCAAAAAAAAAAAAAAAAAAATGAAGCTGGAATGCATGATGGAAAAACCTGTTTTACTAATGGACCTATTAAACCATCCATGCTAAGTACTAACCTTGAGTAGGTTGTCCAATAACCAATGCTGCTTGGAACCGACATAAATTAAGGCGAGCAGTCCGCGTTGCCAAGGGGGGAGGGAGGAGGAGGGGGAGAGAGAGGGCTGAGCATACATACCGCTTCTACACCTCTGCTGGGATATAACTTGTTAGCGTGGTTTCTCGGGATGCACAAAGAACCTTGATGTTGGCACAAGAAATAGCCAGCTGATCGTCAGCCCGTTCCCAAGTTTCTTGTAGAGCTACCGTACCATGCTAACAAGTTATATTTCAGCAGAGGTGTATTCATAATCCATAACAAATATGTTCCCTTTTTCAGTGAAAAAGATGGCTTATGCAGGCAGGCAGTTTTGGCCTGCTCTTTCCTGGCTGCACCTATAGGTACATAGCATCTTGTCAACAGGATTCGCTCACAATCCCTAGCATAATCCACAAAGCATACCGTGGTATCGTTTACCGTCATGGTTTCTCTCAAGCAAGCAAAGCGACGTGGGGTGAAAAGTCAAAGTCATGGGACCACCAGGCAGAGGAGATTCTGTTTTGAGGAGCTCGTTTAGTTCATTTACCTCCTTGTTTTAGGAACCCTGTTCATACGTAGTCCGTCGATTCGCTTCCTGTGTAACGCCTGTTGCGTTGTTTGGTTGCCGTGCTCTACGTGTACGCAGTACACACCTGTCAAAAAAGAAAAAGAAGAAAAAAAAAGAAAAAAAGAAAACCCTGGGAGGCGAGCGGGATTGCGTAGGATTGACCTGTTTGCTGACATGTGATAGAACCGGTCAGCGGTAAGATTCAGGGCTGAATGGATGAAAAGAGGTTGCAGATGCCGGGCTGCGTGGTGGGTGGAGTGATTTAATTGATTGATCTGATCAATGTGGTGTGGGTCTGTGCAGAGTAGTAGGTGTAGTGTAGAAGTGTAGGTATTCAGATATGTAACAGAAAGGGCTGTCCGGTGACTAGAAGGTAATCTGGACTTGCATCATAGATCTAAGGTAAACAGATTGGAACACTGAAAGAAGTTTAGTTATTTAGTGTTGAGACTACTTGGTCATTCTATAGCATCTGTGCTCACGTGTTGCGTAATGTTTCTCCGCAAAAAATGGACGACATTGCTGCTTTGGTGTTTTGGTACAGCGTCACCTGCCATGAAAATGAGAGGCGAATGAACTGAGCGTCGGGCAATCATCGGCAGAAACTGATCGTCCCGTGTTCAGGGCAAGCAACAACGGGAGATGAACCCCGCTTTCAAATAAGCCTCAACCATTCCTTCTTGTTGCAACGTTTTGTTTTGCCTGGGAAGGAAGGTTCGACGGACAGAGCGTCTGGTTGCAGTTGTGGCTTCTCTAGTCGTTTGTATGGTCCCTGAAACGGCAAGTGCCTCGGGCAATTAAAAAATAACGGAAACAACGGGCAGGAATTCGGACCAGGAGTGACCTCGGGCAACTAAACAGTGGCAATTCATTCCCACTTCCCTTGGCAAGAGACCTACCTAGTCTTGGCGTTTGCAACTTGCAGTAGCGACATGCTATTTCCAGGGCAATCGACAGTCATTGGTTTTGCATCCTTCTTTGGATTCGGGTGCGGTGACCGACGATGAGAAAATGTGGAAAGCTGAAGAGCAAGGCACGAGCGCATCTCCTCCTGAGTTATCTTGATGCTCACTGGATGGTGTTGCCTGTCTCCGCATCTTCGGCTGTGAATCCGCGTGGATGCAACTGCACTGTAACTGCAGCGTAGCCCAGTGTACCAATGATGGGCCATCACAGGGTGCGTCTGGTGCATCTGGTGCACCTCGGATGCATCCCGTACCTAGTGTAGGTAGTCTGGTAGTGTTTCCCCATACATTGGCGCGGTGGGCAAAAACAACGGGTACTGGGTGTTGATGTTGGCGATCATTGATTCATATCACGACTTCTCAAACTGCCACAAAATCCGGGGTTGTTGTGTGGTTGGGTGTGTCCAGATGAACCAAACGGGGAACGCAAAGTCAGACCATCCCTTGGAACCCTTGGGAATACATGCCATATCCCTGACCCATGTTCTTATTTCCTCTCTCGTCTCCCTTCCGCGTGCTTAAATCGAGCTAGACGGATATAACTCCTTTTAATCCTTAATTTCCATATAAACTTTTTTTTTTTTTCTCTCTCTTGTCCCGCACACTCGTCAGCTCTGAATTCTTGTTCCTCCTTCACACCCAGCAAGCTATAAGCATTGGGAAGCGGGGTGTTGTTCAAGTTCTTACTCACTCACTTACCTACCTTCCGATCCATCACTTTGCATCCCAAGACTGACCTATCAAGATTCTTTGTACCACCACAACCAGCAGCTCAGCTGTTTCCCGATTCTTCGAGGCGCTTTGGATTCACCGAGTTGGGCATCCTCTTTGGACATCAACGCGCTTGCCATTGATTTATCCGGCTTGCAGCCATCCCGGTTCTGAAACAATATAGACGCCAGTCGGCCGACCTCTGTGTCTCGCAACTGTGGAGGAGAAACAGTACGCTGGATATATATTCGTACAGTTTCCCTTGCTCCCCGAGCCTCTATATGCTCCAATTTTCAGCCCTTTTTGAGTTTCGTTAAGCTTCAATAAGGTTGATAACGCCTTTGTCTACATCGATTCAGCACCAGCGTGGCACGGGACGGCACGGCACGGCAAGCAAGCCACCAGGGGCAGTTTTTACCAAGATGGACCAAACCTCCAATGGCGGGACTCAAGAAGGTCCCAAAATCATCCGCCCAATCCCTCGACGACCCTTCAGCCTAGCATCACCACCAACCATCTCTCGTAAGGATGAGTCTCCCTCCCCAGCTCCTGGAAGAGACTCCAACACTTCGCCCCAACCACGCATCACAGCCGCCGACCTCCGCTTCCTCCTGGACCCTCGATCTCCCTTCAACAGCAGCGCTTCTCCCGCTGGCAGCGGCGCCGTCACCAGCGGTCTTGATTCCTCCAACCTCAGCAGAGCTACCTCCTTCCGGAACCTAACCTCTTCGACTCTCTTCGGCATCTTCTCCGACCCCGGTGAGCTCGGGATGGCCGCCACCACACCCAGCGTAAGTCGGTCAGCATCGAACCTACGCCATGGACTTTACTTTGGCAAGCAGCTCCAGGAGGAAACTGAGGACGAAGACAACGTACTAGGCATTGCCGGGGACGCCAGGGACGATGAAAATGACGAGGACGAGGACGAGAACTACCAGGAGACCATCACCCTCCGCCCCAAGCGCCAACGACGAGTTTCTTCCATAACATCCACCATCCCCCCCTTCAGAGGTGAACCCTCGTCATCAGACATCAACAGCAGCAACGACAACCCAGTAATGGGCCTGCTCTGGTCATTACTCCGGACCACTCTCCTCTTCGCTCTCGGCGCGGGCTACGGCGTGCTCGTGACTCGCTTGCCCAACGGAGATAGCGTCACGGGCGGCTACGGCTGGCGGTACCTCACCTTCTGGGGAGCGGCCGGCGTAGTGTTGGGCAGGCTACTTCCCTGGTTTGATCAAGTATGGGAGGAAACGTTTGGAAAGAGGACTAGGATGACCAAGAAAGAGAAGGAAAGGCGACGAGCTGCTGCTGCTGCAGAGGCCGCCGCCGCTCTCTTGCAACAAGCTCCTCCACCGTCGTCAAGGACTTTTCCAAGGAAGACACCAGTCACCACCACCCTCCCTGTTGAGACGGATTCCAACAGCGGAGGCGTCACCAGCCCGCCCGAAGCGGACTGGCCCCTCGTCGTCCGCAGTATCGGCGCCTTTGTTGGCATTGTCTTCGCCATCCGCCGTCTACCTTGGGCCTCGACCATGCAAGTATCCATCACCCTGGCGCTTGCGAATCCGTTCCTGTGGTACCTGATCGACCGCTCCAAACCCGGGTTCCTTCTCAGTGCCGCCGTGGGCGTTACGGGATCCGCCATCCTGATGGGGTTGGGTAACCCCGATATGATGCCTGCACCCGTGGCTGGAGCTGGGTATCACGACCATCATTTTCTGACGACGAGCGGGCAACCTGCGATGGACGTGCTTAATGGGACTACATCCGGGTTGCCTCGGAGCGCAGCAGCGAGGATGAGTGGTATGGGAGGGGCGAGCAGCGAAAACGCGGCCGTCATTGAGACGGGTATTTGGATGCTCAGTGTGCTGTTTTGCAGTTGCGTGTGCTTTGGAAACATTGGGAGGAGGTTGGCGCTGAATAAGTCGGCTGCTTCCAGGGGGAGATGGGGTGGTGTTAGGTGATTTCGTCATTGATGTATCACATCACATCAAGGGCACAATGGAATGACTTTCATGGAAGTCATTTCAATCTATCTTTTACTCATGCAGCGGGAATGATTCAACACACATCCATCAAGAATGGTCGGCTATCAACTCTGTACTTCTATTCAGCAGTCCCATCGGGGACAATTGCATTGCACCATTATACCATTGGACTCCAACAAGACTATTGAGTATATGGAGTTGTTTCTTACATCTTGTTTATCTTAGCCTGGCCTAGATCCATAGATCCATGTTATGTCTCTATCATATTGACCCCCGAACGAGAACCGAAAGGAAGGAAGAAGTAAAAAAAAAAGGCGAAAATAAAGGATGCCTGAAAAAAATTCATTCCACCTGAGCTTGGTGGAGGTATACGTGATGTGTTGACAAGAGTGGGATTCGAACCCACGCCCTTTCGGACCACGGAACTGAGTTTTAACTCGGATTAAGGGTTAACCTTAACGTGGCGCCTTAGACCGCTCGGCCATCTTGCCTATTATTGTATGTTCGGCTCGGGTGTATGGGCTATAACGTTGTGGTGTGGTAGCTGTGGATGTGGGTGGGGATTAGGGTTGAGGCGAGGGTCGGGGATATATCCCTGCCCTGTGAGTGGGAGTGAGATATACCATAGAAAATGGTAGATCGGGCCAACACTATCCTAGACTGGTTACATCACGATATATAAAGGGGTTGACGGGTTGACAATATTCGCAAACGTAGGGCATTGGAAAGAAGTTATAATCATTCAAGAAAACAAGCGGTGGTTCGGAAACAAGCCCAATCCTTAACGCCGATGTCGACAATATGAACACTGGAGGGAAACCATCCGCTCAACTTTAGTACCCATTTTCACACATACCCATCCATCTTTCCTCTCCACGCCCACTCACTGAGGAACAAACCCCAACTTGGCAAAAAGCGTATCCATCGCCACCCACCTCCGTCCACATTTATCCAAATACTTTTCCACCACGCCCTTAACCGTACCGAACCTAACACGATTATGTTCCGCCATGATGGCGACCCTCTCCCTCTCCTCTGCACTTAGCTTAGCAGCATCCGCATCCTCATCATTGTTCTCCTTGGCCTTGCTCTTCGCCTTATCCACGTCCCACAGACTAGCAAAGTACACCAGCTGGTTGTAGATGTCCCGTTCCGTGTATTCATACCGCATCCGGCCGCCGCACTCGCCGCGCGCCAGACCCTTGGATCCGAGACAGCGGGTGCCGTAGACGGAGATTTGGCGCGTGCGGTTGCCGCAGGAGGAGTCGTCGCAAACGAGCCAGCCTTCGTAGTAGCGCGCTGTTTGGGCGCGGACGGCGGCTTCAACTTGGGCGACGACGCTGAGCGTGGGGAGGACGTATTGGCATGAGGGGCATTGAATGCCGGAGGGCGTGACGTTGTTGATGGATGATGGGGAGGCGAGGCCCTCGAAGGAATGCGAGGTTTTGCACTTGCGACAGCGGAGAGAGAGGCGCGCACAGGACTGGAAGCGTAGGGAGTCGGGGATTTGGGACTCGAGAGGGTGGATTTCGAGGTCCTGTGGGCCTGAGGAGTTGTTGTTGGTGTTGGAAGAGTAGCGGCGGACGTCGAGGCCGAGGTTTTCTGCGAGTTGGGAAGTTGACGTGCCGACAATGTTGGCGCAAAGACGCTCGACTGGAGGGAAGATTTGCTTGCCGATGTACCATTCTACGTCCGGAGACAGGCCAGATTCGGCCTTGAGCACGTCTTGAGGGGTGTAGGCACGCTTGGCGACGGCTTCTGAGGTGGTCTTGCTGTCGCCTGTGATGATGTACGAGATGACGTCGCCCTTGCGGATGGTCTTGCCCTTGGCCAACTCGCGAAGGGCGACTTGGACCTGTGGCATCGAGTCGGCATTGGGATAATCCTTGGGCGCCTTACCAAGCTGAGTAGAGATGATGTACTTTTGCACAGGGACGGCACCATCGCGCATCTTGGCAGATATGTCACGAAGGTACTCGTGGATGCGTTGGACAGACACCTCAGTATCGTCACCCGAGAGGATCTCGGTGAGGATACGGTTGGAGATCTCCTTGGATAGCCCGCAGTACTCACGACGCTTCATATCGAGACCCTTGACCTCCATCTTCTCAACCCATTTGCCGTTGACCTCGACCATGTTGATAGCAGCATACTTCTTCTTGGCTTGGAGGAGGATGCGCCGGAAGACGTTGTCGATATCAATCTCAAGGAGGCGGTACCGCTCGTTGACGGCCTTCTTGAACTCGTGGCCGACACGCAGGGCTTCAGCAACGTTGTCCTTGTTCGCGTTGATCATGACGGAATCCGTGTCACCGTAGATGACCTGGAGCGAGTTGCTCTCCGCCAATTCCTTGGTGCTTCGCAGAATCTCACGACCCTTGTAGGTGGTGAGCACGGCAAGAGGACGGGCGTAGAAGCGCGACTTGGTATAACCAAGACAGCCGTACATGGAGTTGGCAGTCAACTTCAAGGCGAGCTGCTTGATATCCCAGGTGGCGAGCTCTTCAGGTGTGGCATTCTTGTCTTTCATCAGAGACTTGACCTGCCTACGTCGGCTAACAAGTGTGGCAATCAGCTTGGGAAGAATGCCCTGCGCCTGTTCCTTGGGAACCTCGGGAACAGCATCATCGTCCTCGGACTACTTTGCGTTAGCTTGTGACGTCAACTAAGGAGGGACTCTGACTTACCAGTGATGTTCGATCAACTGTGGTAAAGCAAATGTTGTACTCTTGGATGATGGAAGGGTAAAGGGAGTTGAAGTCCATGACGAGAACGAACTTGTCATAAAGACCCTTTTCTGGCTCGAAAACCAAACCACCCTTGTATTTGTCCTTCTTCTTTCCTCCTTCTCCGCCTTCCTCTTCTGCGTTTTCCTCCTCGATGCGTTGCCGACCCTTGAAGGTCTGCTTGTCCGGGACGACATATTTGTTGCGGTGGAATTCGTGAAGCAAAATGTATTCGTTCCGCTCAGCACGCGTACCGGTAAGTGTTCTTGCCCACGAGTTACCAGCCAGGTTGGTGAGAACCTTGGTAAGAGGAAGAATTTGAGTCCTGAGTGCAAGAGCCGCGATGAAGTAAGTGTCAGTCTCGGCGTGGGAGATGTAGTCCATCAAACCATGCTTGTCAGCGTTAGCCCACGTCTTCAGGGCGACTTCGTTGTCGATATCCCTCCTACGACTTTCGCCTCCCAGATACAGACTGCACATCTCGGTCAAGGACCAGGTCTGGCACTTGGTCATTACTGATTTACCGGCATCGTTAGCAAGATCGCATAGCAGACGGCCAGACATTATCTGACGTTCGGCAAATACATTGCCACCCATCTTAACAATGGATGAGGGCCACTGAGAGCGCCTGAGTCTACCCAAACGAGACCATTGATGTGTCTTTTTCTCGTGCAGCCGGTTCAGCAAGATGCTGTAGTCAACACCTTCTAGCTGGTGGCCAAGGATAACGTCTGGATCGACAACATCGATCTGTGCGAGCAAGAAATTCAAGATCTCGTGTTCCTGCTTGAAGAGCTTGAGCACACCTCTGTTTCTTTCCTTGGCAAGCGTCTCGAAGCCGATAGGAAATGCGCTACCGTAAGGTCTAACAGCGGTGAAACTACGAGAAGCAAGCTTGTCTGGGGGAGTGGTGTCACTGAGCGACACATCAAAGTAGACTCTCCCGCTAACCGCCAAAATCTCCTGCTTATTATCCTTAGGGTTGAACGCTGTGCGCATAGCCAGGCTTAACAACGTCAAAGGAGGAGGCTCAATGCTCTCGGCGTTATCCGGAACCGACACCATGTTGGGATGTTCTACCAGGACCTCCAGCTTGCAGTGCGAAGCATTCCTCAAGGAAGTGAAGTCTGCATCCTCAATCTTGAGCCAGCAGGGGCCCATGATGTTCTTCCAGAGCACAAACTGCTCGAACAGAGCGGTATTGGTACCAAAGACGTGGGAAAAGGTTTCGCCTTTGTGGGTGGGTTCCATCGCAGGCTTGGTATATGGGTAGAAGAGCTTCAAATACTGGCTCTCCTTAGGAACATCGGGAAGCTCAAATGCGTACTTGCGGGTGCAAGCCTTGATCTTGTGCATGCCGACATTCATTTTGGTCATGATTTCATCAACCTCGTTGTAGACGTCCATCATTTCCACCTCTTCTGTTGTCTCCTCGCCACCTCGCACACGGTACTTGCGCGGCAGGAAAAAAAGTTTCCGAAGAATGTTGTCAACCTTGACAAAGCAGCTGACGTAGGTTTTGGTCTTCTTGTTTAGGACCTTGCCAAACAAGCATAAACTGCCGTTGACCTCTGTGTAGTCTGTCCAGAACATGTTCAAGCTGCCGTCTTCTTCGATAGCGTCCTTGTAGTCAATCTTGCCAACGCTCCTGCCCTCGCTTTGTGACATGGATACGACATTGAGCTTCTGATTGATCTCATTCCAGGAAGCAGCGTCGACCTCTGGCGCTGGTGCCCTTGCGGGTGACGAACTGGCCGGGACGGGCTCTGTCTTGAGAATCTTTTTGATTTGACGGGATGCTGATATGTTGACGCTGGCGGCTGTTACCGCGCCAGTATGGGCAACCTCCATCATGTCCTCATCTTCGTCCTCATCATCCTCATTCTTTTTGGGTTCCGGCCTGCCAAACGTCCTCCGTGTTGCTACTTTTGCGGCCGGTGAGGAGGGCATGATGGCATCGCTCATAAGATAATCGGAAACTGGTGCAGGTTCGTCGTCCATAGCAGGCAGGTAGTCGTCGTCTGGTAGAAGGTCGTCGTCTCCTGCTGGGGATGATGCCCGATCATCGACCGTCTTGGCTCTCTTTGCCATGGGTGGCCGAGGTTCCCGTACCGGGGAGAGCACCCGGACCTTCCTCCTCTCGACTGATCGATCTCGCTTCTTGGATACTCGTGTGGCCGGGACGGGGATTTGTGCAGTGACCTGGTCGATGAGGTCGTCCAGGAACTTTTCATCTTCTTCTGTTTTGATGACCTTTTGTTTTGGTGGGGCTTTGACGGCGCCTTTCGTGAAGTATTCGGTGATGTTTCTGTCATTGGCATCTCGTTTCGCATCTTCTTGTTCCTTTTGTTTCTTGGCTAAGAGGGAGGAAGACGAAGGTCAGTACCAGAACCAGAGTGCTTTACGAGCTGCTCCCATAATCGGGTTTTCAACATCTCAATTTTGCTCACACTTGCGCGGCTTGCTGCCAGGTAGGCCTAATTCCTCCTCGCTGTCACTGTGGTATTGGGGGAGGCGGTCCCATTCTTCGCGGCCGTCGTCGGCGTAACCCTCGCCATTGTCGTCAACCACGAAATCGTCCTCGTTCAAGCGGTCTCTGACAATCTTCTTGTACTGGTTCTCGTCGACTTCTTCGTAGAGCTCGTCGATCTCGCCGACGTCGTAGGTCTTCTTCTTGCCGGATTGGCGCAGTTCGCGCAGCTCAGCGTACTTGTCTCGCTTGGCTACTCGTCTGGACATTTTGACAGGCCGTTGTGATGTTGCCTTTAGGATTGGAGATTGGATGGTGACGAGACAACAGAGGAGCACCAGGCCAACACTCTGGAGAGAATATCGACGGGGCCACCGGGATGTGGTAGTGTTGGTGACAGAGAAGAGGATTATAGTGGGATTACAGGGTTCAATTGGTCCCCTCCAGTAACAAAAAGAAAGACGCGCTTAGTTTCGTTACTCGTCGCGTACTTTACTGTAAACTGTAAGCGCGAACCCTTGTCCTCGTCACGGTCGTGTTTAAGAGGTGGGGCAGTTCTGCTGCTTTGGTCTAAGCGGATAAGGAAAGCAACGTACCGACCCTCGTGTGTACCTTTCAGCAGCGGGGCCCCTGGCAGTGTACCTGATGCCGACCCCAGACCCACCGCATCTCCAAAGGTGCAAAAGGCCGCGGCAGGCATTTTTGTAGATCAGTCTCCAAAATTTCGGAATGTCATCCTAACTTTTGGCCATCATTCACGGTCGCCATCTCAGCATCATCCTCCGTCCAGAGTCCAGGGCAGTTGTGCGCCCGCCACAGTAAAATACCAATATCGATTTCTTCCCGGGCCTTAACTTTTTATATCACGTCGTTCACTCCTTTGGGAATTGTCTTGGAACAACAGGAATCCATTACAGGAAACTCGACGATCCAGATACCCCACCAACCGACCATTAGCAACACAGGTACCTCGGCCCGTACCTCGCAGAAGAAAAAGATTCAAAACATTCAAGGGCAAACTCGGTTGTCCGCAAACCATGTTTGTCTGCCGGGCCTGTCTGCGGAAAGGCCTAGCTCCTGGAGCTTTGGCTAGGATAAATGTGCCTGCAGTTGGATCTCGTCTGGCCCTCCCAAGGTTAGGCGCACTTACACCAAGCCAGTCCACGACCGCCATCCGATCCTACCACTTACCCGCCCTCAAGCCAAAGACTGCCACCGATCCCTCCGTTACCCTCGATCTCGAAGCGCCGGAAGGGGAAGAAGATGGAGACGGGTCGGAAGGGAAGAGGAAGAAGAGGGACCTGAGCGACGAGCAGCGGAAGAAGCTGGAGCGCAGTGCGGCTCTACAACTTAAGCATTTCAAGGATCCCTTCCACATCGAGAAGCAGGTCAAGTTGACCCTCGACAAAGGAAAATACGAGGAGGCCCTTGTTCTCACCCGCAAGGCCAGCAAGAACGCAAAGGTCCAAGTCTCGTGGAACCATCTGATCGACTACCACATGAAGAACAAGCGTCTGTCTGCCGCCATCAAGATCTACAACGAGATGAAGAAGCGCGCCCAGGTTCCAGATGCCAGGACTTATACGATTATCTTCCGAGGCTGCGCCATGAGCGAGCACCCCAAGCAGGCAGTCGCAGAAGCCGTCAAGATCTACCACAGCTTGCTCAGGAATGAGCGCGTGAAGCCAACCACAATCCATCTTAACGCTGTCCTCGAGACATGTGCCCGCGCCGGCGATCTGGACAGCATGTTTACGACAGTACAAACAGCCAACGAAAGCACACGCAAGCCCGACAATCTGACCTACACAATCATCTTCAACGCCCTTCGGGCCCAATTTAACCCACGACTGCCACTGGATCGGGATCCCATGCAGCGCGACCAAGAAGATATCAACCGGGAGAAACAAGAGGCTATCAACAGGGGCTTGCAAATATGGGAAGATGTACAGCGTCAATGGAAGAAGGCCAACCTCATGATCGACGAGGAATTGGTATGTTCCTTTGGAAGGCTCCTGACTCTGGGCACCAAGGAAGACAACGAGAGAGTCTTCGAGCTTTTGTCCTCAACCATGCAGCTCCCGCGATTCCATGCTGGCGAGAAGGCAGCTGCCCAAGTGACCGCTAAGGCCGTAGACACAACCACCACGCCAGTGGTCTCACCTGAAGCAGCCTCTCCAGAAGCCACCGCCTCAGAAGCACCAGAAACCACACCAACGAAAACCACCCCATCTGACTCGACCACACCCACCGTCCAGCCTACCGAAACTAAGCCCAAGTTCGAGAGGAAACCCAAATCCGTCACCCACAGCCCCAGCCTCTACGCCAAACCAGGCAACAACACCCTCTCCCTAATCCTCTCCGTCCTCTCCAACACGCGCCGCACCTCGCTCGCCCAAAAGTACTGGGACCTGCTCACCTCCCCGCCCTACTCCATCAAGCCAGACAAGGACAACTACTTCCGCTACTTGCGCGTCCTCCAAATCGGCCGTGGTTCCGCCGCCACCGCGGCAGTCCTCCAGTCCATGCCTGCCGAGTTCATCACGCCCATGATCCTCAAGACGGCCTTCACGACCTGCATTCGCGACGAGCTGAACCCGCACGCCTTTTCTCCGCACGCCTGCACCATTTTTGACGTGATGACCAAGAAGACCCGCTACCCGGACGCCATCGCCATGCGTCTCTTTTTGCAATCCGCCCAAGGAAACTTCCGCCACATCAAGAAGATGGCCGAGACCGACCCCCTGGGATCCCGCCAGGCAATGGGCAAGCAAATCATGCTCGCCCTCGACAAGATGTGGCAGCCGTATCGGATCATGGCCAACCAATACTCTTACCCGATCGGCAGTCGCGTGCAGGCGCAGAGCCCAGAAGACGCGTGGAAGGCTGTGCGGGCGCACATGTCCGAGTGCGTGGTCACCGCTCGCCGGATGATTAGTGCCATTGATAAGGTCATGTTGAATAGCATGTGTGCCGATGACGAAATCCTCAAAGTGCTGAAGCGACGGAGGGTGATTTTGCAGAATATGGTGGAGCGGTATGTGGCCAAGGACGGCGACATGATGGGTAGGTGGAGGGAGAAGATGGTGGAGCGGTATGGGGAGGCGGGCCTGAAGAAGCGAGAGGCGGAGAAGAAGGGGGTTAGTAATGCCGGGGAAGAATATGAGTTTGGCCAGCCGAAGCCTAACGAGTTTGAGAGGAATCTGAACAAGAAGAAGGAGGAGGCGGTTGCTGCGAACGAGAAGAGGAAGGCGGAGCAGGCACAACGGCCCAGAGAGGAAGAAGAGGAGAACGAAGAGGATGAGGACGAGGAAGAGTGGGAAGATATTACGGAAAGTCGTTATCCCAGAGACAAGACGAGGAGTTTGAGGAATGAGTTGCGGAGGGACGAGAAGAGCAGTTCCAAGTACGGGTACCAGCAGACGAGTAATAACAGCTCGTCATGGTCGAGAGAGAGTCAAGGAGGGAAATGGGATAGGGACAGCCAGCAGGATCGGTGGGGCAGCAGCGGGAGGAAACCCAGCTGGTGATGAATGGTCTATAGGTTCTTGTTAGATAGGTTGTAAGTTAGTTTGGCTCCGGATGATTGCCTGGCAGACGATCATTTACTGTATATATATACTTTTGTTGATACCTCAATTGGTCTTGTTGGACATATGTGTGTCTCTATGGTTGGATACAGTATGTTCTTCATATCCTCCCCCTTTCCCCTCTTTCTCGTGGGAGTATCTGTCTGAGCTCCATGGGACCAATGGTAAATAACTATACTACAAGAAGAGAAAACCTCGACGGCGAAACCACAATGGGCCGCACAAAGGTAGGATAACAGTTGGTGCTTGGGAGTTCGATAATAACGCAGGCAGGATGCTTACCCCCTGAACTCGCTCCATTGGAGATTCCTTTTCGAACAAATGCATGAAGCACATATCAGCATCATCAATAGAAGATACCCTTCGCGCAGCATATCATATCAGTTACTTCTTTCTATAAATCCTGCTCTGCTGCCCTCTGCCTGCTCCCTGACCTTCTTCACTCTTCACTAATTCTCTCTTCCCCCTTCCCCCTTTCCTCATCCCCCATTCCCCATTCGATTCCGCTCAACAACAAAATCAGCCCCCCAACAAAAGTGACGATGCGTAATGACAATTTTTCGGTAAAGAGAAAAAGAAGAAGAGGTATCGTATCTGTGAGTACAAACTGAATGGTACAACAACTACAACGAAAAGCCCGCTTCCCTACCAACTACAATCCACCTTCCCTGGCCCAGCAATTTATGCTCAATGCCATTGACTTTGACCCTGACCTCCACCGTTCCCGCCCATAAACCCTTCCTCCAACGTCCTCTCCTCCAAGTTCCTGATGAAGTCGCGGTTGTTGCCCTGACCCCGTCCAGACGCCTGAGCACGGCTTCCCCTCCTCGGCATCCTTTGGCTGGGCTGTGAGTCCATTCCCATGAGACCGTCTGGTGGCGGCGGGTAGTAGGCCGGGCTCGGTTGCAGACGAATTGGCTGGGTGGGATCCAGATGGCTCGCGACGCGCTGGATGGACACGGGAATACCACTTTGCTGCTGCTCCATTGTCGAGGACCGTTGCCTCTGGCGCGCCGCCGCCGCCGCCTGTTGCTGGGCGTACAGATTTGACTGGGACACGCCCGCGTAGTTCGCTGGAGGCATCTGTACTTGCTGTACCTGCGGCTGCTGTTGTTGGGGCATACCTTGTTGAGGGTATGCGCCCTGCTGAGAGCCGTACGGTGGAGGCGCGCTAGCGTGACTGCTGCTGCCACCAGGAGCGTAAATGTTGTTGTTGGAATACAAGGGCGGAGGTTGCGTGTGGGTCTGCTGGGGATATTGCTGCCCAGTGGCCATCGACCCGTAAGGGTTTTGGGCCTGGTTTGCCGCAATGGCGTTGGCTTGCGCTTGTTGCGCCTTTTGCTTGCTGAATGCCTCGGCCTGTATCTGCTGTTGAGTTCCCGGGGCTGGTGATCTGTTGAGCGAACTTGACTTGAGGTTCATGGGCGGTACAAACGGTCCAGTAAACTTCGATTGGGTGATGAAAGGATGTAGCTTGGCTTGTTGAGGCGACCATCGTTCCAAGGGATTGATCGTCAACAGACCCCTGACAAAATCGATGAAAGCGATACGGTTGTTCATTTCTAGGACAAGGTCAGCTTTCAGTGCATAAACACACCGAATGCGCTCGACTTACCTCTGTCAATCTCTGACTGCTTCATGTTCTTCCTCGGCATCGGGTATGTCTTGATAATCTCGGGCAGTGTGTTGGCTTGGAAGTATTTCTTGCTAGGTTGTTCCTTCGTGCCATGCTCCCGAGAGTATTGCTCCATAGACTTCAGGTGGTAGGTTTTTCTGCCGAACTCATCTTGCCTCTTCTCGAAGAACTCTCCTGCCTGCTTGCCCATCTCGATCATCCAGTTTGGAGGATTTCCCAGCATCTCGACGATTCGTGACACCTGGTTGTACTCGGAAGAACCGGGGAAGAGGGGAAGACCCAAGAAAAGCTCAACCACAATACATCCCAAAGACCACATATCAATAGCCGAAGAATAAGGCAAGCCAAGCAACACTTCAGGGGATCGGTAGAATCTGGACTGAATGTACGTATAGACAGTCTGCCGTTCGTCGCAAGCGGATCCGAAATCGATAATTTTGATGATCGGGCTCTCAAGGTTTTTCAGGAGAATGTTCTCGGGTTTCAGGTCGCAATGGATCAGTCTCGCCTTGTTGAGCAGAGAAAGCCCATTCAGCAGCTGCTGCGCAAAGACGCGAACCAGTGTCGTGCTCAAGCCTCGGAACTGGTTTTGCTTGATCAGCTCGTATAGGTTGACACTAAGCAACTCGAATACCAAGCACAAGTGTTGGCGATGGATGAACGTATCCTTTAGTCGCAAAAGATGGTGATCGTCGTTTTTGTCGAGCTTTGTATTGAGCTGAACAGGAGGTTAGCGCGTGTCGCAAACAATCAATTCAACAATGCTGGTAAACGAACCAAATCCAAAACGGACACTTCCATCATGCTTTGGTTGAAGTAAGCTGTTCGGTTCTTGATGACCTTGACCGCAACGACCTCTTGCGTCTTCAAGTTTTGGCATTTTACGACCTGGCCGAAGGTACCCTGGCCAAGGACATCGAGAATCAGGTAGCGGTTCCTGGTACAACCATGTAAGTGACTGCTTCTCGACCCGTGGTGGGCAGCAACTTACTTATGACCAGCCTCCTCCGAGCCCAGGATGTCATTCACATAGAGGATATAATCGCTGTCCTCGTTGTCATAGCCGTCATTCTTCACTCCCTTGCTAGGCTTGGTAAGAACGCGCCGAGGATTCCTAGACGACTCGTACTTGAAGCCGGGGTTGCATATTCGGTAGGTGGCGGGAAGGTGAACTGTTAGCGCTTGGAGGGGCTACCGTAGTTTGTTAGCAAGCTGCCCAAAGCTATTTTTCGCGAACTTGTACATACACTGATAAAGCCGCCTTCCGGGTTAGCTCGTCGATGAGCCGGCTGCTTGTTAATCTTTGGTCGAAGGTCCTGGGGTCCTCGTATTTTCCTAAACTCGGGAACTGGCGTCCTATCGGGCATGGGCATCGGTTGCGACTGAGAGTTCATGCGCCTTGGCGGCGACTTGGGGTCCATATAAGAGCCGTCCATGGTAGAGCTGATTGCCGAGTTTGGATGGCTGTGGTCGTGTTGAGCGGGTGCGTATGGGTTGATGGGGGGAAGCTGTTGGGATGCTTGACGGCTGGTGTAGTAGGGGTTCTGTTGCTGTTGCTGCTGCTGCGGCTGCTGTTGCTGTTGTGATTGCGGCGGGGCATATTCGTTCGGTCGCGTAGGGGATTGACGTTGGGCGGGGGAGAATTGGCTTCCCTTGGGGTATTGGGAGGCAGGCGAGAGAGCCTCCATGGGCGAGTATCGCTGCGCGGCAGCAGATGGTTCTTGGGACGTACTAAGGCTGGCCGGGCGACCACCGGAGAGAGAGTGATGCGGCCTCAGGGGGTACTTGATGGTAGGGTTCTGGGATGAGTATGGATCGTGGGCATCCTGCATAGCGACGTCGCCGTTGGCGTCGCGCGACTGGGACGACGTCATTGGGGAAATGGAGGACTGTGGTTGCGCGCTTGGGTTCAGACCGGCCTGGTACGGATCATACTTGTATCCGGCCGGCGGTGGCTGCTGCGCCTGGACCTGGCCGTTGCTGGCGTAGTCTCGAGGGGACATGGACATTTGGCCGGAACCGTTGTTGTATCTCCTGGACGAGCCGCTGGCGGCAGAGTCAGAGTACGGTTGCCATTGCTGCTCCATGGCTGCTGGCAGGGCGAAGGCCAGCTCGCGGGACGGGCTCGGGGCTGTTGCTGGGTCTGGTTTGGCAGTGAATTCTGTTGCGGTGGTCGGTGGTGTCGTCGGCGCGAGAGGGGGGAAGGAGAGGGAGGGTTTGAAGCTTTCGAAGACGATGGACTCGGGTCGCTGGCTGGCAGGTCACAAGTGTGGGCCTGATGATGGAGGTGCGGACCGCGGACTGCCTGCTTGGGTGGTGCGCACTAGAACTAGTGACTGCACCAGTGGGCAGTGGCTACCTTCTGCTACCTAGTGTAGTAGACTCTGTACCTAAAGTAACTAGGTACCTCTGACTGGTGCTGTTGGGGCAGCTAAAGTTTAGGTAGGTAGAGGTAGATGAGTCCAGTGCCCTGTCCTGTTGGTGCCGTCGAGAGGACCCGCTCTCTGCTCGCAACACAACCTGTACGGGGAGGCGGAGAGGGCAAAGCGCAAGGAGCAAAGCGGGCCAAGCGGTGCCAAGGCGCTGCGAATAAAACCTACTCTCTCCTATAGGAATGCCAAGTAATCCCTGGTAACCAAAATCTTTCCTTTCAGCTCGGGCGTACAAAGCTGTGGTGGGCTGTCTCGTGGATGTGGATTAGACGCGGTTCGGTTGGACGATTGGGACGGACGGGCAGAACAGAGACGGGAAGAGGTTTTGGGGCCGTTGGCGGGCTGTCTAAGCCAGACACGACGGGCAGGGTTCAGTCGGCTAGGTCGCAGGTAGGAGGAAGAGACACCAGTTAAATGAGCCTCCGTCGCTTGTTGCTTCTCCAGCTGTACTCAAGAAGGAGGGAAATACAGTACGTCAGAGAAAGCAGCAGGAGGAGGACGAGAATGAGGACGAGGCAGTGACCAAGCAGTCACGTCCGGGCAACAAGGCTGTACACCTAGAGGTACGCAGAGTACGGCAGGGAAATCGCAGTCGTTCGCACCATGTGCAGAAATAACGGGGCTTCCGTCGAGACCGATCCGTAGGCGGTTCCTGTTCCGGTTGCTCGTGCTAGTCGGTGGATTTCGTATTTATTCAAGGGTTCCCAACGTTATGGTGAGGTATGCCCAGACAGGGTACACAACACAGGTAGTTGAATTGGGTGGTGAGAGTCTGACTCCCCGCCCGCCAATGTTGTGTCAAGTGGAGGAGCCCTTGCTCTCCAGTTTTGACAACGACGACGACGACGACGACGACGACGTTGAGCTTGAGACTCCCGCGTCGAGAGCCTTCAATTTCAGGCTCTCAAGGAACAGGAATCGGAATCACCATCAATAAATGCACCAAATGCAGTGCAGAAAGCCAGCCGGTTCCTAACCTGGCCTGATGATTTCGAATCTGCGCTTCATGTGCACTTTTAGTTTTGTTCTTGTGTCTTTCCAGGTTGAAGGATGTATCGTTGTGGGCGTGCAGCTGGCTGAGCAGGACAGCGCAAGCGGTTGTCTAGTGAAACATCTGATATTATGCCCGCAATGTCCGGTATGTTAGGCCGGTACTGCTAATTTGTATGGCCACCAACACCAATACCTTCACCAATACATAACCAACATGGACCCAAAAGGTCTGACCATGAACGCCTTTGGCGCCAACGGTTGGTGTTTGACATGGCTTTTCTCTTCTCGACCGCATCCCTTCTTTGGTTACGTTTCTTCCCTTACTCCCTTCGCAGATCTCGGGTCCTACTGTGTTATGAAGCTTCATGATTTCCAAGTTGGTAATAATCGGACAAAACTCTTGGCGTACGTTCTCGTCGTCCGGTTGGAGCTGCAAACAACCACCGGAGATCATTCATGATGCCCGTCATTGAGACACATTCAGATAAAGTGGGGAGTACTAAAAGGACCTTGAGATTGAACGAAGAGTGCCTGCCCAGTCTCCAGCAGGTGGCGTTTCGACAGGCCACGCACGCTGCAAGCAGCCAGGGCAGCCCATCCCGCTGCCCATCCAGGCGAAGCGGTCGTAAAAAAAAAAAAAAAACGAACACCTGAATCAACAGCATCAATCGATCCCAGCTTGAACGTCAAGCTGCAACAACAACAACAACAACAACAACAACAACACCACGCAATTCCGCACCACCAGTACTCAATACGAAGAAAGAAAAGAGGCAGCTTCCTAACGAACCTAGTTTGAAATGCATATTTGACCGATATGATAGTTGAGAGTCGAACCAAAACCCACCTACCTTGCAACCGATCGCATGTGTTGGGTTATTTTACGAGGCCATCCCCCATCCATATCCACATCCTGTTCAAGCGATCAGCAACCATAATCCAGGCATTCCCTCATTCAGCACCATGCTCCTCCTCACCTTTCACCCTCACCACGATTCACTACCCCGCGGTATTCCATATGTACTGCTAAAAGGAGATTACATAGGCAGTGACAGGGGTTGAGTGATTGCTCGTTTTGGCTTGAGGACCTGGGATGCAAACCCACCTTTGTCGGACTTATTCCTCGTATGTAGTGTAAAATTTCCCTGGCCACGACACGAAGATGACGGTATGTATCATCGTCGTGGGAGATCATAGAGGTATCTTTGACTGCTTCAATTGCTTCCATTCACTGTAAGTACTCGGACAAACAAACCGTGTCCATATGACCTTTACTTTGCTTTCCATCCGTCCTTTTTCCCATCCACACTCCATTATCTGTCCCAATTCTAACACATGGCCATCACCAACTACTGCACCAAGCTGATACCATACACCATCAGGAAAGATCAAAGATGCGGATATCATAGGGTCGTGACCGCGTGGACCAATGACTCTTTCAAACGCCTGCACCGCTTTTGGAAACGAGCTGACAACGGGGGAGCCTGACTGAGTCTAGTCCTACTATGTACATAATTTGACTTCCATTTATCCTCTCTGCCTCTGCCTCTGGCCTCTCCGACCAGACCGAGCCGTGGGGATTTCGCGACTTTCAGTGCATGATATCCATCCTGGTCCGTGTCTCGTTTCACACGCATCACCGATTTGTATCAACCACATGAGAGAGACAAAATAATATTATGTACTCGGACCAGCCAACATACATATCCCGGTCAGAGTCCCTTGATTTTTGTTAATTTTTTTTTTTCTCTCTCACTCCCGTCAAATTGAGGTTTAGCGCAGTGCGTGTAACACGGAGTAAGTTGCAACTAGCAAGGCATGTGAGATCAGCATGGGTGGTTTGGTTCATTCGGTTCATGGGATCGATTGGGATTGGGCATCAACTTGTTGCTGTCCAAAAGTCCAGGGATGATTTGGGATGTGACATTGTTCACCTGTGACGAGACAACCCTAACCCTGATAAGCGCCCATGATTGCATCCCAATAGCTCCCAAGGCTGGATTGGATGTAAGCGCCCTCGTCCTGGACAAAATTGTTGGTTGAAACCTTGGACATTACACCTTGGGTATACTCTTACTACGTATCCGTGTCTTTGTTACTCCTTTAACCTTGGTTTATAGGCAACTTCTGCATAGAACCATGCCAAACGGACTCTGGCCGATGTCTTTTCGAATTATCGTATGCCCTTCACAGTTTTGCAACGGCCTTTCATGATATCACGAGCGGTATCGGACTGATCTATTTGACCAGAGGGTTGGTCTCATCAATTTTGTTATGGACGACGCGCCCAGCTACTCTGTAGCATATCTCAGAAATAGGTAAACAAATCGCAGGTTTCGAGCTTGTTGGTCCGGCTCCATGGAGGAGTGTTTAGGCAACTAACCGGTTAGTTCTCACATGTTTGCCTTCAGATACGGGCAGAGGGTTACACCTGAAGGTGAACCGTAAGACCAGACGGCTTGAACCACAGCTGCTTGCTCAGCAGGACATCAATTGTCTGGACCATTATCAGCACGTTCAGAAACCACGTGCCTAAAAGGCTCGAGATGGCTTTGCCCTTCACTTTTCGTCCCATCCACTTATTGCATAATTATCACGCGTTGCATACGGGACTTAATTCTTGTCATGATCGAACGATCTCCGTAACACCCTCTTCCGTCCCATAACAAGCTAACCATCCTCGCTGGTGGTTACCAACGACATCTGGTTATCTGGGACCAGCCCAGAAGTTCTAGACCGCGATAATATCCAACTCTGTAACTCATACAAGTCTACCCTCCTCATTTACTAAGTCCTTCAAGGGTATAGCGTACATTTTGAAGGACATGATGCTACGTGAGATGAAATCGCATACCGGAAAACGGAACGTGGAAAATGGGTATCTGTATAAGAAACATCCAAAGGCCCACGAAAATACAACGGTAGGAAACGCGCAATGGGTATATCGGAAGAAAAATGCCGCCTTGAATCTTGCGTACACATCGAAATGAAATGCTGAAGGAGACGAAGTTGGAGAACAGCCAAAGGGAAGAAGAGATATTGTCGTGACGTGTTCTGGTAAAAGACCTCGAAACTGACTTAACTTTTGTGAAAATCTGGTATCCAGCGTTGGAAAGATTTTGGAAACATATCATCAGGAAGACGAGAGAGAAACACCTAGCAAACGTAAAAGTGTAGAGTAAGATAAGACGTTTCGATCGTAGCTTAAGAGAAGAGGAGAGAAAACCGAAGGAAATTACACAAAACCCAAACGGAGAAGAACTTGCAGAAAGAACCATTGGCCCGTGGGAATCACTCAGAGAAACGAAGATAGAGAAGAAAGCGCGAGAAAGAAAACGCATTCGAAACTTGACAGGTCAGAGATAAAAGAAAAGAAGGAAGAGCAGTGAGTGATACATGAGACCAGAGAAGTAAAGAAGACAGGCTCCCAAATTCCCAACAAAATGACTTCCAGTTCCAAAATCCAGTCCTTGATCAACCGGACTTGAGCGAGGATTTCTCTCCATCCTGGACGTGTGAAAAAGAACCATCCTAACACGAATGCAGCCGCAAAGCCTCCCACCTCTAGTCGAAGCTGAGAAAGCCATTAACTTTTCCACCACATGGCAAAGGCGTTTCAAGGGAACGGAAAAGAGACGTGGCCCACGCTGTGACCACTAGTAAGCAACTGCTCACCAGGCTTTTTAGGCTTCTAGCCCTGGTAACCACCAAACCCATTGCCGAAGTTCTGGGCTGGGGACGGCTGGTTCCACTGGGCGTTGGGACCGGGCTGACCACGGCCATAACCACCAGCGCTCGGCGGGCCGTTGTAACCCATCTGGGAGCCGTAGCCGGCAGGTGACTGAGCTTGAGGGCCGTTGTAGTTACCTTGCTGGCCTGGGTAAGAGTCTAGTTTGTGCGTTAGCGGCTGACATGTAGAAACCAGTTCACCGAGTCAAGACTCACTGCCATAGTTATTGAAATAAGTGGAGGGAGTGCCGGGATAACCAGGCGTCTGGGCACTCTGAGGGCTATAAGGCTGGTTTGGGTCGAACTGTTGAGGGTTGGGCGTCTTGTCCTTGCCCCACTACACACGAAAGGTCAATAATGTCCTCGTCCAAGATAAGAGGGGGTCACTTACGCTGCACTTCAAAGGCCGACCATTGACCTGATACCCATTAAGCTGGCAAATGGCCATGGCAGCATTCTCATGAGTGTCCATCTTGATGAAAGCAAAGCCGCGGTCGGCCTGGAAACGAGACTCGACAACGTAGCCGAAGTTCTGGAAAAGGGGCACGAGGTCATTCTGAGTGGTGTAGGGAGTCAGGTTGCCGACATAGCAGGTCGTCTGCCAAGCAGGGGTCTGGGCGACAATCATGTCATAGCTGTGAACTCCGTGGGTAGGGAAGTGGTGGTGTCCATAAGGAGTGGTGGGAGTAAGACCCATCTGCTGCATAGCTTGCTGTTGAGCGATGGAAGGCTGACCCTTTTGGTTGGCCCAGTTGCAACGAATGGCACGAGATCCAAGCCATTCGCCGTCCATAGAGCTCAGAGCCTTCTCGGCATCGGGACGGTCGCGGAAAGCAACGAAGCCATAGCCGCGGGAGCGACCGGTCTTCATGTCCCACATGACTCGAGCCTCGGAGACGGAGCCAAAGGCAGAAAAGGCCTGAAGCAGAACCTCGTCGTTGACTTCGTTGGAGAGATCGCCGACGAAGATGTGGAAGTGGCCCGAAGTATCCTCCTTGTTCTGGTTGTTCGACTGGTAGGCCCAGTTGACACGGATTTCCTGCATAATTACCGGTGGTCAGCTCTACTCTATGGAATCATGGCCAAAGATTCGTAGTGTGGAATGGGCGAACTTACGGACTGATGCACGCGCCGGCCGTTGAGCGTCTGCATAGCACGCTCAGCCGCACCGGGATCATCATACTCAACGAAGCCGTAGTTGTAGCCCTTTTGCTGTTTTTCATCCTGGATTGTTAGCAGAATGTCTTGGGCGTCAAGGAATCAAACTGGCAGCCTCAACAGGCTGATGTGAAAAATGAACTAACTCGCGGCTGCTCGGAGCCAGGTTTACCCACGTTCTTGTCGGGAATAATTTTGACATTCTGGACATGGCCAGTCGTCTCGAAAATCTGTCTCAAGACGTCCTCGGTGACCCTAGGGTCAAGGCCGCCGACGTAGAGAGCGCGCTTGTTCGGCTCGGGGGCGGCGCGGCGGCCGAAGGGGTTGCCGGCGCTGGTGGGCGACATGATGCCGCTCGTGTCACCGTTCCCACCCATGGGCGACGTAATCGCCGTAGGGATGGGATTGGTGTTTTGCGGGATGTGCAGCGGCGGAGGAGGCATGTGTGCGGAATTCGCGTTGTTGTTTTGACCGTTCTCGTAGCCGGGCGCGCCTGCGTTTGGTTGAGGTGGAGGGGGAAGCTGTCCGGTGGTGGGAGGCGGGCCAACGTCAGCCATGTCGGAGAAATGGTCGAGGATCTGGTAGAAATCAACGAGCAGAGCGGCGATGGCGATGATTGGGGGACGAGCAGCGCAGAGACCCTCCTTGGCGAAGCAGGCCCCACTATAAGCAGCTGTTGAAACGATGGGGTGAGGCAGTGATTGTAGACGACTACGTGAGCGTCTGCGACTGTAATTTCCAGCGGACTTTGACTGGAAACTGAATAAGCTTGCAAGAAGGAAGACCTGACCGATCACAATCGGGGAGATGCAGACTTCTTATTGCAAAAAGAAAATTGACCCCGCGCGAAAGATGCGACGGAAGAAGATTGCTCGAGTCTCAGCCACGTTCTTGTAGCTCGTTTTATAGTAGTTACAGGCGGGCGAGCGCAGTGCGGTAGCGCAAGATGGGATGGCAAACGGAGGCCGTTCGGTGGAGCGGACTCGCTGTGGGTAGAAGACTGTTGGGTGCACAGACAAACTTTGCGCCCACGAAATGGAAGGAGTCTGAACGGAATGGCACTGTCGTAGATGGCTGGAGATCTCGGCGTGTATCGGGGGTCTAGACACGCGATCGTTATTGAGCCGGCGAACAGCAGCTGAAGCCAGGGACGATGACGATGCGGAGACGGGGGACGAGGATGGCTCCCGTTGATGCGGACGGTGGAGGACAGGGATGATGGGTTGGTGACGGTCAGTCAAATAACCGACAAGGGGAACTAGGTAAGTAAAAGAAGAAGGGGAATTGCAGTGATGGCCTGAACTAAACAGCAAAATAGTCAAGAAAGACAAGATGAACTGGAAAACGGCCGTAAACCCAAAAGGAAACGCCCCGAGATTCACAACAGCCTGTCCGAAGAGATGACTTGTCTGGGATTCTTCTGCGATGGTGTTGTTCGGTGGGAGAAGAAGGTAAGGAGAAGGGGGGGAAACTTTTGGAGCTGACAATGAGCCTGATGGAGAAGACGGCCCGGGGGGAGCTCTGAAAGATGCGACGAGCACGGGAGGGGAAGGGAAGACGGGGATTTTTGATGGTGCCATCGTCCTGGGATTGGCGGGCAGGCAGCCACTGAGATGCGAGGACGGAAGGGTCAAGGGACAGAAAGGCACATTTGCAGAGCGGAGGAGGGGCGGGACGAACTCCAGAGGCAGGTTGGATCATGGGCTGACTGACCGGCCGGTTTGATACCAGAGTATACCTATTAACTGGCCGTCGCCGTCTTCGTCTAGGGCCTGATACTCGTAATCAACCCTTTCTTCACACGTGCCGTAGCAATCTCGAAGCAAAGAACCATGAGGTTCTGGGCGTTTTGGTGTCAACATAGGAGTAAAGTCTGGGAAATCGAGAGTTCTGGTTGAGTAAATGGATGCCATGTGTGGTTCCTATGATCGTTGGGACGTAGAGGCATCGAAACTATTGACCAGTGAGGCGCTAAGGGACCTAGGTACCTGTTTACAGTCTGATATATATACCACAGATACGAGGAGCCCGAGTATCAAATATATTCCCGTTCATCGACTTGCGTGTTGTCTGTCCATATTCTGATCATTTTGATCCTGGAGGCGTAGCACCAGATATGAGTGTGAGTGTGTGCTGAGGGGTATCGAGTAGATTGTTGGTTCACGGCCCGGGGGCTGGAGGCAAGGCGCCAAGGTACTAGCCAACCACACTGTGTCGTGGGTAGCTGAGATATTGACTCCCAAGGGGTTCAAGGTTCAGGCTTTCTTGGTTTGGTCCCCTCCTCCATTCTCGAACTGGAAGCTTTCCTTTCCCTTCGAGATCATCAATGCGCCCTGTGACGACCTTGGCAGAAACGAAACAACACTATGATTTTACCAGCCCTACCTACACCTCTGCATGGACATAAAAGAGTAGCGAGGTACAACGCAACGAACTTCAAGAAACAGGGAGCACTCACGGCAAACCAGCTATTTCTTGTGACAGATATAAGATTCCCTGCCATTCTTAAAAACTGCGCTGCCCTTTTTTCTATCCATGCAGAGATGTCGGTACAACTTCATCACGGGCTGAATATGCTGAATATGCCACATTCGCAACGCAGGCACCTGGATGGTTTTCTATAAAAGGGTGATGGAACGCGTGGGTAGACCGGGGTGATACTTGCAGTGAATGCATGACCCGACTCGTCCTCCATCTCATCAGTCCGCCCAACACGTGCCAATGGAGCACGACGGAACGGCCAGCTGGGCCGATCTGTCATCGCCGACCACTGTAACGGCTCATTGTGTCATCAATGAGGGTTTGGCACTCTGTCCAGAAAAGTCTCAGTTACATATGATTATACTTTCTTTGGCAGGACGCATGGCAGTCGAGAGTGACGAACGAAGGAGTTTACGGCAGCCGCTTTTTCGCACAATAGGTCGTTGACTGCCGTGCTAATTGCCAGGTATTGACAGCTCCAACTAAACCCAGTCGAGCAACAATACGGCCTTTATGTGTGGGGTTGAATCGAGTGGATTCGCAGAACTTTAGTTTGTGTAACCGCTGAATGAACAGCAATTGGTGGTCAAGATGAAGCTTAAACGGACAGTCCCATCGCAACCTTTTTTTTGCTGGATCTGTGCTGTGTGTGAGGTGATTCTGTCCAGGCCCGTCGCCCCGTCCCCTGGATTTCATTGCGGGAACGACAAGGCCAACTCGGGGAAGCACCCGACGCTGGCGGTCAAGGCACCCACGCCTTCCAAGCGGAACCCCACAAAGAGCCTCAACCGCGCGGAGGTTCCAGGGACCCGACTGCACACTCCGACGCTAGAACTGGAATTACCTACCTCTACATACCAGCACCGGCCACTGCAAGACAAGGTGCAGAGCAGCTACGATCATCTTCTGAACACCGCATAAATAACATCCCACCATTCTTCCATTTGTTTGAATTCCCACTTCAAGTTCCATTCAGTATCCCCTCAACTCCCGGGTTTCATATGACCTTGGACAACCTTCATTTGCAGTCACCCAGAACCTTGATCTAGATACCTCTATTCAACCATCACTGATCAGACGCGAGGTCATAGTTCCATCGAGCCTGAAGAGTCCAGATACCATATTTATCAGAAGTTTATCCCTGAAGTGTGTGCTCGCACAGCAACAGCGAGATAGGAACTTATCCATGCGTGGATTGCCTTGACCCTGGACGACCCCCTTTGTCTCCCCGCCGTCTAAGCAAAACAATTCCCCGGGATTTATATGCGTCAACATCCAAACTTTGCTGCGCGACCATTGTCACACCTTTGGACTAGCGAGGGCCACCCGCTTTACCACAAGACAAAGGCAACTCAACCACCACTTGGCCAATATTTCTCATTTCCAGAAACTTCGGCACACAACTCGCCCTTCAAACCTCGCTTGCTTGCATCATCGGCTTGCAAAATGACCGCCCCAGCCCCCACAAGGCCAAACCTACCAAATCTCAACCTGGACGAGTTGGATCGGCTGTACAATAATGTGGTAAGCAGGACTGTATCTTCCTTCACATTAATTCGCTAACTTGGGCTGTTGTAGCTTGTTGAAACTGGCAAGATCTTCAAAGTCCTGGCCAAGGAGGGTGGTAGCTCGGTTGCCGAGTTGCCTGTTGCGAATACCAGCCGTATCCAGTACAATGTTGAGGAGTTCAATGCCGCCCTAGATGAGGTCGAGTCCGAGATCGTAAGTTTGCAGGATATTGGTTGATCTGAGCTACGGGCTAACTTGGAGAAAAAGCTGCAAGCCAAGGCCGCCATCTTGAGGGATCTGAACAAAGCACGGGAAAAGCGCAATCCACCGCCGGTCCCGGTACCCGCGCCAAAACCGGCGTCTCTCCCGGCCCCAACGGCGCCCATGGCTCCCAAGGCACCCATGGCTCCAATGGCCCCCATGACGGTCGGTATTCCGGCAGGTCCCAGCCCCCCTCAACCCCAGCCCGGGAAGCCGCCTCTTAACAAGTCGGTGGCCCCTATCCCTGATATGGGACTCGATCTTACCGCGTCTCCCGTGGCCAAACACTCCCCGAGCCCGAAGCTGGTCAAGACCAATCCCAAGAACTCGCCTCGGCCGGGCGCCGCACGCCCTGTTAGTGCACCTCCGAAAAAGGATTCCAAGGTCCCGCCAGGGCCTGCCTCCCGACTAGCACATGCGGCAAACGCAGCATCACAGGCACCCCGACCAGCAAGCGCAGCGCCCCAAGCCCCCCATCAAGTTCACAACACCAAGTCTGCGGTCCTTCAGGGTGGGAATCTGGGATCTGGCCCGACCGTGCCGCCTAATCACATTAACATATCGAATCCACCCCCGCAACAAGCGATGCCAGGGCCACAACCACCTCAGGCAACACAAGGCCCTCAAGGGGCTTTCCACGCTCCACCCTCCGCTGCAGCCAAAGCACCAGCACCAGGAGCCGAAGCTCTCTTCACGAACATGACCTTTTCCCTGGCACCTGCCCCAGGAGAAGCATCGAAACAGAACCATCAGCCAGCCGCCAACATGACGAATGCCACGAACCCACCCGCTCCGAACGTGAGCCATCAAGCACCGGCTCCTCCGAATGCCAACATCAACAACGCCACACGCAATGGAGCAGGAGGAGAGGACGCCAACATGTCCAATGCGGAGATCTTTGACCTGGGGTCAGGGAGCATGGACAACATGGAGGACATCAACTACGACCTGGGCGGGGAGGGCGGCGACAACAGCAATTTCAACGACCTCTACTTCAGCAGCGGCGGCGACGATACCACGCAGAACACCGAGTTTGATGGCTCGAATTTCTACAACTTTTAGGAGGGATTTTAGGATACGGTCGAACATTAATTAAGAAAGCATTGGATAGGATTTTGAGGAGAACCATATGGAGGCAGGGGTAGTATGGTCAGGTTGAGATAGTCAAAGTGAGAATGTCGCTCAGATCAGGACGACACTTGGACGGAGCAGTATATGGAAAGAGAAGAGAGGAAGAGGAGGGGACAAAGGAATATGGATGGAAAGATGGCGTTCTCATGATGGTTTTTTTAATAGGTAAATAAGATACGATACCACTTGGGGCTTATACGTAACTATGAGGAGCGTCTTTAAAGCGACTTCGTCATATTTGAGGGCGACCGCTTTGCCGACGAGCGATTTATCTGAAGAGGGAAAATGGGATAGAGATGGGACGTAATACAAGTCGATATGGCGTAGAATACAAATACGATCAAGGGAAGGATGACGTGATGGTATCTTTGGACGATAGTAGCGAGATAGGAGAATGAAACAAAGTTGGTCTCTCTCTGAGAACACAGCTTCACCAATGAAGCTCTCGAGACACTCTTCACCCGACGTTCAAGATGCATGCCGTGTGATTAGTTGACAACACAGATCACAAAATATCTTGCTGGTTTCCCCCTTTATCTCTTCGCACAAGCGTGGGCGTGGGTATATACCCGCATGGCTACATTTACTCAGAATAGTATCCAGCTGCGGTGGTTGTCCATGCTCTCCATATTACTGCCCTTTCCCCACCGCTATCCAGGTATCCTGAATACATCCCGCGAAACCCAAGGTTGCTGATGGACGATGCTTTCGTTGGTCCGCATAGACATCATACATATCGCCCATGTATTGTCCTCCCAACGGTCAAAGATGTACTTAACGGAGACATCTTCCAATTTCGTTCCTTTATTTTGAGAGAGCGGTTTTAAGGAAGCGGTTTTGAGGAGGTAGCTTTTGAAAAAAGTGCAGGGTAGGCAACAGACAATACCCAAGCATAACATGCGAAGAGGAGGGCGGAAACAAAGACGATGACACAAAAACGTACATATCTGTTGTATACTGTTGGAAGATCACAAGATAGTCGATGTCGGTCGGTGTAGTGTATTTGTTCTTCTACTTAACAGTCTCGCTTCTTGCAGAGAGGTCTGTAGGAAGCTCGGTCATCTTGCAAGTATCCGCTCTCTGACATGGATGTCCCACATTCATTCCTCTTTCTAGGTCTACCATACCGGTCATGTTCACCGCCAACTATAGCAAGAATCATGATCTTGTTCTCAAGTTAACCCACCCCAAAGCAAATGTCGTCAGTTAGTGAAGCACCTCCCCCTGTTTCGCATGTCCTCTTGAAAAGGCATGTATTCTTTAACAGTCTAGCCTTGCAGGTACGTAGTGTGAAGAAAGGGAAAAAAAAAAAAAGGTCCAGACACTCCGCTGGGTCTAGGTTACGCATACGTAGTAAGCGTGTCCGGACCTTTTTTTTTTTTTCCACACCACCTTCACTTCTTTCTGCCTTGGAAAGAAAGCTTGGGAAAGCGACTCATGTCGATCACCCGTTGATCACCACACATTTCGCGCTTTTTCATTGATCAACTTCAATTCCCCCCCAACCCACACATCATGGACCGCTAGTGTAAAAAAGAAAGCTTGTCTGAGCTTAGTTGTCCAATCCAACCAAGCATTTGGAGCTAAAACTAGTGTAGAGACAAAATTCGTCATACCGAGCTTATTTCTTTTTGTCATACAGTGCTTATCATCTGTTACAGTATCATCGAACTGCCGGTATTGTAGTGTAGTACTGCGTACCTGCTGCTGCATCCTCTGCAATTGTCATGTTATGGTTATGTACATGTACACTAATGCCATGCCATGCCAAGTCGAATGCAAAGACCGCGGAAGTTTTTTTTGATATTGTTGACGCATGCGACATTGTCAAATGTCAAAAACATTCAAAGTTCACCTCATTTTGCGTCTGCTTCGAGACGACATATCAATTATTGTTGTCACCTGTCGCTCACATGATGATGATCCCTTTCGCTGCGCTTACCATTCCATAGTTGCCAGTTTAATCTTACAACTCCATTAAACTTGGTAACATGTAGCTGCCTACATTGTTCCGGTGTCACACGATCCATCAGTGTCCGTATGTTCGAGTGTCAGTCCAGGTGAATCGAACATACTGATTCACCGTTCCTGTCCCTGCTTGTACACCATTACCATTTCCTTGCATCCCGTCCTTCTTCCTGGCCAATTCTTCGGCACCTCTTAAAATAAACCGAATTCAGAGAGTCACAGATTGTACAGGAGACAAGACACTCAGTTTCTTCAGACAACTAACACCAAGCTCAGGTAAGTGGCATTGTGCTATATACACAGACAAAGTATGTGTGTGTCCCCTTTCCTGCTTCCTTCATGGTATTCGTGAGTCGTTTCCAAGTAAGCAATAGTGGTTAGTACAATTAAAAAGACAAACACCGGGTTTGAACAAATAAGAGAAAAAAAGAAGGCGGAAAGAACCAAAGCCGCTGTATGAATGCCCTAGTTTTCGGCTAGCGCCAATGGTTTGGCGAAAGAGGAAAAGCAGGTCAGACAGAGAACAAAAGAAAACAAAGAGTTAGAGTTTGATGAGACGAGAAACCTATCCAGGCTTCATCGTCGCATCGGGTATTTCCAAAAAAGCGCCAAAAACAAAAGTAAACAATCAACAACGAATGTGTCCGTCCGTCCGTCCAACCATGTCCGTCAACACCATTTCAATTCCAAAACCCATTTATATGTTTTTTTTTTATTGGCCCAGCATCGCAATGCAAAACAGCCTCGACCAATCATGCGGACAGGCGAGGCTGCTGGTCGGTGGTAGCATTTGCTGTCGACGCTGCCGCTTTTGACTCCAACTCCCTCCTTTTTGCCAGTAAACTCTTGAAAGCACCCAGACACTGAACGAGCTCCTCCTCATTTTGAGCACAAAATCTATAGCTCTTCTCGTCCGTGATAATTTGCATGCAGTGGGCCTTGGACTTGCTCAGCGGATCGATGTCCACAACATTGACGATTGACGAAAAAGCGACGACGAAGAGAACCGAGTACTCGGATTCGTCCTTGTACAAGATGAGATTTCTGGGTCGTAATACAGCCCACGATTTCTTCCATTGCTTGACGCCGCGTTTACTTCGGAGGAATCGCAACCATCCCTGCCAGATAATCCGATCCGGATCTTGCTCGACGTTGATGCCGCTAGATTGGCTGATATTCATCGCTCCTGGGGTCATGGGGGCACCCTGTGCCTGTGCTGCTCGTACTCGTGCTTGTGATACGGATGGAGACCGCACAGTCAAACTTTCGATTGTTGGGCCCGGTATCCGTTGAAATTCCGAGTCGGAGAAATCGGAATGCGACGCAAGTTCTGTCCCCGACATTCCCGATGATTCAATGGCCGATGAACGTCGCCCACCAGGAGACACCAGAATCCGTACAGGAGGTTCGAGGGGTTCCGGTGAGCTCGAAGCAAGTCGTTCCCGATCCGCGGCAGCGGCAAAGTCACGGTTAAGGTCGGATTGTCGTCGGGGAGGTGGGCTGGCCAAGAAAAGTTCCTCTTCTTCCTCCTCTATCCTGGCATCCTTCCTGATCAAGTCAACCCACTCCTGGGCATCCTGCAAAGTCGGAGCTTGGAAATGGAAGTTCTTTGCGGGCGAAAACAGGCCAAAGACGTTTGGGCGTTTCTGCTTTGGGTCTTTGAGGAAAGTGACGGCCGTCAGATCCGACAGATAGATCTTGTGTCGAAGCTTCTCCTCCTTATCTGATTTGTAGATGGACAAAGTGTTGGGGCGCAAGACGAGATAAATAGTCCTCCAAGCCTGAACCGCGACGGTGAGATACAGCCCGGTCCTAAACGATCCCCATGACAGGCCAAAGACGTACCTTGGTTTTTGAGGTGCGCTTTTGCACATAGCCGCTCTTGATCACACGGTCGAATTCAAAGCTTCCGTTCTGGTTGACGGGCGAATACGTCTCGCCGGCAAGACCACTTCTAAGCCGGGCACCTGTAGGCGGAGGCGGCATAGGAATAGACGAAGGCGGGGTGGCGACGCTGACGCGGCGATCTTGGAGTGAGGCGGTAGCCGACGAAGCCGGAGGCTGAGTGTACATTTCGGTCATGATGGCGGACAGCGCATGTAAATGGATTTAGTAGTGATCGTGGTGGTGAGTTTGGCGATGATGATGATGATGTCAACCACTCTTTGTTATTCGTCGTCGTCGTCGTTGGTAGCAGCAGCAGCAGCAGCAGCAGCAGAGAAGGAGCGATGTGTTGTGCTGAAAAGGCGGAAGGGTAAGGATATGATGTGAGCGAAGGCGACCCTCGACGGGGGTGATGGAGGGATTATGAACCCTCAGGGTAAGAACCGGCAACGTGCGTTGAGGCGGCAGCTAACGAGCAATGGAAGTGATGTGGAAATGGAAGCAGAAGCAGAAGCAGAAGCAAGCACGCCGCTCCACAGATGATGATGACCTTGCTGCTGCTACCTTAGTGTAGCGGGCAGATGGAGCAGCAACTGAAGCGAGCCGAAATATAGGTAATCGAGTGGACGAAATGGTGCAGCAGCTGGCAGACGGACGGGCAGGTCAATCAATAAAAGGAGGATACAGTGAGCTCATGGCAGCGATCGATGCAAACCGGAGCGGGGGGAGAGGATGAAATCGCGAGAAGCTTCAAATCATTCAGTTTGAGTTGATGAAATGGACCGGGGTGAGTGCAGTGTGTTTTGATGAGGTCCGAAACCAGTGTCCACCCAGGCACAGACTGACGGGCATTCCACTTATTAGTCGGGGTGGAGACTCTGGAGCAGTTGCCGGGGCGGCCAATCCGGGCTAGGAAATGGAAGCCCACTCGAATCATGTGTGGAGGAGCGAAGCAGTTCACGGGAGTCCACAGGGGTTCTGGTAGGTGCGGCCTGAAGTTCCAGCAGCACCTAACCTGGATTCAGGTAACGGATGCACACTTTCCAAGCTTCTTCAGGGCAACCGACCACACCCTGGCTCGTAGGTGCTCATCCGTTGGAAGCCCGTCTCAAGGTGGTCCGTCGTTTGTTGCCCGATGATAAGCAGAGGCTGGGCTCGCCGTGCCGAGACACTTTGAAACAGTTGAGGATGGCTTGTACAAGTTAATCTTCCGGCCAACCTTTTACTCGGGAGAAGGGGGAGGCACGGCAGACTTGAACCAAGAGAACCATGGGCATAGCTCTTGACTAAGGTCATAGACGACCACGTACGTGATGTGAACAATGATGGTGCACGGTGAGAATTAGGTGGATTGGTGTTTGATATAAGTAATAAAGCAGCAGATGTACTGTAGCGACGACACGTACAGGTACCTACCTACCCTTTGAGTGTCACAGGTGTCGACAGATGGGCGAGCGAGCAGGTACAGACCATGTTGCTTCGACGATGGACCTATATTTAAGCTATGGACGGGGGTGCCTGGGCTTTCTCTTCCTTCACAAACCTTCCATCAATGTCCCATATCGAAATTACCTATGTACACTACATATCGGCAGGCAATCCCGATCCATCAGGGGCATCGAGTACTACCGAGGATGCAGTCCATGCTCTGTTTTTCGGTGCTTCATCTGGTGGTGTCACCGAACTAGTGGTTGAGGACCGCTTAGTTTGTTTGTAGCTCGAGACCTCGGGCCAGCTGCACCTGGACGTATTCATATCTACTTGATTCGTTTCGCCTTTCTAAATCGTACTTGGCCATTCATAAGTACCCGACTGTCCTTGAAAGGGGGGCTGGGACAGTTCGGGAGAGACACGTAAAATACATCAGGAGTACCAAAGTAATGAATAAACCAGCATTGAACAATTGTAGGTCAGCATTGTCCTCGCTGTCCGAAAGGGTTTCAGAGGTCCAACAGGTGCGACGACTGGACACATTCAGAAGCTGGAGCCGACCGAGCGTTTGAACGTTAACGCTTCCCGACGTTCGTTGGCCGCCCACAACCAACCGACTCCACCCAAGCAATTCAAACAGGTGGAGATGGCATGCGGAGGGTGCAGATGCCCCTGCCGACTGCATGGCATTTCTCCAACTCCGCTCAATTTTTTCACCTTCAACCATCACTCACAAGCGCCAGACCAGCGGCAATGAATGGACTGCAGTGTCGATTTTGCAGTCGCCGTCTGGTACACTACTGCAGTGACACCGAATAAGCATTGGAGAGGCTACTGTTGACCACAAGTCACTACTCACACCCAATTTCGGCATGTGTCACAAATGCACAAGTGCCGACCGGAGACCGGCGACAACGAAAACAATGGGAGACGAAACTAACGGAGATTGCACGAGGAGCGAGATTGCCGACATCAAACAATTGAGTTGAGGCATAATTGTACATATGGAGCATACGGAGCTTCATTATGGAAACCACCTACTGCCATGGAACTGCGGATCCCATTCCACTTTCCCGGTCCTTCTTCACCTTGCCCCGGGGTCTTCTGTGCGGTATTCCACGGCTTTTCCATCGAGGTCAATCGCTTCTCCTTCCCCAGAGCTTGGCCTTACTTGGCCGTCTTGGCCTGCTTGGCCTGGAAACGCCATACTACACTACCAACCAAGAGAGAAACGTCCAAGAAGGTCTGGAAGTGAGCGACCAAGAATGCCGAGATGCGGGGAAGTTGCAGTTCAGAGAGCCTCAACTGAATGCCTTTTCTACTCTTTTCTATCCATTTCTCGTCGCAATCAAGTGCGTGCATACAAAGTTGGTACGCCGCCTTGGATACCCATTAACCCGCACACTTCTTCTGAACTTATGCAAAGCATCACTACAAGTAAAACTGTCTGATAACATGGCAGTCGCAGTCTTCGAGTTCTTGCCTTTCTGCTTGACACTTCTGGCCACCTTGGCCATGATGGGAGTCGTTACTACCTCTACTTCCTCATTTGCACTTCCAGACGAGGTTGGTGCCGTCTGATGCTGGGGTAGTTGTGGAAAAGCCTCAAGTGTCCTTCCTTCTTCAAGACAAATCATACGATGGGAGAAGGCCTTCAAGAGCGCCTGAAGTCTGCTGGATGGGAAAACCGAGCTCGTATTTGACGTGACCATACACATTATTCCCCTTTGCTCACTCCGTCAATACCTTCGCTGTTGGATATGTCCAAGTAATCATTACAAAAGTACTCCTATCAGCTTCTATTCCACTCGTTACATCAGACGTTGCCTCACGAGATCACTCAGCAGTTGAATCCCATACTATCATTCCACTTGCCCCAATATTCCCTTATGGAACCCAAATCCACCAAGAAGTCGTCTGGGCGTGCCAAACATAACAAATCCCGTGAAAGCAAGACCGACCAAGTCAAGATTATTGAAGAATTGCGAGCCAGCACCGCCGCCCTTGCGGTTGCGCGGCTGCTCCGTGACACAGGGGGTGAGATATCGATAAATATCAGAGAAGAGTTACCGAGTGACAAACAGTATTTCCGATTCAAGGGGGTAATAGATGGTTTGCCCCAACATGCACTACCAGATTGCGTGGTCAACGTTGGGCGAGTTCCCAACATTCGAGCCCGCCAGGTGAGTCATTCAGAATCAGCACAGCACAGCACCCTCAGTTGAACCTGTAGCTACTGACACTCATATGGCCTCATTCAAGCATGTTGTCAGGGAGGCACTCAACCACATGCCTTTACCTGACGAGAAGGCCATGCCTGAGCACTCAGTTTCACACTACGAAGTACGGGACTATTCACATATGTTTGACGATGGAACAACCGTCGTCATTGAAAAGCTTCCCGCCCACGGCAGCTTGAGTCTTTGGGACTACATACGAGCCTTGGAGGAATCGAAGGACCTTGAATCAACAGTTCCCGCCGCCGCCAACCCCCTTAGGTATGACATTGGAAACTGGCTCGGGCATTTTCACAACTGGGGCTCAGAAGAATATGTGGTTGAGAAACTTCAGGGAATTGCGAGAGATCCAGATGTCGTCGACCAGCATTGCAACTCCATCTCCAAAAAGCTAAAGGAGGCCATTCATCAGCTTCCTAAAGGCACTCATGGCGCTCAGAAAAATTTGGACAAAGTTCTTAGCCTGATAAGGGCAAACTATGCCATTCCCGGGAAGAAACGAGCGTTTCAAATTCTCAATGGCAATTTTGACCTAGTCAGGTGAGCGTGGCACGGCGACTGTGTTGTCGATTACCGCCAAAGGTACTGTGACTGACATGATCATTTTACGTAGCCTCCATATCATGTACTTCCCGCTTGATAAGCGGGACCACCCAAAACATGTGCCATCTATTTACGTCGCGGATTGGCGTGATTTTCGTGAAGGGCATCCTGCGTTTGACCTCGGTTCGTTGATGGCCGACTTGGTTGTACTCTACGAGCAGAACACCACACTCGCGGGTGATGTGGCCCAGGGATTCACTCAAGGATATTTTGCCAAGGTCAAGAACAGTAGTTGCCTGAACAACAAGTTCATGTTCCACGTCTTGGTACACATTGGAGTGTGCATGATTATACGATGCCGTGGTCTTTTGGAGGAGAGCGATGACACCGGCAAAGACAAGAACACCGGCAAGAGCAAGACTACCGCCAAAAGTAAGAATACTGCTAAAGACAAGAACAATGGCAACCAGGGAGGAAACGGCAATGGCAATGGTACTGACAATGATCATGGCAATCCCAAACACCCGACGAACGACAAGAGGGTTCGAGGACTATTTAAATATGGACTCATGATTATACGTCATGCTATACTTGAAGACAGAAAATGGTTTCTGGATAGGCCTCTTCTATGTCATCTTTTTGACGTATCCTATTCTAAAGATCACCCTGGGCCCGACAAGTGGGAGTTAGCTAGGAGATCCTCCGCAGAGAAGAGTGGTGATCAAGTGGTGGAGTAAGCGGAGAAGGCCTCTAGTATCCTTGGGATTGGCATGATTTGGGTACATATACGCTCTAAGGCCAAGGGAGTATAAGCGATTCATTGTGATTTCATTCGTCTCTCATAGCATTACTTTCAGGTCTCTAAGCAATAACCAAATAGCGATAATAGTTCTTCCAGTCGTTCAGTTACATGGTGTGCCTTCACTTTGAGTGCTGGAAAGCACCGAACATGATGCTTAGTATCACTACTAGAGATGTGAGATGTAACGTCACCACTAGCTGAAAAGGGGTCTTAGCATGAATTTGGCTATAGTTTGTCGCTCTGTGAACAATGACACAGCTCCTCGGCAACCCTATGTCCTGACAATTCAAACAACCGCCTTCGAACCCCTTTTTCAGGGGATCATCCACGAAGAACCCTAACCCTTGACAGTAAGCACAGTTCTGTAAAAACTGCACATGCAACAACAAAAAGTTGGATGAGCACGCATCGATCACATTCACTCACTTTTCGAGTGACTCAACCCTCGCAAATCAACAATTGCCACGCTCCCTTTCCAAGGCCCAATTCTGAATTTTTCAAGGACTGCAGTCCGTGAATCTTGTGAAGAGCCACCAAAATCACGACGCCTTCACCAGCAAAATCAGTCATCAACACATCCTTCCCAACTCAAGCACACCATCCACAAAGATTTCATCAAGACGGATGGCCTCAACATCGCCACCTTCCACATCTTCACCAGCCATGTCGTCCACCACAACTCCCACCACCGCAACAGCCAAACCCTGCATCAAATGCCGTTCCAATCCAGGAACCCTCGACTCCCGCGGTCAACTCGTCTGCCGGTTCGTTCTTCCTTTTCCTTTCCTCCCCCTCCAATTCTAGTCCCATCCCCATCTCTAATACCCAAACTAATGTCCCTCTCTTTTTCATTAAAGCATCTGCTTCCAAAAATTCATCTCGCAAAAATGCATCAAACAAATCGGCCTGCTCAACAAGGACGTGCGCTCCTCCTCCTCTCAATCCCTCTCTGCCTACCATTTGTCTCAGAAGAACTCGGGCCCCCCGCAGGCTTCTTCCCGCCGGTATCTGTTGGGACTATCGCTGGGCGCCAGCTCGGCAGCCTTGTTAGAGTTGTTGAATGAGAATGTGGAGTTTCAGCTCTCCAAGGGGAGGAATGCGCCTTTTGAGTTGCAAGTGGTGCATGTGAGTGGTGCTGGTGCTGGTGCTGGTGCTGGTGCTGGTGCTGGTGGGGGACTACTGGAGGATGATGGGAAGGGGCAGGGGAAAGGGAGGACAACAACAACAACAGAGAGGGAAAAGGTGGAAGAGGTGGTGGTGAAGAGGTTGGGGAGCAGGTATCCCAGGTTCGAGTTCCGAGTGGTTTATTTGGAGGAGGTGGTTGGGTTGGAGACGGTGGATTGGGAGGGGTTGGGGTTGGGGGATTTTGTCTCGTCGGCGAATGAAGGTGGCAGGGATGATGAGAACGACTTGACGACGACGACGACGACGACGACGACGACGACGACAAAGGCGGAAAAGCTACAGCAACTCTTCGATAACCTCCCCTCTACCACCTCCCGCACTGACCTCCTCCGCCTCTTCACACGGCACTTACTCATCGCCGAAGCGCGCAAATCCCACTGCCACGCTTTGCTCTTGGGAAGCAGCACCACCGCCTTGGCCGAGTTGACGCTGTCCGAGACGGCCAAAGGGAGAGGGTTTTCGTTGCCGTGGCAGATCAATGATGGAGTGTTGGGTGTTCCTTCTTTCAGCCCTTCCTCCCCTTCCTCACCTTCGTCCGCCGACGCTGGCAAGACAAAGACGGAGGAGACAGGAATGCTGGTGTACCACCCCCTCCGTGACGCTCTCCGAAAAGAGCTGGTCACTTTCACGAAACTTGCCGGCGAGCCAACACCGATTGCGGATTTACTTCCCGAGACGGATTCGTCCACGACAACAGCAGCGGTGGTTTCTCACAAGGATTTAAGCATCGATGAGGTCATGGTTCGGTACTTTGCGGAGGTGGAGGAGAATTATCCGAGTATTGTGGCGAATGTGGCGAGGACGACGGGGAAGTTGATGAGGTTGTTTGGTGGTGCTGGTGTCGCGGATGAGGATGGGGACGGGGAAGGCGGTAAGGCAGCGGGAGAAGATGAAAGTGAGGATAATGACGAAGAGAGGTTGTGCGGGCTGTGTAGTATGCCGCTTGATGTGCTTGGAGATGAGCGGTGGAAGGGAGAGTTGGGAGAGGATAGTTATCGGGATGCTTTGGTGGTGGATGAGGGAGCGAGGAAGATGAAGCAGAGGATATGTTATGGGTGTGAGAGGTCGATTCGGGGGTAGTTCATGGTGTCTGGCGTCTTGCCATGGGACAAGGAAGATAGAGAGCATTCGACTGGCGTAGAAGGAGATACCATTAGACATTTTGCAAGGTATCGATAAGCTATAACGCTCTAATGTGTGGTGATTGTTAACACCCTTTTCCCCTTTTCCCCCTTTTCAGGGGACTTGCTGGTGCTCCATCGACTGATGCTTAGGAGACGTTCATAAGCGTACAATATTCTTCACTTTCATACAAAAGGCAAGCCCCTGCCTGCCGGCCTTTCCCTTCCGTATTAACGCCATATGCGCCTTCCTGCCAAACAGGGTTGATAAACAAATCCACACGTGCACCATCCTGAGTGTCTATTGTTTAGTTCCTAAAATTCCCTTGTGGCCTCCTCTTCCTGCTCGGCTGTCCTTCATTCCAATGTATTGTGATGGCGCATTCAGGGGACCCTAACCCATACCGGCACATTATCCCTTGTTCAATCTCGATCTTACGAAACAGCTTCCCCTCCGAGGGTACTAGTATCTCCCGCCGTTGCCATTGAAACCTCTGCCCTTTCTATTGCGGACCAGCTGGTCGCTATAAAGCCCGCCAGTGCCGCCGCCATTCATAGCTGCCGGTCCCCTGGGTGGCTGCCGTCCGTTGCCATTAGCCATCAGGTCGTCCTCCTCCATAGCGTCTTCGAAACCCAAAGTACCGTCAATCAGATCATCCTCGGGATAGTAGTCGTTCGAGCGTTGAGAGCGGGGGCCGGTGGGGGCGCGAGACGGAGGTAGCTGGGAGGTTAGGGGGTACGTAGGACCGCTTGGTTTGTGATACACACTAAGAACACGACCGTCGGCCTGGGCAAAAATTGTTAGCTTCTCTGGGGCTTGGTCAAGCGGAATGGGGGGTTTAAACTGACTGTCTGCTTGTCGAATGTAGCAATCACATTGTCGGCACCCTCCTTGCTTTCAAACACAATCTCGGCGATAACAATCGGGTGGTGCTTCATGATACGACAGCTGAGTATTAGGCCGCCAATGGGGGTCATGGCGTTCTCGATATCGGCCGCTGTCGTTCCGGGAGCAAAGTTCTGCGCCATTACCGCAAAAGGTCCTGCCAGACCCCTGATTGTAAATCCCTTGCTGCTAGGACCCGTAGGAACTGACGCAGCTGCCGGTCCCTTGGGCGCATTGGCAGGGGCTTGGTGCTGTTGCTGGTGTTGCTGGCGCCTCTGTTGACCTTGCTGCCTGCGCTGATCCGACTGCTCCTGGAACTCATTCCTAATGATCGCCTCCGCCATCTGCGCAGCCCGCCTTTTCTGGCGGGGGTTACCCGCAGGTCCAGCATTTGGGTTGGTGATGCGCGCCGCAAGGCCACCGGACTTGGGGGTATTGTTGGCGGACCTTGAGCCAGGACCAAGATCAACGGTCCATGAGCCGACTCTCTCGTTGTTGTTCTTCGAAGGTGCTGACTGGGGGCCGCCGCCGCGTTGCTGGAACAGACATGAAGGGTCAACGATTCTGAACGCATAGTAGCGCAATCTAGAGGGCCGCATTCCAAAAGTTGCGAGCATACCTTCTTGACGCCGGTGCGACTTGCAAGCGAACCACCGGTGGTCTGTTTGGGCGTCGAGACGGGCGTGCTGGTCCGGTTAAAGATCCTGGCCGCGAGGGCCTCGTTCTTTTTCTTCTCGCGGTCCGCCTGAATGAGCTTTTGGAAGTCATCGGCGACCTTTCTATCTTTCCCCATTGTGTCGGCGAGAGTTGACTGATGCTGTAGAAAGTGCGGTCGGTCGAAAGAAGTTAGTGAGGCGGAATGTCCGAGTAATCGCCGAAGGACGGTCGCGGATGGTTGTAATGCTGCAGGATATGAACAGGATACGTTGTCGATGGGGGTTGTTGGAGTTAAATCTTGGCTGATGAGTGATGCGCCAATTCTTTTGGATTTCCGGTTGGAGTTTGCATTCACAGGGCAGCTGCGCAGGAGGGCGACAAAGGTTCAAAGCTCAAGTAAGGTAACCCAAGGTATGGGACGGTAAAGAATGAGGGAGCAGCGAGCGCGGGAGGCGTGTCTTTAGGTATATTCTTAGCCGTGGGGTGTCGCGTCAGGAGTTCTGCTTCCCGCTTCACTTGACCCTTGGGCGCCCTGCAACGCCGATCACTGCCAAGCGTCAAGCGCACATGGATTGAAGCTCAAGCACAGACCTCTGCACTTTGCTGTGTACTTAGGTTACTCTTACAGTCTGATACGTACCTACATTGAAGTCCCGATAACCGCTTGGGATGCTGTTTCCTCACTGCTGTGTACTTGTAACATCAACCACAATACTACCTACCTACGGTTTACCTCTTCTTGGAGATCTCATCATCGCTATACACGTGACAGGAGGAAGGAAGCTGCTGGGCGCATTCGGCCTTGCTCAACAAGGTTGAAGTCACCAAGCTCAAGGACCATTTCTAATTAATTTCCTGCATCTTCTTTGGCCAGCGGATACCAGCCCGTCTATTGTTCCTAGCATCTGAGATAAGGAACGGTCTGTTTACATTGACTTTTTATCGTCTTATGCAAAACAGTTCAACAACCAAAAAAGTAAACTTGAATTCTATCCTTCATAGTACGGTGACATGGTGGTATGTGCGAAACCGGCTCCCATATGTACACAGCTTATGTACAAGGAAGGATCAATAACCCCTTTGTTCTCCCTCTTTCTCGATACATGGAGCAAACCCCGTCACTCCAAAATGCTTCAAGTCCCCCTCAACCTTCTTCCCGCGCAGCAACACCACCCAACAGATCTGTACTGTATATATATATATATATATATATATATATACGCCGTAGATGAACAGAGACATCTTTACCCAAATCAAACACACGCCCTACTTTCTTGCTTGCTCCTTTACTTATGCTTATGATGCTCATGGTCATGATCATGCCCATGTTCCTCTCCCTCACCAACAACAACCTCCTCCTCCTCCGGCTCCGGACTAGTCTTGGGACTAACATCCCCCGGAATAAACTCATCAAACTTCTTGATCTTCGCCGCCCCATCCTCCTTAGGTACGAACCGTATCCTGACCTTCCTCACACCCCTCACCTTGGCGCCCACCTGCGTCCTCACCGCATCTTCCACCTCCCGCACGTCCTCCACAGTCCACATGTTGGGTACCGCCAGCTCAATATCCAGTAAATAATTCTGACCGCTCTTAACACCCGTGATCTCGACGACTTCCACCTCGTGGCCCTCGGATACCCCCTGAAGGGCCCTGAGACATTGTTTGCGGACTGAATGTTTGACTTCGTCGTCGACGGAGCGGTCGGCAAGCTCGTAGAGGGCAGAAACCGTGTTGGAGTAGCCGGCTTTGATGACGAGGAGGGAGATGAGAAGGCCACCGACGGGGTCGAGCCAGGAGGCGTTGTGAAGGAAGTTGGCACCGAGAATGGCGGCGAGGGTGACGATACCGGTAAGGGAGTCGACACGGTGGTGTACCGCGTTGGAGGCTAGGACGGAGGATTTACGTTCACGGGCTACTTTCATTGCTGGAAAGGGGGAACATGGTGTTAGTAGGAGTTGTGGGAGGTGAAATTGGGAAAGGGGTAGAGAGGGGGATAGAGAGAAAGGGGACGGAAACATACTAGCATGGTAAAGCCATTCCTTGACGGCCACCGTACCGGCTGCCAACCAAGCAGCATGCAAACTGGGACCTTCGGCACTCACACCATGGTGGTGATGGTGTCCATGGCCGTGACCGTGTGCGTGTTCCAGCAGTTGCGCCGCAGCGGCCGGGTCGAGGAAGAAGTGCGCATAGAGAGAGGTGCAGCTGTTCATGCACATAAAGAGGCCACCAAACAGGAGCATGCTCGACACACCCAGCGACCCCAAGCTCTCGACCTTGCCGAAGCCGAGGGGGAAGTTTTCGGTTGGCGGGCGCAAGCTCCACGAGACGGTCGCGAGCGTCAAAATGTCCGAGGCGAGATCGGTCAAGCTGTGCCAGGCGTCGGCGACCATGGATTGCGAGTTGAAGGCGTAGCCGCCCAGCCCTTTTGCGATGGCCATGCCCAGATTGGAGTAGAGGCCGAGCCGGGTGATGCGCACACCGGCGTCGGCCTTGTTTCGCGAGGTCAGGTAGACATTGTCGTGGTGATGGTGGTGATGGCCGAGGCCGTGGGAGTGGCCGGCGTGGCCTCGAGATTGGGTGGGCGTGGTCATGACTGCTGTCCTCGTTGTTGTTGTTGTTGTCCTCCTCCGTGGTCGTAGGAGTTGGGAGAGAAGGGACGGATAAGGGGGGTTGCTCGAAGAGGAGACAGGGATCAAAGAGCGTCGTAAGCGATCTTCGAAGGAGCGACTGTTTGAGTAAGTGTCGAAACAGCGACTAGGAGGAATAGGAGTTGTGGTGGTTGGTGTGGTGGTGGAGGTATGTGTCCCCAAGCATTGGCGTTGCAGTAGGAGTTCAAGGCGAGGTGTCCTCCTCGACGAAGTGGCAGACGAGCTAAACGGAAGCAGGCTCCGGGGTCGTTTCGAGACGCAAACGGCGGGATGGAAGTGATGGGCAGCAGTGGGCGCAAGCGCAGTGTCACGGAGGCGCACCAGCGGGGCCGTACATTGCCTACTTGTACACGAAAGAGAAGGCATCAAAAAGGGAAAAAAAGAAGAAGAGAGGGACGAACGCCTAAGAGTCAAGAGAGAGAGATTAGTATCTGACGCGCGTACGGTAGCCACTTGCAGTACCGTATGAGCAAGGGACCGTCTGGATGAGACGTGGCAGGGGGAATTGTTGGAGACCAAGGGATGCCGCAATGCAGTCGTACGTCAGATAGGTACGTGGACAGAATGGCGGAGAGAGAGCTTTAAGTTGTGAGTGGGACGGAGTCTCCAGCAATTCCAGATCGAGTATTGAGGACGGTGATGCTGTGGTTCCTGGATTGGAGGAGTGATTCAATGTAACGAAATCGCATTTACAAGTCAAGTTTGAGAGGCCGGGAAAGGGTTCAAATCGTTTCCCGTTGGGAACCGTTCCCTTGGCTCCCTGTTCCCACTCGCATTGGGTCTGATCGGCCTTTCTGCTTCAAGTCATGTCATGGCCAGACCCGGACACGGGATCGGACCGGGCAAGCGGGCAGGCAGGCCAACGTCACTGGCGTCTTCTCTCTCTCACGATGCGGGAATCGGAGAGGGGCCATCAGGGCAGCCGGAACCTAGACTAGAGTCCACCATGGCCCGGCTCAGAATGGGACGACGCGAATGCCATGACGCGGCACATCTTGGCCCGCAAACTGAAGCCCTTGCAGCGGAATTGGGAACCTTTATGGTCAAGTGTCCCTTGCCGAATCTGGCCTACAGTTGTCCGGCAGGTGTTATGGTGGGGTATATGGTACTGTGTAAGTTGGAGGGACCTGGACCCTGAAGGCCCAAGCTTCTCTTATTCACCTGGGACTCCGGAATACCTGATGATACAGCGTGCGCATTATTAGTCTTATATTGCTACTTCACTCAATGCTTTCCGTCATAACCTTCGGAATTCACAGTCTAGTGTTCTGTACGTATTTCCAATAGAAAGTCGTGATACTATGGTCGGGTGGTGTGGTTGATACATATCAGTAGGTGGCCCTAGGTACAAAAGAGGGACACAGTTCGGGAAAGCAACCTTTAAATCAGACAATTGAAAGGAGTGTATAAAGCGTCCAAGAAGCATTGTGGCAGCTTCATGAATGAAAGTTTCTATTCAATTGAATTGTGATCAAATTGGGCAGAGGATGTTGTCAAGTCCAATTGACGACCGCACTACAAACACATCTACCAATCCCCAAGTACCTCCACGCCAAGACATCCCGTCCGACACTTGCAGTGTGTTGCAAGCTCCGAACGAACACCTAACCCAGGAAATCTCCAAAACAACCTTGATAGCTTTCAGTTTTGGAGTTTCTTCCACGCATCAAGAGAAGAACTTTCTAGCTCTGGAAATCTTGAACGACATCTTCACATCGACTCAGGAAACGTGCCCTCGACCCTAAAGTCTACCCACGGTTACGCTTCGAGCGATCACGAATCACAAACAGGCCTTCGCGATAGCCCACACTCAACATGACAGGCAAGGGCAAGTCTCGCTGGGCAGACAGCGCAGAAGACGCCGCGCTCGAAGCCCAGTTGAAGAAGGAAAAGGAGGAGAAGAAGCGCCTAAAGGCCGAGAAGGCGCGCAAAGCCGAAGCCGAAAAGAAGAAGCGCGAAGCAGAAGCTGCGGCGGCGGCACAACGACAACAGCAACAACAACAAACCGGTGACGATGACGACGCCAATGGGCCCCCGGCCAAGCGACGAAGACTCTCTCCCGACCGCGACGTAGCAGCAGCACCGACAGCGAGCAGTAATGACAGCAGCAAACTACTACGTTTCGAAGGCGGCCGATTCGGCAAGTGTCGCAGCGTCGAAAACTACGATAAGCTTAACGACATCGAGGAGGGCGCATACGGCTGGGTGGCGCGGGCGCGCGAGATTGAGACCGGCAAGGTCGTTGCGCTGAAGCGACTCAAGATTGATCCGAAGGATCGCAGCGGTCTGCCCGTCACTGGCTTGCGGGAGATTCAGATCTTGAAGGACTGCAGTCACAGGAACATCGTCAAGCTCAAGGAGGTGGTGGTGGGCGACGACACGAGCAAGATTGAGAAGTAGGCTACAATCCCTTTCTCTACTTCGCCGTTTCTTTCTTCATATTCTGTCGGGAAATCGACTAACGACTATCCCACAGCATCTTTATCGTCCTCGAATTTCTCGAACACGACCTCAAGTCCATCCTCGAAGACATGCCCGAGCCCTTCCTCGCCTCCGAAGTCAAGACCCTCCTCCTCCAACTCTGCTCCGGCATCGCCTACCTGCACTCGCATTACATTCTACACCGGGACCTCAAGACCTCCAATTTATTGCTCAACAACCGGGGCCAGCTCAAGATCGCCGACTTTGGCATGGCCCGCTACGTGCCCGACCCTCCACCACCCAAACTGACCCAGCTGGTCGTCACTCTATGGTACCGCGCTCCGGAACTCCTCCTCGGCGCGGCCCGCTACGGGCCCGAAATCGACATGTGGTCCGTGGGGTGTATCTTCGGCGAGCTCCTAACCCGCGAACCCTTACTACAAGGCAAAAACGAAGTCGACGAGCTCACCAAAATCTTTGAACTCTGCGGTCTTCCGACAGACGAGTCATGGCCTGGTTTCCGCCGTTTACCCAACGCCCGCTCTTTACGCCTACCCTCTTCTTCTTCTTCCTCTTCTTCCTCTAAACCCCCCTCCACGGGGGCCCTAATCCGCGCCAAATTCCCCCTTCTAACCGCCGCCGGCGTCTCTTTGCTTGCCTCCCTCTTATCGCTAAACCCCTCCCGTCGCCCGACAGCGTCGGAAATGCTGGAGCACGAATACTTCCGCCAGGATCCGAAGCCGAAACAGGAGGCCATGTTCCCTACTTTCCCCAGCAAAGCGGGACAGGAAAAGAGGAGACGGAGAGAGACGCCGAATGCGCCCCAACGGGGCCAAAAGGTACAGGATCTGGGCCAGGTGGATTTTAGTTCGCTGGGTGGGATTTTTGGGAGTGGGAGGGAGAGGGAGGAGAGGGGTGGGGGGTTTAGTTTGAGAATGGTTTAGAGGGCTGGGGTATGGGACAAGGCTTGGTTTTGTGTTCCGAAGGATTGGACGTAGTGGGTTGCGAGCGTGTTTGTTTCTTGTCCGTCTCTGGTGGACGTGAGTGTTTTGAGGGTTGATGGGCGTTGCAGCGTTTAGGGAAATTATTAGTTCCCTGTATAATGTGAGACGACGGACAAGTCATCGGACAACATTAGATGAGCCAGGTACAGAGTGTCTAGACTGATTGGGACGGCGGCAGCATTTGTGTTTCCGTATGTTACAACCTGCGATCTGTATGTATTCTATCCAGTTGGGCGGTAAAAAGTAGAGACCCGGATGCTGGCGTATAATTACAGCCGCATAATACTATATCATTCGAGGTACGGCGTTTACCCTCGCACCGTGTTCTTGAGTTATAATGATCTGATCTATGATACCCGCCATATACAACAACGTCAAGATGCAGCACATAGGAATGAATCATCGTGTTAGGTTACACCTTTATATTGAGGCTCTCATGAAAGTGAACGGATAATGCAATGCCTTTTTCTTCTAGTCCAACAGACAATCATGCTTCGCTTCAAACTTCTCTCTCCCCATGTCTTCTTCTTCTCCTCCTGCTCCTTTTAATCCATGGAAACAATTCCTAGCATAAGCCAAAAGACAAAAAACCGACGCCGCATCCATTGCCGTTTGCGCGTAAACACACTCGACTCGACTCCATTCAATGATTATGTGCGTATGTGTGGCGTACTGCGTGCTTGCTGACCGACTGTGACCGACTGGCGGGAAACATGGGATTAGCGATTAGAAAGGCCAGAAAGCAATGCCAACACACGCTCAACTCCTTCCTTTTCTTCTCGCAAGCAAAACAAAATTCAACCATCCAACAAACTCTATTACAAAAACATTAGCCAAAGATTCCACCCTCCATGCCATTCCATACCACGGCCGTTATCCTTCCATAGTCTCTCGCGTCTCTTCCAGTTCCAGCTCCACATGATTCAGCATAGTTCGATCGGTAGCTCAGAGTCTCATTTGTCCTTTATTCTTTTTTGTCATCAACATATTCCAGTCAACCAACAATTCGACAGTAGGTTCTCAAATGAGTCCGCCAAACCCGGTCACGAACCAAGTGAAGCTGAAAACCGTGACCACGCTCATGGCCACCACCGCGCCGAACGCCCGCTTATCGATATCAGAAACACCGCCACTGCAGGTCGCGCACACCCAGCCGCTGGAAAGGGGGGTGTACGGCTGCGGCGTGTACAGAGTAAAAGTGAAGCCGGCGAAGGGTGCGAGATAGCCAGCCTCGGAAGTCGCGGTGAGGCTCGAGTCGGAGTCGTAAATAATCAGCGTGTACTTAGCCACCAGCAGCGGATTCTCAACGTTCTGGGTCTGGTAAGCCTGCGTGTCCCAGGTGAAGGAGCCCGGGGTGGCGTAGGTCATGTTCTGCGTGAGCGTCCAGGTCGCCGAGGCGTCGCTGCACGAGACGAGCACGTCAACGGCCGTGGGCGTGGCCTGAACGTTGGTGTAGTTCCAGCCCCAGGTAATGTAGTCGCCGATCTTGTAGAGCTGGGAGCCAGCGAAGGCCGAGGGGGTGATCATGGTGATGGAGCCTGGCGGGTCTTGCGGGTCGAAGGTCTTGTGCTTGGTCGTTGTGGCCTTGGTACCCGTCTTCGTCTTGGTGCCGGTGCCGGTGCCGGTGCCGGAGTCACTTTCGGAGAGCAGGCCGGTGTTGTAGTTGGTGCTTATTGGGCCCCCCTTCTTCGTTGTGGTGGGGGGCGCGGTGGTTGTGGCATCTTGGTTATCGCTGGCGCTGCCTGTAGGCTTCGCCGTGTCTTTCGCTGTCGCTGTTGGTGCTGGCGCTTCGGAAGATGCTGCGATTGATCCAGGTCAGTTGATGCACGGTTCGGCACGGGTTTGGATGAACCCCGGTGAGTCCGTCTTAAACATACCTGGCTCTGGGTCTGCCCTCACGACAAGGGAGTCAATCTCTGGAAGAAACCTAGGCCATAGCCCAGAAGCGGACGCAATAGGTGACAAAGAGAGCAATGCGACGGCCAGTTGGCCAACAGAGAGTGATGTCCTCATAGTGTTGGTATTTGTTGATGGTGGTGAGTGTGTGTTATATGCAGTATGTTATGCAGTCTGCAGCAGGCGTTCAGATGAATATGCCCAAAGTAGGAGGTCCGAGCGACCAATATCAATCCAAGCCCGATATCCAAAAAAAAAGGTTCACCCGAGAATAGAGTATATAGAATAGCTGAACAGCAGTTGCACTATACAAAGCTGTTTAACGTCGGAGAATAACTTTTGGGTGTTGTGGTACTCGTCCTCGTCGACGGTGGCTTGAAGAGTCTGAGCGACAGAGGAATCGTGGTACGACGCTTGTCTTGGTGTGCGGGTAGCGCGGTGGACCAACCCCTAATGCTGGGAGCCTGGGACTTGAGCGCTAAACTAGCGGTTGGCTGCTAACCGAACAATGGAATGGATGGATGTTGCCGGTGAGAAATTGTGACTTGAGAGCCGATGGGATAGCTGAAAAACTTTGCTTCGCGTCGGGATGATTCCACTGCTAAACAGCGACAGGATCAGATAAGCGAGAGACGAGTATCCAGGATGATGAGGACGCTGGAAACAGCGGACGGAGCGAACGGTCTGGATAGGTAATGAAAAGCGAATGTGAGGGTTAGAATAGGTTGCTGAAGAAAGCGGGCAGAAGGAGAGCGAAAGAGCAACTGGGGTGAGGTGAGTGGATAAGGGAGAAGATGGGCGACATCGATCATGGAACCAGACTGAAATGGCTGGAGATCAACTTTCAACGGACCGGGTCTGTGGCTCCGTCCTTCTGCATCTTTCCGCCAGGAAGGACTGGACTCTCCAGCGAAAAGAGAGAGAAGCCACAACACCCCACCGGGTGAGACGGCCAATAAGGGGCCGAGTAAACATTCGAACTTGACTGTTCTGGGCTTCTCCCTGGACCTCTTCTGGCTCCATTGGTATCATCACCACCACATACTGTGGCGCCTTCAGTGAATGCCACGAAAAATTCCCCGTGTCTGTCAGGTCCATTCAAAGTCGTATTGAAGCCATGATGGATACGAGCCACAGCGGAGCACGGGCTGGACTCTCAGCTCCTCGTGCTCGGCTTTTCTCGTGTTGGACCCCTTTTGCCCCTCTCGCCTAAGCGGCATGGATGACAATCATGTGCGAGCTAAAAATAACCGAGCATTGTGGGCGCATCTCCCTTTTTCAATGCTTCGAGATTCATACCTTGACACTTAGATATAAAGGCAACCGATGCCGTTCCCCAGGGTTCCCCAGATGGCCGGGAAACGATGAGCACCATAAACCGGAATTCAGTCGCACAGAATGCCTTGGACACAAGCATTCCCTAAGCCACGTTGCGGTGATTCACATGATCATCCACAAGGTACAGCCCAGTTATGACGGTGGGCAATTTAGCGTTCTTCAACAGGCGCAGATCTGTGGATGTCGTTCGTTTACCGGGCAGACGAGATTCCCACTCTCTGGTTGTCTCACTTACCTGACAAGCTTTCTTGCATGTCAATGGGGAGCACAGGAATCGCTCAGACTTGAGGCTTTGCGAGGCTTCGACAGCCCGTTTCTTCGCCGGCACCTACACCGATGGCTACACTGGCACTGACTGGATGCGACACGAACAGCACCGAGTGCCGCCATCTCCTCGCGTTCCGACATGGTATCACAGCCCAAAGAATGCCCGCCGTGGCCGGGTGGTCAAAGGGTTTATCTATCCTATCCAAGCTCAAAATATCCACAGCCATGGCGATTACCGGTGGACGGCGGCGTGCTTGACAGGGGCGACCGACCTCCCTTCTCGTTGTGTATCCCAGTTGCTGAATGTCAGACGCATGTAGATGTGTCTGGCTGGGCAATGTGACGGATCAGGCAGAGTTGTCGTGAGTGTCAATTTCAGGTTCCTGCCTTAGTCGAGCAATAGTTCAAGCTGTTGGGCAGGCTAGTCGAGATGATAGCGGGCCAGCCGAGATTGGGGCCTTTGCAGTGATGACGCTGTTATGTGGTCAACATCCTCCACCCAAACACAGACGGCGCGACCTGACGGTTCGAGAAAGCGTTTCTGATGTTCACCTTTGCTGACATTGAGGATGTTGAGTTGAGGGTTAACTATGCGAGCAACGACTTACCGCGCTTACTTGCTAGCCATTGGTTGAACTTCATCCTGGGTTGGGATCTTGGTATCGTCGATGGGCGTCAACTCTGGACGTGAAGAGGAAATCATTGACAAGCACCTAAATCGCGTCTCTCAGGGTAGAAGAAAACGGGTAGTACACACACGTCCTTCGGGGAGGCCTTTCCCCATCCCGTCGTGGTCTGTTTCGTGGGTAGCTGCCGATGTGAGGTTGGGGATATATCGCTTGGTCGCATTGGCGGGTTTGGTTCTCATGACTGCCCCTCCCACCCAAGGCATCTGATAGGAAGAAGCAGAGTGCGTATGTGCACCTGGGGCGCCCGCATTGCGGCAGTGAATGTGGTGCAAGTTGGCTTTGATCAATGGATGACATGGCGTAGTCTTGCAGCCGAGAGGAAGCATAATGCAGCAGTCGTTTCTGAGGAGAAGAGAAGCGGCATTGGCTCGTGAATGGCGTCACATTTGACAAGTATGCACCTCGATCATCGCCATTGGTTGCTGGGCGATAGGATGGTAGTTCACTGCCCCCGAATCTGCCTCGTCTGCTTGCCTCTTGGACGGCGGCCCGTATCATTTGGCGCCGCAAGTACTCGTTTTTCAGCTTATACGGTGCTCTTGTTGCCATTCATCCAAGTAGCCTCGAGTTTGCAACCTGGAAAGGAAATGGATGTCAACAAAGCGCGGATCAAGGGGGTGAAGGTTTGGCTTGATTCAAGTTCCGGACCCCTCTCCTTTTGATGGCATTTGAAGTTGAGGCTTCCATGTCGCACGTGAGGATATGCCTTTGGCTACATAGCGAGTGGAAGTTGCGCTTCCATGCCAAGATAAGATGCCGTGTTTTGGTTCAAAGTGGTTGCAGCTTGGGCACGCTTGATCGAACCTAATTGGGCGGCGCAGATCTCCATGCCTTAGCTTACCTACTGTAGCGGGCTTGGCTGCTTTTCTGGGGGTACATGTTTTGGTGGGTTGCAGCACCTGCCCGCACTGCGGATCGTCTGTAGCTCTCTGCCTGTCACTTCGGTTTGAGGTGACTGCAGTGAATGCACTCGCTTCTAACGGATGGAGGGGTACGGGAAGTGGACGGGAAGCTTCGAACATTAACACCTGCCGGAACGCCTCAGGCGCATGTTTGGGTTCAGACGGGACGGGAGACTTTCGACTAGACGTGGGAAGATCCGTTTCCTTTTCTATCTGACGTGCCCCTCGCATGCCCACCCAAAACATCAAACTCACAAACCTCCAGCTTTTCATATTTCTCCGCGCCGTGCGTCCAACATCATGGAGTCACATATCACCATTGATCGGGCATATTATGAAGTCCTGGTGCGAAGGTAAGTACTGTTTTCTTGTCCATGGTAGCATCATGCCTTTTGCTCGGTTCTTGTCTAGAACACCAGAGATCCCTCAAGGCCCGTCCGCCAACCACTAGGTATATCCCGTTACCGTTGCTGATTTTGGCTTGTCTTTGTTCGTCTACCAGGGCCCAGTTTGTACGTTGCGTTCCATCAAAACATGAAATCAACTTCACTCGTAGCTCACCCGTAGCTGACCTGCCACAACCGTCAAAAGAATTCCGAAGCTTTTAATCGAAACCACGGCCAGGGTGTCACTCTCCCGCAGGCCGAATATGACAATCTCAACCTCATTGCCCGGCAGTATGGTGCGTTTACTGGCAGTTGAAACCCCCTGAAGATGGCTGTCACCGCGACAACAAAAATAACAGCCAAAGAGAGACGGAAGATACTCTGAATACATGTCAGAACTGACTCAAGTCCAGAGAACCTGAAGCGCAACTTGATGCGCGGTGGAGTGGTTGAGGAGACTATTGATGTATGTCTCCCTGGTGCATCCGGTTATGACCCATATATATATATGGAGCCTACCCCGTGGGGACCCCATGGCCGATTAACTGATCGAATCCACACTCGATAGCTTCTCAGTCAAGATGACGCTACCATCCAAGACGGACTTGTTCCGGAGACATCGCAGCACCAGCGTGAGGCGACGCACAAAAGTGCTACCGATGTAGGCACGGCACCCACTCAAACATCCCCTCCCGGCCTCGACAAACCGAGAACATTTAGACCCAGACCTCAACATGACGAGCGCCACAACAGCTACAGCGGCTATAGTGGTCATAACGAGGGTTATCACTATGGAGGCCGAGGTGCTTGGGCAGAGGTTGATGAAGTTGAGCCCGATGATGAGGACTCATTCTGCGACGAAGTCTATTCCCCAGACGGCCCTAGTGTCCCCGAGGGAGTGAGCGAAGTCAAGCCACAGATGAAGAAGCAGCAATTCAACCGACAGTGCACCAGAACTGTGCAGCTCTACAACCTATCCGAGAGCACTACCCACGCAGACATTACGAACGCTGTCCGAGGCGGTATGCTGTTGGATGTGTTTTTGCGCGCCCATGATCGGTATGCTACCGTATCATTTCTTCACGCTGCAGACGCTAGGAAGTTCTTTGAACACGTCCGGAAGAACGATCTTTACATCAAGAACAAGCGAGTAAGTTGGTGTGTCAAATATGGAATCAGGGGAGGTTATATACTGACCAGGCATCCAGGTTGACATCAAGTGGTGTGACCGCCAATTCGTACTGCCAGGCCATATCGCTGGAAAGATAGCCCAGGGAGCCACCCGAAATCTGGTCATTCGCCGGTGCGGTCCCAAAGTCAGCGAAGAAGGTATTCGGGAGGATCTTGACCATATTCACAACCTTGCTGTTATCAAAATCGAACTCACGGGCGGAAACTGTTATATCAGTCTGAACGCTGTACACATGGCCGTCTACGCCAAAACGTGCATGATGAGTCGTCTGTAAGTCAACCATGGACAGGTGATCATTGGCTTCTGCTTACTTGAATGTTGACAACGTGCTCAGGAAGTACAAGACCTTCAGGATTGACTGGGACGTCGATGAGTGTGCCCAGCCCTATGACCCACTGCCCGCTCCAAAGCAACCTAAGGAGGTCAACTTGCCAAAGCCTGCTGCGCCTGCAAACCGCTTCCAGCTCCTAAACTTGGACGATGATGGCGAGGACGAGATTGCTGCAGCATTTCAGTCCAAGAAAAGGGTTGGCATTGCTGTGTAGGACCGAGAACATGGATCTCATCATGCCTATCGAATGAAGAGAAGACAACTTAACGAAGGCGTCACCAAAGAACGAAGTTCTGTACGACCATTGCCGGTAAGCGTAGAATGCCTACCTTCAGTACACGAGACCATGTTTGAGGATATACGTAGGACGGCTCATAGGGGGCACCATATTACTCCGTTTTGTCATTCTAGTATTAGAAGTCTAGGCCTTCTGAAACAACTCAGAACCCCACGTACATGATGCGGGTTAGAAACACAGGAGGCAGCAGATATTCCACGCCGTCCTCACCGGTTGTATCTAATAATTATGGGCGAAGAAAGGAAGATGATGAGGCGGCATAAGGCGGACGAGGCACAAGGCACCCGGGAAACATGTGCACATTTCATCCCTCGTCTAGGTAGACTTGCAATTAGGCTCCGTTTAACTTCTAAGCATGGTGCGAGTATTACTCTCCACTCCTCTACATTCAAAAAGGTCATGATGCAGTATTGGCCCCAGATGCCGTGGTTAATTCTTGCTCCATTGTTGCGTCTTCGCTCAACAACCAGGGAAGACAATGAAGGCAATGGTAGGTAACGTAATGTTAACTTACATCAAACAATCCAGGACCCCGAAATCCAGATATATCACCCTCCATGCTTACAAAAACCCGATATGAACAAAAAAAGCACGCCAGCCTTGGCTGCCCTCTAGTCGGTAACCACGATTATCAAAAACGAAAATGTGTATATAGTCCCGTTAGTCCTCCCCATGATGCCCGACCTCTCGCCTACCCTACTTCCCTACCCCACAACCAATTCAACAAGAAAAAAAAAGAGTAAGGCGAAAGCCGCTTCCCATAAGCCAAGAAGAAGAAGAAGAAGAAGAAGAAGAAGAAGAAGAAGAAGAAGAAGAAGAAAAGAGACTAACGCCTGATGTCTAAAACAAAATGAGGATATCCGCCCGCCGATGAAGTCTATAAAATGTTCGATTGTAGAAAATCACCGTTTCCTCCCCACCGTACCGCCTTCTCTCAAACCCGTCCGTTTCCTTTTCTTTTGGTTATATCTTTCCTTTCATTGGTGCCCAATTTCCCTCCCCTCTCCAATCATATATCGAGCTGGGACCTGGTGACCTAGTAGGAACCACCTCCATGATGGCCTATGCCGAATGGTTGAACAGTCTCAAGAGACTATAGAACTCGTGCGCTCGTCTATAGGACCCGGGTCTCGGGCCCAAGAATCTTGTCCTCCAGCTTCTTGACCAGCTTCGTGGTCTGCTCGGCCAAGCTGAGGGTCAGGATGGTGTGCGGGAGAATGCGAGTAAGATGGGGGATGACGCCCTTGTAGATGGCGAAGAAACCCTCGGCGCGGATGGTCTTGGCCAGGCAGTCGAAGACGCCCTTGTACAGGTTACCGTTTTGGTTGTAGAGGCGGGACATGATTGTGTCTATTTCGTTCATTGTCAGTTTCAGTTGTCCCAGGGGGCCAGAAGAGGGTCAAGAGGAAGGGAATAAAAAAAAAAAAAAAAAAAAAAACATACCAGGAGGATGCATCACTACGCAAACCACAAATCCACTCGCCGTGCTACTCGCCAAATGCAGCGCCGGCCCCTCCTCCATGCCCAAGTGTTTTACCAACCGCCTCTTCGCAAAGAAGTACGTGGGGAGCTGCACCGAAGATCCAAAGCCTGTCCTGATCATGGCCGCCCCCACACCTCTGTACAACCCCTTCACACCCTCCCCCTTGTAGATTTTCGTCAACCCGTCCCAGGCGTTCTTGTACTGATGCTGCGTGCCGACCGGCAAAAAGGGGCTGTAGCTCTGCAACCTCGTCTTGGCCAAGAAGAACGGTGACCCCGCCATGGCGCCCATGATGCCACTCGCCGCGCCGGCAAACATGTTGATGCCCAGGTTTTGGGTCTTTGCGTCGTTAAAGAGCGTGGTCGCAAGCGCGTGTCGCATCGGCTCGTAGAACCCCAGGCGGCATCCGTTCAGGAGGATCTGGTAGATGTACGCGCACCCGATACCGCGGTAGATGCCGCCCAGTCCTTCGTTGCGCACAATCACGGAGACACCGTGGATCGGACCCCGGTAGAAGTGAGGGGAGGAGGTAGAGGATTGGAGCTCGCCTTGGAGCTGCATGCGGATCTTGACGGTCTCGAAAGGGTGCGTGGCGGTTACCGCGCCGCATGCTGCGATGCCGCCGGCTATGAAGGCGCTGTAAGGGGGGGAGAGATGTTAGTCTGGGCTTGGGACCGAGAGGGGGGGTTTGGGTTGGGTTGGGTTGCGCGCGCGCACTGGGCGCATTGCGAGGAGGGGAAAGGGAGAGCTTACCCTGCTGTTGTTGACATAGTGACGTTGGGGTATCTGTCTTGGGAGGATGTATGGGGAAGAAGGTTGAGGGAGGGGGAAAAGATCAGGGAGAATCCAAGTCGAGTCCCCAGAGTTGTTGGGTTGATTGCGACGGAGTTGGCGCGCAAAGTCAAAGAAAGGCGCAATGCCGAGTCTTGCCGGTGTTCGGAGAGAGAGAGGGGGGAACACGGGAACTAATTCGGGAGTAGGCCGGGGGAAGCGGGAGTGGATGTCACCGTATCACGGAGAGTAACGACGGCAATGAGGGGATGATCTGGGGAAAGATCAGATCGGTGTATGTACAGGTGTACAACTGAACGAAGTCACAACGAACGACGACGACTGCTTCTTCCTCCAGGAACAGGAAGGAAAGAGAAGAACACCGAGAGCTGTCCGGGAAATTTATTGGAGCTTCAAGGTGGCCTCGCCGGTCAGTCGCCGGGCAGACAAGGGGGTCGAAGTGATCAACTGGGACCAACTCCCGCTTTGGGTCAGGCACGGAAGTTGGTGTCGAGATCCTCCTCCGATGCCGTGGATGGGGGTGGTGCCCAATGGCGACGAGGCGAAGGAGTTGTAAGTGCTGCGGTTTCGGCGCGCGGACAACAGATTAATGTGGAGTTTCTGCGGTATGACAGGGGGGCGTGGCGGGTCGGGCGGCCCAGACGTGGACCCTGAATCAGTAACGGAAATGTCTGGGCCGGGGAACGCTGTCGTTGCTGCGAGGGAGGGTTAGGGCCTAAGCGCGATGGACGGCAACAAGTGTCCGAATCGGAGCTTGATGACAATTCCGAAAAAGACGAAGGTACCGAAAGCTTGGAAGACAGTCATACTGGGACTTCAGCTGAGCATCTTCCCGTAGTGCGTAACGATTGACATTTCAGCTTCGTGAACATACACTAGCACGGTTTTCAATTGACTGCTCGGTTTGCGTCAAAACCACCAACGTATGCCCAGCGTTGATGGAGTTTGTCCAACTGTTACCCAACTTGATGTCGTTGTCCATGCAGTTGGACCTGACCATGGATCGAAACAAGGGTTAGGGTCTTGGGCTACAGCCAAGTCATTGTATGTACCTTGACGTCGCATTACTGAAGCTCTGTCTCTCCGCCCGGCAGAAACACCAACGCGGTTGACGGATGCTACTAAGTTTTGAACCAAACATCAAATAACTAGCATCAATCCGATTTTATACAATTTGACACAGTCTATTCGCCCCGCCATTTTCTGCGGTTCTAGCCGGTTTCAATACGATCAATCGACCGCAATGTCATCGACACCGATGGACATCGACGAGCCCGGCGCGGGAACACCCTCCCTGAACGTTACTCGGTTACTTGGACCTAATGGGCCCAGTACCTCCAAGATCAGCGAGGTGATCAAGAATTTCAGGCCGACAAAGTTCTTCCAGAGAGACGACGTGAAGGAGGGTAGGCCCCAGCCATACGTTCTCTCAATCGACTTTGACGACCCTGGCGAGCTTTGCATGACGTCTGAAAGCGACGAGACCATCCAGATATATAACGTTAGGGAAGGTCGGCATGATAAGAGCTTGCTGAGCAAAAAGTACGGCGTCAAGCATGCGAAGTTTACACATTCCAGCTCGGGCATCATCTATGCGAGCACGAAGCAAAACGGTATGTCACCGTGAACACCCTTTCTCCCTTCAATGACTGCTTTTCGCTGACCTAGATCGCCACAGACGCAATCCGCTATCTGGCAACCCACGACAATACGTTTATCCGATATTTCGAAGGTCACGAGGCCTCCGTTACCAACATCGCCCTCCATCCCGGCTCCGATAACTTTCTTTCATGTAGTCTTGACACCACAGTCAGGCTCTGGGACCTCAATAGCAGGAACTGGGTTGCCAAATTCCACCTCACCAATCCCACTTTAGCGGCCTGGGACCCTGCCGGTCTCGTTTTTGCCATCGCCCTACCAGCCAGCGCCAGCATTCTCCTTTACGATTACCGCAACTACGTGAAACCGTTCAAGATCATCGACGTTCTGAAAGAGAAGGGGCCAGCCGATGCGGATGCTGTCTTCAGAGGCTGGACGAAACTCGAGTTCTCCAACGACGGGAAGCATATTCTTTTAGGAACACGGACCGGAGGACACTTTCTCTTTGACGCAATTGACGGGAACCTGAAGGCGTACTTGCGAAAGCCCCAAGGCGGCACCAGACGGCCAGCCCCCGGCGAGGCTGATGGTGGAAGCGGTGCGCTAGAGAGTAGTGGAGACTGTTGCTTTACGCCGGATGGACGATATGTCGTGTCGGGCGCGGCCAAGGACCTGTTGGTTTGGGACACCATGCAAACTCCCAACAGCAAGGTCCTGGAACCGAATTTCCTTCCCCAGGAAGGAAAGAAGGAACCGGTCCTTGTGCAGTACAATCCACGATTCAACATGATTGCCACTGCGGATAAGGAGCTTATGTTTTGGCTTCCGGTTTCCGATTTATAGACGGAGTCTCTCGGAAACTGTTGGACCTCACCTCCATGGTCAACCCCACGGAATAGGTGGGACCGGGCTTTACCGGTTCAGCGCAAACGTCCGCTTGAGAAGTATGATATGGAGACGTCTTTCTGGGCCAAAGTCGATGATCAAAAGATCTAAAATAACTTTTCATCCTTTCTGGACACCGATCGCTTCGTGGTTGTGGGGGCGTTGTCTCCATTGTGGCGCCGGGATACTTGGAGAGTTCCCCCAAAAGCCGCACGCACGAGGAAGGCCGTTGTGGCTCAAACTACACAGGACCCATGCTGCGATGTACGAAGGTCTTGGATGGTATCCTGTTGCTACATCAGGGCAGAGCAGATGAGCGTCGTGGTAAGAGAACATGAGAGACGCCGGGAACAAAAGAAGATTTTGATGCACTGTACATGAGATACCCATTTTGCATTATTCACCGGCGTATGGGAGTAGTTAGCATGCTTCAAAGGGTTCAGGTTGCAAGGCAAGTGGCCTGGAAGGCTGATTTAACCAGGCTTCTACGAGAGTAGATGGAAAGAAATGGTCAAGATGAACAGCCTGTAATGGTTGATCAAGTTGAGTTTCACTTAGGGGATGATAGACATTAGCCAATAGAGGAAGCGCAACATCATTTTCTTTCTGTCCATAGGTAGAGAACCTGATCATCAGGTAGTACTGATAAAGTCGAGTTCAATTCCACCCTGAAGCCCATATTTCAGACCTGGGACGACGGGAGCTTAAAGTAAACACAACCCCTGTTGCCCCCTGTCCTTATGCCCCGCATTTGAGCTGCTGGATGGGACCGGACCGCGGTGAACCCCACCAATACAACACCCATTTCAGCGTGCAAGCAGAGAGCTCACCGAAACCGTGGCACCAAAACTTCCCGGGGAAGCGACAAGGTGAACCCACATCATCCTTACCTCCAACATATCACGTCGCCTTGACGCCTTCGCATCTATCTCGAGTCACCAACCGCCGCTGCGCGCCACACTCCCAAGCCGCCAGCCGACACTACCTATACCAAATTGATCATTTGGGTACCGAATATCCAAACCAGCGCACGAAGAGTACAAACAAAGCGATCACTACTTCGACGGAACGATCCAGTCGCGCAGCACGCGACCACCGTCCCATCAGACGTACTCGTCGTCTACAGCATAAACCGGCGACAACAAATATGCCATACTACGAAAAGTCAGAGGACTGGCTTCACCAGTCGGCTTTGCTGTTGCAGGCTAGGCCTCAGACTGTATGTCTTTCTCCCCTCCTCCAATCATTACATCTTAGTGGGTAGCTATGAGCCATCTAAACTTCTCCCGTCCATGCTAACATGCAAACCCAAACCTCCCCCCCAAATAACAGACCCGAGTAACAACCTCGTACTCCCTCCGCCCCGCCATCCGCCCTTCCAAAGCCGAGAAGCTCGCGGCAAAGGAAGCTCGTCGCGCCAAAGAAAAAGAAACCAGCAGCAAAAAGACAACAGAAGGAGAACCCCCCAAGGATGCGGCGGCGGCGGCAGCAAAACCACCCCGAGGCCATCTGGTCCTCAAGACCTTTGACCCGCACTCGGGCGTATGCCTGAAATACAAGACGTCCAAAGCCGCCGAGGTGGGTCGGTTGATTCAGATGCTGGGACAATTGGGGAGGAGGATGGCTGCGCTGCCTGTTGACGAGGCCAAGGAGTCGGCAGACGTTGTGATGGCTGATGCGGCTGCTGCTGCGGCGGAGGAGGGTGCTGCGGCGGCGGCGGCGGCGGCGGTTAGTGGGACTGCTACGCCTGTTGCGGGTGCGAGTACGCCTGCGCCTGCGGCAGGAGGCGGTGGACAGGGAAAGAAGAAGAAGAAGGGGAAGAGGTGAATTTTGAGAGGGCACTGAGTAAGTGGGAAGGGGATGAACGCGCGGATCGGCGGGTTGAGCGGGTAAATGCCATGATAATAAAGGGTGGGTAGAACCAAGTGAATGAAGCAAGCGTTTAACATTTATATGTGGTAACATTTGTGTCAAGTGAAGTCTACCTTGGTTGCGCATCGGCGAACGGGTCACGTCAGGCGTCATGGTCACTTCAAGTTCACGCCGATACGAATTCGCTGATGTCTATAAATTCAATTGCCATGTCGTGTGGAGAGACCGAGCTCTGCCCATACATGTAGAAGCTACTGCCTAGAAGCTTCTTTTCTTTTTGTTTATCAATAATCGACCATCTTCTCATTCAAGTTACAGCCCAGTTGTATGTACAAGATGGCTTGATCAAATCAGCCATGATCTTGAGTCCCTATAACGCCTCTAACTCCGCCCATGTGCTTGATGATAGGAAAAAGGAAAACATTGAACTCGCTCGCCTTTTTTTGAGGTGAGTTGCTGATGGCAGCAAAGATTTTTTATCCAACACAGAAAAACATCTCCAACTGGCAGTTGATAAGCAAGTTGCTAGTCATGCTCGTGTGGGGATGTTCGGTGTGAGATCAGAACGGAAAGGTACAGTGTGGTGAAGGGGGTATTGATGAAACAAAGTCATAAGAGGCGTCGCAAAGGGAAACGAGAAACGGCAAGGACAACGGCATTTAAAAGTCCTCGTCGAAGGTGAAGTCACCGCCGTTCTCGTTCTTGACCACCTCCGCATCAGCGTCAACCTTCTTGGTGCTGTTCATGACACCAGCCTTCTGGTAGTCGCCAACACGCTTCTCGAAGAAGTTGGTCTTGCCACCGAGAGAAATGTTCTCCATGAAGTCGAAGGGGTTAGTCGACCTGTAGATCTTCTCGTTGCCGAGGGCGACAAGGAGACGATCGGCGACGAACTCGATGTACTGCTTCATGAGGTCGGCGTTCATGCCAAGAAGAGCGCAAGGGAGGGCCTCAGTGAGGAACTCCTGCTCAATTCTGACGGCATCGACAATGATTTCCTGGATCAGCTGCTTGCTGGGGCGGTTGTTGAGGTGAGAGAAGAGAAGGCAGGCAAAGTCGGTGTGGAGACCCTCATCACGGGAGATGAGCTCGTTAGAGAAGGTAAGGCCAGGCATGAGGCCGCGCTTCTTGAGCCAGAAGATGGAGGCGAAAGCACCGCTGAAGAAGATACCCTCGACGGCAGCAAAAGCGACGAGACGCTGGGCAAAGGTGGAGCTCTTGTCGGTAATCCAGCGAAGAGCCCAGTCAGCCTTCTTGCGGATGCAAGGGATGGTGTCAATAGCGTTGAAGAGGTAGGTCCTCTGGGAGGGCTCCTTGATGTAAGTGTCGATGAGGAGGGAGTAGGTCTCGGAGTGAATGTTCTCCATCATGATCTGGAAACCGTAGAAGCAGCGAGCCTCGGGGATCTGGACTTCGCCACTGAAGCGCTCGACGAGGTTCTCGTTGACAATACCATCGGAGGCAGCGAAGAAGGCGAGAATGTGGGAGATGAAGAACTTCTCATCGTCGTTCAGTCTGTTGTTCCAGTCGTGAAGGTCCTTGGAGAGATCAATCTCCTCGGCGGTCCAGAAGGAAGCCTCGGCCTTCTTGTACATTTGCCAGATCTGTAGTGTGGATATCCAATTAGCCCGTGAACCACTTTACGCGTTGTTTGGGATGTCTGGGACGCGTGGCGTACCTCATGGTACTTGATGGGGAAGAGAACGAAGCGTTGAGGGTTCTCGGTGAGGAGAGGCTCATTGGCCTCCTCAGGCTTGAGGGTAGGGGCCATCTTCTTGGCCTCGGCGGCCTTCTTGTTCGCGTTGTGTTCAGCATCGATCTCGGCTTCGAGCTTAGCAAGGTCCTCGTCGAAGGGCTTGTTCTCCTTGTCGGTGGCACCGAAGTCGAGCTTCTTAGCGGGAGAGTCCATGTTGAGATTCTGGATACCGGAGGTAACCTGTATGGTGCTCGTGTCAGTTACAGTCATGGTGGCGGGTATGTAAGTTGATGCGGTGGTTTAGAGTTGGTAATGGTTGCAGGTCGCGTCGCGGGATTGTTTATGTAGATGTAAGGTAGGTAGGCTAAGTAAGTACTGACCTGCTTGGACGGGCTGGTCTGGACAGACATGGTGAACTAGGACGAAGAGATGAGATGCGGTTGGAAATGACACAGAACCAAGCGTTGCGAAGGATGACGACGCAAGACGATTTGGCGAAAAGAGGATATAAAATGGGTTGCGTCAGAGAAGTAGTGGTTTTGGACAAAGACGGGGAAGAAGAACAAGATGGGTTCGTGATTTCAGTTCTTTAGAAGGTTTAAGTACTGAGCACGTCCGCACGTGGTGCCCACACCAGAGAACCTGAACGGGCGAGAGGCACCATTGGCAACCCACACTGCCCTGGGCTGGCAAACAAATCTGCGCGTCAGGACTCCAGGATACGCGTTCTAGAGGTACACCTAGTAGCGCCTGGAGCGCGTCCATGGAGCTTCTTCTGCTGCCGTGCCGTCCGGCAAGCACTTGCAGTGACACAACACCTCCAGGCACAGGTAGCGTTTCCCCGATGCCAGACGAGCCTCTCCCCTGCATGCGCCCTGTAAAAGCGTGCTTCAACTCAAAACTTTGTTCCATTGCCATCGCTATTTGTCGCGTTGTTCCGCTTTACAACCAGTTACAATTGCTCCGTCAGCATTCCGACTACCCAATTACATGATCGAATCCACCCTCGAGCAACATGTCGCGTCCTCCCTTGTTTCCATCCGAGCCGTCGTCAAGCCGCCATGCCTGCTTTTTTCTCTTATCAGATCGTCACACATCCATCAATCGGTCCTAGCTGGTCTTGGACTCCAGGCATCCCGTTCCACCTGTCACCCCTCCGGCCCGCACACAGCAGCCCAGGAGCTTCCACGGGTCCAACTGTGACTCCAGTATCATTGCGCCCTTTGTCTAAATAGGATGGGATGATCCAACACGCCAGACCACATGTGATGGCACTACGGAGACGGTAGAAACCGGTCGTTGCCACTGACGAACATCTTGAACTTGTCTTTGTTGTATGATCGGCTTCAGGCGTCGAGCTGAGATCGGTCCGATGAGTCCGCATCTTTCAACGTGTCACATTCGCATCAGGAGCAATAGTCCAGATCGGGGAGTTTGTCTGAGACCCTTAAGAAGGGGTTGCTAGACAGTCCACTGCTAACTTTGTCATGAAGTGAACGGTGGTGAGAAGCTTGTAATCATTATTGTTGCACAAGGTGCATTATGTAAGTGACATAGAAAAACAAAAATGAGACTCCTAGGTAGGTGTGCCTTCATGCGCCTTGCTTGTTTTCATAGTTCCATCTTTTGCGTTTTTCACAACTGAATTCGTGCCGTCATTGTTCATTCATTATTCAGCATGCGACCTCACCAGGTCTTCCATGTCGGAGCTCCGAAGCTCGAACCTCTCCACATCGCACACGTCAAGTGTCGAGACCGCGATCGGCTCGTGTTGGACCCACCAAAACCACTTTATCTCCGGCCTTGACTTCGGGAATCCCTTGTAGACCCACCCCGGCCGTCACCCCGACCGCCGTGGCTATCCCGCAGCTCCCGCTCCGGTCGAGCTTCCACAATCCCGGACTCCAAGTCTGGTTCTGCTGTTCTCCCACCACCGCGGTTCCAGCCCCATCCCCGGCCGTGCGTTGTTTTCGGTGCAGAAGTTGACTGAGCCGGTCGAGTTGAGGGCTGGAGAACCCCATTACCAGTTCCATTTCCTAACAAGTGAATGGTCTCGCCGGTGTCCGGATCAGAGACTTTTCCGTTCCTGACCGCATCAGCCTTCGCCATCAAGTACACGTGGAGTAGCCAGGCATTGCGTGTATTCGCTCGGTAGAGCGCATCGACGATGTCGCCAACGATGGGAATCAGACCGATCGCAAAGTCGAACATGATGTTGGATATCATTTTCGCGTAAAGGGTTGCTGGTAGACCACCGTCAATCTTGGAAGCCTTCTTTACCAACCACAGGGCCATGAGAGCATCCGCAAAATCACCGAGGCTGGGGAAAATGGTGTCAGCTACACGGCGCATCAGAAGTAGGTGGGTCGCGAATCACTTACATGGGAATCAAACCAATAAAGAAGGACCAGCCAAACCGGACGGGAACGCAGCAGCACTTGAAGCCCATGTCCCATTTATATGCTCTCTTCCGCACCGTTTTCAGGATCGCCTGGTCGTTTGATGACAGCTCAACCGGAATTGGTCGCTCCTGAGTCCTGTACTTGACGATTTGACCATTCTTGTATACCGGGACTCGTTCCTCGTATGGATTCTATCAAGTTGCAGTGTCAGTAAAATGCGTGCAAGGGTTGCCGCTCATACATGGAATCCCTGCTCCAAGACTTACGTCAGAGTTTGGCTTGATCTTGTCGGTGTCGAGACTCTTGAGGGCTCTCTTGCCCAATATCGATATGAGGACGTTCATAGTAAATGTCCACTCTGTTTAAGGCGCAGAGGGAGCAGCTGACTTCGACTTGGAAAGGACTGAACCCGTTTGTTTTTGAAGGCCAACTGCGCCAGGGGAACCTTTTTATCGAGTTCGAACCCTTGTTCTATAAGCCTTTGACGCTATCGTTTGGCTTTGGTGGGTGGATTGGTCAGGGCGCCTTCTTTGTCGGTTTCACGTCTGGCGCTTGGGGTCGCAACGAATGCCGCTTGAGAAACCACAGTGCGATTCGAACTTTGGTGAGAGAAGTATCGACACTTGAGGTTCAAAATGTAAAGTTAAGTACGATGCAGTTATCGTGGGCGGCTCTTGGCTTTATCTACCAAATGGTGTTCCACGGGCACAACCGGTCATCTGCTTCGTGAATGCATGCGCGCCTGTTTAGTTAGTGCCTATTTCCTGTTTGGACGATGACGTCCATTCCTTCACGGGACTGGAGTGAACAAGCGACACCAAAAAGACCCGACGGGAGCCCTCCCATTCTCTTCTGGAGAGTCCCTGCTCTTGGGCGAATAATGCGTGCTCCCTCCGGGCTGTGTCCTCCTGCCTCCACTTTTTCGCCATTACATACACAGTAGAATGATCATCCAGGTACCACACGACCTGTCATCTGCCATAGGGCAGGAATCTCGTGCCCAACAAGAAAAGGTTCATCCCGAATCTCATTTGCGTTTGAAATGGCTTCGGCATCGAACGAAGTCGCCCGCCATCTTGCGCCACAGATCAATGCATTGACAGAGGATGACTGGAAACTGACCTCGAGGTCAACCGTGCCAAGTTACCTTACAGTCAATGCTGCCTTGTTTCAGTTGTTAGCTTGGTACCTGGAACGAGACACATTTTAACCCGTCCCGGACGCCGTAATGGTACTTCAAAATGCCTAACTGATACTCAAAAACGCATTATCGACATCTCATTTGGTACGTCAATCCTAGTATATACGTTCATGCCCCCCATCATTGAAGAAAACATATCAATTTGTTGTGGCAACGCCTGCACAAAGTGACCAGAGGTCTCGAGCTAACTGACCACCTATCTTGGGTAGGTAACCTTGTACACTATACATGGTGGATTGTGGCTAGAGTGTCCGCTACCTACCTCTACCTCTACAGGTGGAGAACGGTCCGTCAGTAACGGCCAGCGCATCTACCGGCAGCCGCTCCCTCCAGCCAATCCAAGAGCCAACCTTTGGTCGTCACTCTGTTCCTTCCGTCGCAAGCACAGCAAAGGCCGCTCCTTATCGTCTCAGCTGATAGGCACCGTGACAGCTCTCCCCTAGGTACCTAGGTACCTCTACCTAACCTGCACCACTGGTAGGTATCACAGCACCTTAGCTCAAGGCGCAAGAAGCAACGCCCAAGCCCAATCTGCCCCTCTCATCCGACTTCGACCCTACGCTACCGACCGGTCTTGTGTGCGACTGAAGGCTCCGAACAACACAGGCGAGCTTGGAAGCTTCCCCTCTTCCATCCCCGCAACTACATCCTTGATTCCTCAACACCAGAGGTCTTCTCGCCAACACACCAATACCACACTACATCGCCTTGGGATCTCCGACTTCGAACGTGGACGCCATTGCGACAACATCACCACGTCACTCCTCCCACACATCGGAACCGACACCTCCCTGTTCCCCTCCAGACCGTCTACCCAACACACCATCCTCACGGGATCACCGAGACCTACCTACCCGATCATCATCCCGCACTACAACCGCACCGCACCGCACCACCTTGCTATTATCGCTGTCGCTACCGCTCGGCCCCCCCGTTCAACTTCGTCCATTAGACGACGGTGTACGACGGCATAGCTTGAGCTACGCGCCTTGCCTCCTTTTCCGACAATCATATATTCGTGGACATGCTTCGAATGGTTGACACGTCCCAATATGACCGAATCGCAGCTGAAACTCGAAGACTGTCCGTTCCCTTTCTGTATCTTGGCTATCCTGCCGGGCCTCGAGGCAGTCAACAGCTAATACCTCTGCTTAGGGTTGGACGACCTCTGCGTTCGCTTCATCATCAACCTCCCCCAAGAGGATCTTAGATCTGTCGAGCGCATTTGCTTCCAAGTTGAAGAGGCACAATGGTTTTACGAAGATTTTATCCGTCCTTTGGACGACCGCTTACCCCTAATGTCCCTCCGCACCTTTTGCCTGCGCATCTTCGCCCACTGTCCGCTCCTCTCGACCTTCACCGTCGGTGAACATACGCAGGCCTTCGAACGGTTTCTTCAATACAAAACCCGAATTCCTGTCCGCGGCGCCATCATGCTGAATGAGGCCATGGACCATGCCGTTCTCGTCAAAGGCTGGAAGAAGAATGCTAATTGGAGCTTTCCCCGAGGCAAAATCAACAAGGACGAGGACGATTTGGACTGCGCTATACGTGAAGTCTATGAAGAAACCGGTTTCGATATCAGAGAAGCCGGTCTTGTTCCTAAACCGGAAGATGTCAAGTTCATCGAGATTACTATCAGAAATCAACAGTTACGACTGTACGTGTTTCGCAACGTCCCTATGGACACAGTCTTCCAGCCCAAAACTAGGAAGGAGATCAGCAAAGTGGAGTGGTATAGGCTCTCTGATCTCCCCGCATTTCGGAAGAAAGGTAATCAGCAGCAGGATGCCGCCGCCGCCGCAGCGAATGCCAATAAGTTCTACATGGTAGCTCCGTTTTTGGGGCCGCTGAAGAAGTGGGTGTCCCAGCAGAAGAAGAAGGATGCGCTCAGGGCTGGTCAGAATCCTCATCTCGCTGCGGCAGCACAGCTGGAGGAACCTCTGACCGAAGATGACATGGGCACCCAAACTGAAACGATGGGAGAGGTACCAGCAACTTCATCAAAGGACACTTTGGAGGGAGCTAACCGTGAGCTCCGACGGTTGCTGTCGGTTCAGAGTTCGACCGTCGGTTCGCAACCGCCAGTGGGCATGCACGCCGCTGCCTCGAATACGGATAAGGGCGGGGCGTTGATGGCACTCTTGAAGAAGAGGGAGGCCGAAGCGCCTCAACAGGCTCAAGCGACTCGCCATCATGTACCCCATACACCTCTGGACCTGACTTATCAAAACCCTCCAGAGCCGGATACTCCACACCATCACCACATTGCTCAACGCTTGCCTGTTCCTAACTTCCAGCCTCCGCCTAATTTTCCAGTTCCTCCACAGGCTAACCAGAATCCCAATGCTGGGTATCATAACCAGCCGCAACCGCCTCTTCCAGGTTATGGCTATGGGCAAGATCAGTACATGAATGTACCACCTTCCCAAAGAAAAGAGCCTGTTCTCCTACACCCGCAGCCTCTGCCGCCGCAGGTTCAGCAGTCCATGCTTACTAGAGGGATCTTGGGAGTGGCAACACCTAACCTGCCAGACACCACGGGCCAGAGGCATCAGCAGCCTCTCCAAGCCAGTTTGAAAGCGTTCTTGACTCACAGTAGGCTGGATCCTACGCAAGGGCAGATGGCGCCGAACCCACATCCCCCTCAGCTGACGAATCAGGCAATGTCTCTTCTGAACGTTTTCAAAGGCGACAGTGTGCATTCTGGCCATGATCGGGGCCTTGGTGTCAATACCCAGGAAAACGTCCACCCTCAAATGGCAGACCAGCCTCGACAGCAACCTCCCAGTAGTTGGCAGCATGGGCAACAGCCTAACCCTGCTGGACAATACTATGGACAACATGCGCCTCAGGTCACTCAACCACCTTCGGTGAATTCCGTGCCGCATCCTGGACCGGGAGGATTTCCTGCGGGTGCTGCCCCTAGGCCGATTCAGCCTGCGGACTCGCATCGAAATGCCTTGTTGGACATCTTCAAGAAAACAGGACCGGCCTCGCCATCCGGTAGCGATATGGCACCCAAGTTACACACTGCAGGCCGGCCTGACTTGGCCACCAGGCCAGATTCCGCCAGTCAATATAATGTCGGACCATCTACTCAGGGGCCAGGTTGCACGGCAGGTGCCAGCACAGAAGCCGCTCCTACTAACGCAGAGCACACCCTACCGTATAGACCTCAGATCCTGGCTCGGCCTAAAGCTCAAGAAGCTCAGGAGCTCACGCCTGCGCAGCTGCGCAGTTACGCTGTTCCTGCAAGCACTGTTTTGCAAGATCTTAAGAACCAAGTCTATCCCAACTTGCCATCTGCCAAGGACCGTCTGCTCAGACAACAGGCCGAGGCCAGGGCCAATAAGTCGCCCGTAGCCAATCTTGCCGCTACCGCAGGCCAGCCATACAACCAGGATCGGTCTCCTCAGGCCGCCCACGTTGCGCCGTCGTTTCAGCAATACCAGAACCAAGCTTCGCAGGTGCCCAATGTGCTCCAGCAATATCAACAGCGCCACGGGGGTGATAGTCCCAACCCCGAGCAGGTCAACAAGTTGCTCTCGCTTTTTGGCAAGCATCAGCCATCTCCTCCAGTGAGCTTCTCGCAGCCTTCGCCGGCGGGATCAATGGGGTCGAGGCATGTTGAGGAGAAGTTGAAGATGAAGGAGCCCGTTATGTTGGCACAGGCGAGGTCTAGGGTACCCTCGTTTGCTTCGACGAGCGGTGGGGAGCTCGCTGTTCCTCAAGGCCATGATCAGGGTAGCAGGCCCACTTCGAGTGGCGGTAGTCAAACGCCTATTTCGCCGACTGATCGCAACTTTTTGCTGTCGTACTTGAAAAGCATTCCGGGTCCTCGTTAGCGTTGAACACCGAGTATCGGGGAGGAGGGGGTGATCTATTTTCTAGCAGTGTTGTCTTGGGTTAGTGGACTGATGTAGGGGTTAGTTAGTGAAGGGAATCCTGCTATGCAGTTGTCGCAGCGCCTCTATGGATAATTATGTGGTGAAGGAGGTTAACTGTTACATACTGACTTGCTTAGTCGATCACTGGTGGGATGGGGATGGTCGTCCATTCACTTCTGGTTTATTCCTCTGACTCGCCAAAAAACAAGCAAGCGATCAAGTGATTCTCTCGTTAATAATGGTTGAATCAAAGCTAGCGTTACTTTCATTGTAATCATAGTATGATTGTGTATCGTACCCGGACGACGAGTAAGACTCTTTGCATTCACCTTAAGAGATCATTCACATTGTTCACTCCCCGCTTAAGTGCTGGCAACCGTGTTGACTTGGGCCAGCATTATCTTACTTCTGAAGCGATGATGATTACTTGCAGTTTCATACAACTGTGGTCAGGACACTCTGTATTTGATAACGTGGTGATGGGTTCAAGGAAAAGCATGCGGGAGACAATGTCCATATCATTCATCTCATGGACAACAAAAACACCAAGACGAGGTTGTCTCGTGAACGTCGACAACACCGAGATCAAACTGGCAGCTCACCCCTGAATCATCTACAACATCTGATTGGTCAGAGGCGCATTCAGGCTAAATAGGAGAGCGCGCCAGTCCGCTACGGCTCGCAGCGCATCACGCGGCTTGCTGCCCCTCCACCATTCCCCTGACACAGCTAGGATACGCTGGCGTCTGGACCGCTGATGCCCCGCTATACCCGCCATGGGGATGTTCATACCGGGGTGCTAATCCCTATACGTCACCCCACTGGAATGGACGTTCAAGGTTCTTCCGGATGAAGTGACAGTCGATTGCTAAACTTATTTACGACACTCCTCAACATTTTGATCCATTGGGTTCTTGACTTCCTTTGTGACTCTTCATCTACTCTTTCTGAACCTTTCCTGTCTTTCATCTGTACCGTTTTGAGTTTTTGAAGCCAGCGAGTGATATCCCAAAGAGCTCTTGCGCAGTATCGCCATATTTGTCGTCGAGCTCTCCTCGACTCATAAAAGATTGAATTCATCGACAACGTATAATTTACACGCAGAAATCCACAATGTCTGAGGGACCTCTTTACCTTGGGTTTGACTTGTCAACTCAGCAGCTAAAAGGTTGGTTCAAGCACACAAAGCACGCTTCGTTCGTTCACTTACACCGAGCTCAAACTAATAACCTTCTTCTCACACAGCAATCGTAATCCAGTCCGACCTCTCCGTTGTTTCCTCCGCTAAGGTTGACTTCGACGGCGACTTCGGCGCCAAATATGGCATCAAGAAGGGTGTCCAAGTAAACAAAGTCGATGGTGAGGTTTTTGCGCCCGTTGCCATGTGGCTTGAGGCCCTCGACCTCGTCCTCCAACGCCTTCAGGAGGCCAAGACCCCTCTCAACCGCATCCGTGGTATCAGTGGTTCTTGCCAACAACATGGCAGTGTGTACTGGAGCCGAGAGGCTGAGAAGCTTCTCGCAGAGCTACAAGCGGATAAGCAGAGGGGGGATCTGGTGGATCAGTTGAAGGGATCCTTCTCCCATCCTTATGCGCCCAACTGGCAGGACCACAGCACGCAGGCTGAGTGTGATAAGTTTGATGAGGCTCTTGGGACAGCGGAGAGGTTGGCCCACGCTACGGGAAGTGCGGCACATCATGTGAGTCATTTACTTCCCCTTTTCCTCACATTTTGAGAGAAGGGTAAACAGACCGATGGACCGACCGGAAAGACTGACAAGAGCACCACATAGCGCTTCACTGGCCCTCAAATAATGCGCCTCCGCCGCAAGCTCCCCGACATGTACGCCTCCACCTCGCGCATCTCCCTTGTCTCTTCCTTCCTCGCGTCTCTCTTCATCGGCTCCGTGGCGCCCATGGACATCTCCGACGTCTGCGGCATGAATCTCTGGGACATTCCCAGCAACACTTGGTCCGAGACTCTCCTCGCCCTGGCCGCCGGTGGCTCTACCGAAGGCGCCGCCGACCTCAAGGCCAAGCTAGGCGAAGTCCGTCTCGACGGCGGCGGCAGCATGGGCAAGATCAGTCCTTACTTCGTTGGCAAGTACGGCTTCTCCTCGGACTGCGAGATCGCGCCCTTCACTGGCGACAACCCGGCCACGATCCTCGCCCTCCCGCTCCGCCCGCTCGACGCTATTGTGTCTCTAGGAACCTCCACCACTTTCCTGATGATCACGCCCGTCTACAAGCCTGACCCATCTTACCACTTCTTCAACCACCCGACCACCCCGGGCCAGTACATGTTCATGCTCTGCTACAAGAACGGCGGTCTGGCCCGCGAGAAGGTCCGGGACTCTCTTCCCGCCCCATCCAACAGCTCCGCAGACCCCTGGGAGACCTTCAACCAACACGCCCTCTCCACCCCTCCGTTGGACGTCTCCTCACCAGCAACCGACAAAGCCAAACTGGGCCTTTACTTTTACCTCCCCGAAATCGTCCCCAACATCTCAGCCGGCACCTGGCGGTACGAGTGCTCCGCCACCGACGGCTCCGATCTCCAACCAGTCAGCCAGCCTTGGCCCGTGGAAAAGGATGCGCGCATCATCGTCGAGTCACAAGCGCTTTCCATGCGTCTGCGCTCTCAGAACCTTGTTTCCACGCCCCCCTCCACCCCCTCTGGAACGTCGTCGTCGTCCTCTTCTTCGGCACTACCGGCCCAACCCCGCCGCATCTATCTCGTTGGAGGCGGCTCTCTGAACCCGGCCATTGCACGCATCATGGGCGACGTGCTAGGTGGCGTGGATGGGGTGTACAAGCTCGACGTGGGCGGTAATGCGTGTGCACTGGGAGGAGCGTATAAAGCCGTTTGGGCGTTTGAGAGAAGGGATGAGACGGAGACGTTTGATGAGCTGATTGGCAAGAGGTGGAAGGAGGAAGGGGCGATACGGAAGGTGGATGAGGGGTATAAGAGGGGGGTGTTTGAGGGGTATGGGAATGTGTTGGGGGCATTTGGGGAGATGGAGGGGAAGGTTTTGGAGGTGGCGAGGAATAAGTAAGGGTGGTATTACTGATGGTTTAGATGAGGTGGGATGACCGAAATCTGTCGTCTGTAACTGTGAGATAACAATGGCTTAGACAAGAGATTCTAGAGGTTGGTTGTAGAGGACTCGGATTGCGCTCTTCACTTTGCACGATCCTTTTGATATTGTCAAAATATACATAACCTCTAGAAGAATAGGGATTTATACTTGGACTCAGCTCGAAAGTTTCCAACAACTCTATGCTTCTGTTCTTCACTTGCCAGAGAAGAGTGATTGTGATGATCAAACCAAACGTCCCCAGCCGAGCTCCCGGGGCTAAAGTGGCTGCTTTTGTTTACATTACCCCTGAATCAACGCTAACAACTGAACACTGCTGGTACTGGAATGGCCAAAAAGTAAAACATAAGTCACATATTATCCTCACCAAAAAGCGTTGGATAACAATATCACTGTAGGAGGACGTTCTGACAAGGAAGCCTTCTGATTAGGTATGATCTCGAAGAGGTCAGAGATGGTTTCCCCGTTCTTGGGAGCAGAATTCCGAAAGACTACCTGCCTGACTGGAACGGACGACCTGACACGGTGATTACTTCCCTGATACAAATTGTTAGTGGAAGCCACGTAATCATATGCTGCAGGCCGCACTTTCCTATCAGATATCATCTCGATCATCTAGAAAGAACCGAAACGACAAACGACCACTTGGGGATCGCCAAGCACTTGGGAGAAGTGGAAGGTACCGACGACTAGGTAGCCTGATTATCTTCGACGTCACCTCATTTTCAAACGCGCCCGCCACCACCGAACCCAACCTTACTCCGTCCTCCACTCACAATTTTGATCCAAACAACAATGTGATAGAAAAAAACTTATTGCTGAGATGTTGGTAAGTCTCCAGTCAAATTTCGTAACGGATGAATCAACAATATGCTAACTGATCATTTTGTAGCGCACCACTTTTGGAGGAATCCGCAACCTAATCGGGCGTCTCGTCCACGGCATGCCCGGGCACCGCCGGACTCGCGACAACGGCGGCGGCGGCATGATCCTCGGACCAGTATCCTACCTCGACTGTATCGTCTTTTGCATCTTCCTTGCTCCGCAGCTTATTTGGAATGTCGGTCTGCTACCGACCATCAAGTGCATTCTGGAAGCGCTGCCGTTTGTTTGTACGTTCTCCACCTTTTGCCTTTCTTAGGTACACGTATAACGAGCAGTAATTTGTCAGTAATTTGTGTGTGTGTGTGTGTTAAGCTGCTAACAGCGGATGTGGCGAACGTAGTGTTCAAAATCCCTATCCAGTTCATCTATGAAAGATGGCTCAGCTCTTCTGACAAGTCACCGTTTGTTCGGAAGGCGTCGCCGTTTGAGGACTTTGTCATTCGATGTGTGCGGTACGCCTTTGCGAATATCCCGCCGAAGATTGGACGGGTGTTTTTCTCCAAGCGGGTGGCGCTGCCGTTTTTGAAGTTCCGCATGTTAAGACATGGGTATTTGAGGAGTCCTATGCATTGGAGGGAACATGTCACCGTAAGTGCGATGCTGTTTGATGAGGTCGTGGATGGCGCTGACGAGGGAGAATAGGCGAATTTTAGAGGTATATGGGTCATAAAAGATCCGCTGGCTACGCCGGACTTTGTTTTGTATTATGCCCACGGTAAGCTAAACGATCTTCCCGGTCTAAAACGATGTACTTGGCTGATTTTGGATAGGCGGCGGTTTCTCATTGGGCTCGGCCTACTTCTACCTTGAGTTTCTTCTGAGCTGGGCATCGGTGTTGTCTTCGTCCGGGTTTAAGAACCCCGCCATCTTCGCGCTGGACTATACACTCGTTCCTGATGCTTCATACCCTACTCAAATCCAAGAGGCGATCGAGGGATACAGATACGTTCTCAAGGTGGCACGCGACCCAGCCATCGTATGCGTCAGCGGTGACTCAGCAGGCGCAACACTGATTTTGAGCCTCTTGCTGCATCTCAGCTGCAAGGACGCCAGCGCAAAGAGGTATGGAGTGGGCCTGCCAATGCCAGGTCTGGCCGTCTTGATCTCACCGTGGACGACTCTTGTATCCTCACGACACACCAACACGACAAGCGATTATCTAAACGCCGAGCAGCTGAGTACGTACGGAAAGCAGTTCGCCGGCAACAAAATCAAGTGGAGTGATCCGCTGGTATCGCCGGGATGCTGCCATGACGCGGCGTGGTGGAGGCGGGCAAGCCCGTCAAATGGTATCTTTATTACATATGGGGAGGAGGAGGTATTCTCACCTGAGATTCATGATCTGATCGCGAGGCTCAACGAAGCAGGCTTGCGGGTTGGGAGCGAAGTTGAGCCAGGCGGCATCCACGCGTGGCCGGTGGCATCGCTGTTTCTCTCAACTGCCCGCGAAAAGAGGTTGAAGGGGGTGAATGGCCTAACGATGGAAATTAGAAAACGGCTCTCTACTTCGGATGCGGCGAAACCAAGGTGAAGGCAAGTAGATGTTATTTTGTCAGATTAGATCAAGTTTTTGTTTGCCGTCATCGACATGCGGCGAAGATGACCCCTCAGTCCTGGTTGGGGCTCGGTTTCTTCAACGCCGTGTTCTTGGTCTCTGGAAAATCAAGGTGCTCTTGAGTATCATCATGCAAATGAGAGGTATGTGTTCAGCCCATATGTGCGCCGGTGCAGACATGTTCGGGATTGTGCTGCTGCTGAGATCTTACATTTTGCATACTTGGTCTAGCAGCTCCGTAAACAAAGCGAAGTTGGTCATGATGCCCTTTATGAATCGCGTGATGCCGAAGCGAGGTTACAGATCCGTTCGTTGTAGTGAAAGGCAGCGTCCATGATCAACTCATTGATTCCCAAGTGCTGAAATGAGAAACGACCGGGTGCCAGCCTCATAATACATGAACAACCGGGTCGTGTAGCTGTATACCTCTCTGGAAAAGGTTGGGGTTGCTGGGTTTGATGTCCTCAAGGCGAAGAGGGCGACGGGAATTGACGAAAAGAAAGTGGACTGGAAGACGTGCGATGCAACAGAAATGGAGCTGAACTCCCTGTGCCTAAAACGCACAGATGATTGGAAAAAGTGACCGAGACTTTCGTTGTGAACTTGGAAAATCGAAGATCGTGCGCCGCACTAGTACACAGTACTTATACACTACGCTAGAGAAGTTGAGAGGCGCTTGAGGCGGTACGACCCATAGAGCACATCATGTTGACCAATCAATGATTAGAATGAGCTAACCATAAAGCCCCCTGTAATCAACCATGCGAAGGAAGGAGCAGGCCATGGCGTGCATATAAACGGGCAGGTCTCTCCGCCGTAGAGAGAGCGTCATGGTCAAGTGAAGTTCCGCTTTCAGCTGACAGCACCTCACCTCAAACCCTTCACCTTACAAGTTGCCAACCTCCAACCCTGAGACTTACATACCTCAGCTCGAGCCTTGAATAACCGGCCTGTGTTGCCAGTCATCCGACAACACCGTGGATTCGATTTTCGCTTCAGACGGTCAGCATCCCCATTTTCTCTTTCACCTTCCGGTCTATCACCAGTGTCATTTTTTTGTTTGTCGTCATCACCTACACCACACACTACGAGTCGACTTCTACCCCGCTCACTCTCCTTTTGCCCCCATCCGTTCCCAAGTCTACCAAGAGGTACCCGCTGCGGTTCGATGTACCGGACTGGTACCTGAAAGGGCCGAGAGCTCGTGTGAATGCTCTCCACCTTCAACGACCGGACTGGGCCCATTCTCGCTCGTGGTTATGTTGCGACCTCCAGACAGCAGGGCAGCACAACGGACGGCAAAGACTCTATCTACCAGCCTTGCTATCCTTTGTCAGAAGAAGCCCAAGTTACCAGTTCCTCCTAACATGCCTGTCTGTTGTTCTCGTACGAGGTTGTACCACGATGCACTTTTCTAGTCTGTCTGGTACATGTCCGCTGTGAGGCCATCTCTGGTCTTCGCTTCCACGAACAAGCCTTCTTCCGTCCGTTCATCGCCCTAGCTCTTCTCGTTCAAATCTTCTTGACTACATTGCAGCATTTTCGATGCCATGTGGAAAACTGGAGAGTGGTATTCTTTCAAAGCTGCATATAGCCCCGCATCATCTCAGTCAGCCAAACACTCCCCCTTCAGGCTCCCGTCGATCATCCCATCCAACCCTCTCAAGTGGAGGTTTCGCCATTGTTTCCATCCATCCAACCGCCACGAAATCCATGAGTACACAAACAACGACATGAGATTAACTTTTGGTGACTGCTTTATAGATCCAGCCAAAGCTTTGTTGGCATTATTAACCAGCTGTTGTTTGCTCCATCTTCGGATTGAGTGAAGGCGTCCACACCCAAGAGGTTCTCCTGCCCCACCAGTACTCGCAAGGTACTTACAACAAAGGGAGGAAGGCGCTCGGGGTACAAAAATAAGAGCAAGACAGAAGGGGAGGTACGAACCAACCAAAGTGCCCATTCCATTATAAGTCGCGACGAGGGACGGCGGCACGGCACGAAAGCAGTGTGATTCACTTTCCCATTCACTCTACGTTCCCTTCACAGAAGCTGCCCAGCCAATCTTTTAAGGGTTTTTTTTTTTTTTTTTTTTTTGGTGCTTTATTCGAACGAACGCAACCACACAATCACAATCAGCCAAATCATGTCGGGCATTGGCGCCTCGAGCTACGCACCCAGGTCTCCAGACCTCTCATCTTTATATAGCTCCGCCGGCCCCACCCACCAACACTTGCAGACCCATGCCGAAGTCCTTCAAGTACCAGGCCCCAAACCGCTATCACAGCAAACACTTTTTTCTCCGCAACACCAACACCACCACTTACAAGCGCAGTCGCAACCACACCTCCAACCTCTGCCCACCACCACCACCGCAACACAACCCTTTGGCCTTTCTACGAACACGTATCAAGACCATCGCGCTTCGCAATATTGGCAAAACCCGTCGCAGTATCTCCCACCACGCTCTCAGCCCGACAACAGCTTCTCGACGAATCACTATTCGCAGCCGCAGCAATCCGAGCGCCCGCCTCGCATCCCCTTCACAAACAACCACGCGACAGGGGTTTGGAACGCGCAACAGCAAGCTTCGCAACGTGATCTGCATCAATTGCAGAATCAACACCAGTACAAATACAACCAGCAGCAACCGCAGCAACCACTACAACAACAGGCCTATCCGCAGCTGTTCTCACATACGCAACCGCAGGAGCATCAACAGCAGCAGCGCTTGACGCGATCGCAGGCGCAACGGCCCCTCCAGCCTCTTCCTTCGCATACTTCTAATCCCAACCCGCCACCGGCCCCCGAACAGACCAATATCCAAGCTGCGTCATCTGTAGCGGCGCAGACCACCAATACGATGCCACCCAAGCGGGCCGTCGCGCAAGCTGCGCAGCAACCCCAACCTTCTCCGATCCAGCCCTCGCTCGTAAAGACCAAGTTCCCAACGGCGCGCATTAAGCGCATCATGCAGGCAGACGAAGAGGTTGGCAAGGTGGCACAACAGACGCCGATCGCAGTGGGCAAGGCACTCGAGCTGTTCATGGTACAATTGGTGACAAAAAGCGCAGACATCGCGCGTGAGCGTAACTCGAAACGCGTATCGGCACAGATGCTCAAGCAGGTGGTGGAGTCAGACGACCAGTGGGATTTCCTACGAGAAATTACCAGCAAGATAGAGAACGATGACAAGGAGAAGCCAGCAGCCTCCGCGAGCGGCAGAGGCCGAACAAAGGCAGAGAGCGAGAGCGAGGAAGAAGCCCCGCCAGAAAAGAAAGGCAGAGGAGGAGCCGGGCGAGGAGGAGGGAGGGGAAGGAAGAAGTCTACCGCCTAGAAAGCCCTGAATCAAAAAAGAGCCAAGTTATAACGCTCGAGGTTAGGCCAAAACACGATTGAACGAATGGAACGATGGCGTTTCGGTAAACTGGGTCACAAATGAGCATATGTTTTTTTGGCGTTCTCAACATGGAAGCAAGTGGCTGGAAAATGTCAACTCCTGCAAAGAACAAGTCATAACCCATGTGCAGAAGTCCCGTTATCAGATTGGCATGGCATGGTGTTCGGTTTGGTTGGTCAGCCGAGGCTTCGGTGTTTGGGTGAACTGGACTGGTTTGTTTGAGTTAGTTGGGTAGCCAGCATGGTGTTGCTGGTGTTGGGCAGGGGAATGATACTCTGCTTTGCGACCAACATGCGTTGAATTTACTCTAATTTATTTCCCGGGGGAGTCATTAAAATCAAAGCTCATTCACAAGGCTTCGTGCAAGCCTTGTCTCCGCCGAAACATGTTCACGCGTTAACCCATGACGTTTCCCTAGCAATAATATTGCCTCCCGGTACGTCACAAGCCACTGTGACACGACAGCGTTTTCAGCTGACCTACAGCTCAAAGGCACAGACAGTCACGCGGCGCAGCCCAACTTGAGAAAGCCAACAGAAGGTGCAAAGGGCGAATCCATTGACTATCGATTGCACAAGAACATGCCTCTGTGCGAAGCGCCTTCAAGCCCTAAAAGGTGTAGTGATCCCAGCATGCGATAGCTCTCGATGATGTGTTCCAGGATGTTCGATATCTAGTGGATAATATGATGAAGGAAAATATGAAGCGTGGCGTAGGTAAGGTAACTCGAATAACGTCGCCATGTCACGACTGTCATCCGCAAATCCAGGGGAGCCTAGAACAATCTTTTTTTTCCGTCTACCATGATTACGAATCCTCCAACATACATGTGCATCACTATACTCAGAATACCGTACCTCCTTCATTCCAGTCAGACGGGATGTTCTCTTGCTAGCCACATCCGTTGACACGTTTGCCTACACCATGGGCTATTAACATAGTGAAACTCGAGCCACTCTGCGCTTTGTTCGGCAAAGTGTCTTCGACATCGACGATGGCTGAATAGTCAAGAAACGAGGTGAGAACAAAAAGCTAAGAAAAGAACAAGCTGTAAAACCACAGGCACACGACCGGGCGACGTCCTGGTGGATTGATTGATTGATTGCATCTGAATGTCAGTTAGATCAAGAGATTGGATCCAATAGGTCAACTAATCTACACTAACCTGTACACTAACCTCAATCGCTCACCCCGCGTTCCATATGCCCCTGGTTCCAGCAGCTTACTTTCCTTCTTATCTCTGTCCTACCCATCGGGCCTTGCCTTTACATCCGTCACTGTTACCACTAACCCGGCGGGCGACTTCTTTTCAGGACACATTGGATACACCGTGTACCTAACATGTGCCTCGAGAGGTTGCCCACTGGCCATCTAACTCCTCCTCGATAACACATCGTCATGGTGGCCGGTTGAGTCGATCGACCCGAACGGCACCTGTTCAGGTTTAGGATGTCCACCCAAGGCTGTCCACCACCTGCCAGCCTTCCTCCTCTTCCCGATGAGGCCTCTGTCCCCTTCTCGTCCTTGTTCGACAACTTCGATCTAGCCACGGTCGATTCAACAGTTCAGTTTGCGAATCGAGGCATCTTCATCGCCTCGGATGGTCGTCGGTACCTCTTCCAGAGCATACCTGAGTCGGATACGCCAACCGCTTCTCCGACCAAGTCGACTGCTCCAAGTAGCATACAGCCAGTTACGAGCCCACGGTCGCCGCATGAGTTACACGGCCACAACAATGCCTCTCCCATGGGACGACAGATGTCGAACGCGAGTTCGCGATCACAGGCGTCCAGTTTCCGGACAGCGCACAGTGAGCGCTATAACGTGTCCCCTGCCGCCTTGGATCTAGTAGTCGGACCTCCGCCCGCTATCACTCAGGACGTGACCAACATGATGTCCCACCTCAACATCAACAGTCACTTCAACGGCGCGGCGCCATACTTTGGAGAGTCTGACGGGGGCGTTGGACTTGCCGAGGTTCTCACGGAACGTGACACGGATCCATGGATTCCTGAAAGTCCTGTCGACAACAGGCCTGTCTCTCCCCGAACCGCTTCCAACCAACATTGCCTCGAATCTCATCACTCCCATAATCAGTCCACATATATGCGTACATCAACTCTAACGGCCGGCATGAGCACGCCTGCTCAGTCCATTCAAACTGCAGGCCATCAAGTCGACGGTATCAACTACGGCGGGTTTGTTACAGGGGCGAACTTCGCTTCTTCTCAAGGACCTCGTCGACAGGCACCGCCTACGGGACCAGTCCTCGAGTCCTTGATGGAATTTTCGTATCCTCAGTATCCCGCGTCTCCAGCGTCTCCGATCAGGCACTCTTCGATGCCGTACTCGCCCACGTCACCCGTCTTGGCGCCTGATTACGAGAAAGAGTTTGTCGATTCTGACGGTGCATATGTCTATTCGAGCTCACCTCACTCAGTGGTCCACGTGCCGTCCTCCCCACACCATGACCGCGGAAGGGGAGGTAGTGGGAGCGGAGTGTTTGTTGGAGCTGCTCAGAATAACTTGGTCAACATTGGGACTTCAACTAACCAAATTGACACCCGGACCGCAATTGTTGTGGTTCCGGAACGACATGATTCTTCTTTTTCGAGCGATAGTAGGAGTACAGGCCGAGATCACGTATTGCCCGGGGAGGATATTTTGTTCGATAGGTTCGTTTTGTCTGGTGTCCGCTTTCGAGAGATTGCTGCTAACAAAGACCTCGAAAAGGCCAGTTAAAAGTGCACCAACACTTGCGTCCTCGGCATTCGAAGATGGGGAGCTCAAGATTTTCCGCAATACGACCACAAAAGATCTGAGGTTCCATTGCAGAGTTGGCACATATTCCGAGACATTCTGGAGTAGGTTTTCACCTTTTACCATGCCATATATCAAAACACATTAGCTAACCCCAATAATAGTCAAAGCAAGAAACGCCCAACTAATTCCCGTCTACGCTTATGACCCCCGCTTCCTCAACGTCATCTGCCTCCACGACAAAGAAACCGAAAAGGGCAACCCAGGCTACTTGCGTTCCTCCCCCATTCCCGGAGGCACAGGAAACGGCCACCCCAACGGCATCTACCAGTTCCCCCGTCTCGAGAACCTCTGCAATTTCCAGGCCCAACTCACCGGCGAAAAGGTGCTGCTGGACATCAGCAACGTCAAACTGATTCGCCTAAGCAAAGCGAACAACGGCGCAAACGACACTTACTCGAGCGTGCGTCTGCAAATCTGGCATGAGGATCCAGATTCCACAAGCCGAAGAAGGGGGATGCAATCGGATAAGGCGAGTTTTGTGACTGCTGGTACGGCTTTGTCGGGACCGCTTCGCGATAAGCAGGTTGCTAGTTCCAGCAAGTTGATTGTGTACTTGGGACGGTTGGGAGAGTACGTGCAGACTTTTATCACGGATGATATTGAGGTGAAGGCGGAGGGACAGACAAAGGTTAAACTGAGGCCGAGGAAGGCGGGGGTGTTTAGTAGAGAAGGGAGCAGGTGGAAAGGGATCAAAGGTCTGTCTTTTTTTCTTTTCTTTTTCTCTCACATGCTCATTCATATACGCTCTCTCAGCTATTTCCGTGGCTTGATGGGTGAGGTAACTAATGGATTGTATATCACACAGCACACATCGAGCAAAGAGGCGACTCGGAAATGGCCGGATTCAATATCGACGGCCAACCACCCAATCCAGATGAGGAATACAGTTATGATCTCTACAAGATGTTTGAGATTGAGTTTGAGAACCCGCCAAGTAAGTTCTCCCCATCCCTTTTGTTCCTGATAAAGAAATTTTGTTGACAACAATGGTGGTGATTCAAGGCCAAGATAGCTTCATCAGGAGATGGGGCGAAGTCATTGCCAACCGCCGACAGCAGAAAAGAGAATTAGAGAAAATTCAGGAGAAGTTGAGAGCGGAGGGAGGGTTATATGGTAAGACGGCTATGCAGATTCGGATGTGATACCAACACGCAGCTATTTATGAACTCTAGGGATAGCTCGTTGCCAGGACAGATTTGGAGAACGGGTTGGGATATAATCGTCTAGTAAAGATCTCCTTGGGTGGCTTTATCCCTTGCTCTCAGCCGAGGGGGTTTTGGTAAGCGGGGAGTTAGGACTGGATCGGATCGGGCTACAGGTGTATCTCTTCTTTCTGTCATGCGTCTGTGTTGCGAGATACCTGGACTGGAGGATACGAGTGTGTGTTTACTTGTTATGATACCTAACCACGGATAATTGAGTTCTGTGCTTTACTATTCTGGCCGAGAGAAGAGATTGATGACTACGTTCAATGTTCACTTTTTCTCTCACGACTCGTGCCTAACCAGAACGGCTGGACGAATGGGACCCTCGGGACATTCTGGCTTAGCGATGGTTACCCGATTAGGAGAGTGATTTATTGGAATCATGCAGCAAGCGGAAAAATAAGCTACCCATGACCTGCATTCCTCACCTCGCCAAGATCTGGGCTCTAGGCTTAATTGGGGAAGGTGATGTATCACTCACTGTGGTCCTGTGGGAAAGATGGGGGGTTTTTCTGGGGCGAA